CGCAGGGCATTCCGGACACACACACCGTAAAAGACGGTTCTTTAGTAAAGGCAAAGATATTGAGAACCATGAGTTTGACATCGGAACGATGATCAAGGGCCAAACTACAGACTTCATCCTTCACTGAACTGTCTGTTTATACACTATAACCCGACAACTCTATAACCATATAACCCTATAACCGTATAACCGTATAACTCTACAACTCTATAAACCTATAACTCTATAGATCCTGATCTTGATAAATCTATAACACTATAAATCTATAACTCTATAACTCCTTAACCCTATAATTCTATAACACTATAAATCGATAACCCTATAATTCTATAACACTATAACTTTATAAATCTATAAATCTAGAACTTTATAAATTTACAACACTATACATATATAACCCTATAACCATATAAATTTATAAATCTATAACACTATAAATCTATGACCCTATAACTCTATATATCTATAACTATATAAATCATGATCTTTATAAATCTATAACACTATGAATCGATAACCCTATAACCGTATAACACTATAAATCTATGACCCTATAACCGTATAAATCTATAACACTATAAATCTATAACCCTATAACCATATAAATTTATAAATCTATAACACTATAAATCTATGACCCTATAACCGTATCATAAATCTAGACCCTATAACCGTATAAATCTATAACACTATAAATCTATGACCCTATAACCGTATAAATTTATAAATCTATAACACTATAAATCTATGACCCTATAACCGTATAAATCTATAACACTATAAATCTATGACCCTATAACCGTATAAATCTATAAATCTATAACACTATAAATCTATAACCCTATAACTGTATAAATTTATAAATCTATAACACTATAAATCTATGACCCTATAACCGTATAAATCTATAAATCTATGACCCTATAACCATGTAACAGTAGAACCGCATAACTCTACAAATCTATAACTCTAACCCTATAACCATATAACCCTATAACTCGATCCAGGATTATGTGTAGGATTAATAAAGATTAGACATGAGGTATAATCCGACACCCACCTCCTCACCTGAGACAAAAGTCAAAATGAGGAGGCAGAAAATTGGAGGAGACTTTAGAGAGGGAAAAGAGGAAGTGGACGCCCCACTGTAAACTGCCCGGCACCAACACAGGCTGTTTTGTGGAAGAATTTTGCGTAAACATTAAAATAGACAGACTTTTAACTCATATATATTCACATGTATTCATATTGAGTTCTGTAGACTGCTGAGGCTGAGAGACGGAACACAGCATGAACGAGAAACATCTCTGATGATATTCAGAAGTCTTGCTAAATGCTAACTGGTCACCTTCAGTCACACTGTGGCCGGTGGGCCTTTCAGAGCGAGATACAGCAGCTGGACTGATACGTCAGTGAATAAGAGTCTGTGGTTTGAAGTTTCGCAGAGTTGACGTTTTTCACTTTGTTTCCTGTGGCTGAGTTTTTCTTGTAGCACTGTGGACAATCGCCTGCCTCTACATGGCAAACCAAAACCAGCCTGTGATTGGTCGGTTTGCATGTCAATCAAATGGCACCTTCCTATCTAAGGATGCAGTTCTTGATGTTGAGTGACAACATCCCCCCCCCCCTGAGGTGATGCAGTTTGATTCATTTTACCAAAACGGTTCTTTCAAAATTGAATTGACTAAACTTGAAGTTTTCCTTTTTTTCATATATAAACAATGATGCCTCGTTTAAAAATAAACCTGAATGACTTAATAAATTCTAATTTTGATTTTTTTTGTAACATTTTCCAGAAACAGAAAATTTGGAAGATAAATCTGTAATTTGTTTTTTCTTTACATAATCTATAAATGTATTTATAAGAAATACAAAGAGATATTCTAAAGCAAATTATTAAAAAAAAAACATTTTTAAAATATAGTATCTCATTACTGCAACTGACTTAGGGTTTTTGTATTACTTGTGCCACATTTTGTTGTTTGAATTCACTTCATTAGAATTTAGAGGAAAAATATTACAGTAAAAAAGACTCAACAGTGAAAAGTGATACAAACTCAGAATTTATTTTCATTAAAAAGTATATAAAAAAAAAGATCAATATCTGTCAATATCTGATCACAAACAGGTGGGTCTGTTGCAGTAAGGAGAACTTGGATACTTATAAGTAAGTAAGTAAATAAACAAACAAACAAACAAACAAACAAACAAATAAAGAAAAATAAAGGAGTATTTTTTTGCTGCAACATGCAAAGATAGAGAGCTCAGATCTACAAAACCATATGAACATTGTTTATCTGTGATTATACTTAAATATTTATTTTTTTAATATTTAATATATAACCCCATTTTCAAAAAAGTTTGCTGTGCAAAATGTAAATAAAACAAAATGAAATGATGTGCAAATCATTTAAACTCTATTTCATTGAAAATAGTACAAAGACAACAAATCAAATGTTGAAACTGAGAAATTGAGAATTTTTTTTTTTTTAATATTTGCCCATTTTGAATTTGATGCCAACAACACATTCCAAAAAAGTTGGGATGGGAGCAACAAAAGGCTGGTAAAGTTGTGTAATGCTTAAAAAAACACCTGGTGGTTGATTGACAACAGGTCAGTAACATGATTGGGTATAAAAGAGTATCTCAGAGAGTCTTTCAGAAGTAAAGATGAGGAGGGTTCACCACTCTGTGAAAGAAGTGGAAAAGTGTTCTGTGGTCCGACGAATCAACATTTGAAATTCTTTTTGGAAATCATGGACACTGTGTCCTCTGGACTAAAGACCACTCAGCTTGTTATCAGTGCACAGTTCAATAGCCAGTATTCATGATGGTATAGGGGGGCATTAGTGCACATGGCATGAGTGACGTGCTCATCTGTGAAGGCACCATTAATGCTGAATGATATATACATGTTTTGGCAACATATGCTGCCATCCAGACGACGTCTTTTTCAGGGAAGGCAAGACAATGTCAAACCACATTCTGCATGTATTACAGCAGCATTGCTCTGTATTAAAAGAGTCCTGGTGCTAAACTGACCTTCCTGCAGTCCAGACCTGTCACTACTGAAAACATTTGGCATGTTATGAAATGAAAAATACAACAACAAATGAGCCCCTGAACTGATGAGCAGCTGAAATCCTGTATCAAACAAGAATGGAAAACATTTCACTTTCTAAACTACAGCAGAGTCTCCTCAGTTCCCAAACTCTTACAGAGTGCTGTTAAAGAAGAGGTGATGAAACACAGTGGTAAACAGGCCCCCCCAACTTTTTTGGAATGTGCTGCTGGCATCAAATTCAAAATGGGCAGATATTTTTCAAAAAACAATAAAATTTTTTCAGTTTCAACATTTGATATGTTGTCTTTGTAGTATTTTCCTTTAAAAATATGCTGATATGATGATTTGCAGATCATTACATTCTGTTTTTATTTACATTCTGCACAGCGTCCCAACTTTTTTGGAAACGGGGTTGTATAGTTTGAAGTGGTTTCTATAGAATGCCTCTATAACTCTGATGTAAACCCATACGCAAAAGTAATGTATTTCCACATAGAGCTGGGCAACATGACGACATTTATCATTATCGTGATAAATTACATAACAGTATGTCACAATAGGCATTTCTGAGCATATTATGGATATAATCGCTACTTAAAAACACTGACCAACTGCATATTTGATTAAAGAGAGCTAAATTAGTTCTGTTTACTTGTATTTAGTGCAGCACAGTGTCTGAAATGATGTACAGAAGTGACTGGATTCATAGATTCCGATAGCATTTTTAAAACAAGGATCTACTTTGTCTGTTCTAACGTATCACATCATCTTGATACATCGTGTATCATGAAAAACCTCCTGAAGTATCGCCCAAGTCTATTTCTACGTTTGACATTTGTAAATATTAAAAATTAAAACTTCAATATATTGGCCTTCATGCACATATTGGCATATAGTTAAATACTCAAAAATGGCAGTTAAATATATTTAGCACGTATGCACATATACACCAATCAGCCATAACATTAAAACCTTGTTTCTACACTCATTGTCCAGTTTATCAGCTCCACTTACTATATAGGTGCACTTTGTAGTTCTACAGTTACAGACTGTAGTCCATCTGTTTCTCTGATACTTTGTTAGCCCCCTTTTACCCTGTTCTTCAGTGGTCAGGACCCCCATGGACCCTCACAGAGCAGGTACTATTTGGGTGGTGGATCATTCTCAGCACTGCAGTAACACTGACGTGGTGGTGGTGTGTTAGTGTGTGTTGTGCTGGTACGAGTGGATCAGACACAGCAGTGCTGCTGGAGTTTTTAAACACCTCAGTGTCACTGCTGGACTAAGAATAGTCCACCAACCAAAAATATCCAGCCAACAGCGTCCTGTGGGCAGCGTCCTGTGACCACTGATGAAGGACTAGAGGATGACCGACACAAACTGTGCAGCAGCAGATGAGCTATCGTCTCTGACTTTACATCTACAAGGTGGACTGACAAGGTAGGAGTGTCTAGTAGAGTGGACAGTGAGTGGACACAGTGTTTAAAAACTCCAGCAGCACTGCTGTGTCTGATCCACTCGTACCAGCACAACACACACTAACACACCACCACCACGTCAGTGTTACTGCAGTGCTGAGAATGATCCACCACCCAAATAGTACCTGCTCTGTGAGGGTCCATGGGGGTCCTGACCACTGAAGAACAGGGTAAAAGGGGGCTAACAAAGTATCAGAGAAACAGATGGACTACAGTCTGTAACTAAACTACTGTGTAAATGTGCACATATTTTTGGCAAAGTTTCAGCTGTACTTTTGAATCGGTTCGACCGATTCACTGAAAAGAATCGGTTCAAAAGAACGATTCCATTTAGGAATCGAACATCAGTACAGCTTCTGGGAGGCTCCCACATCAGAGAGCAGTCCGAGTGTCAGCGAGCATCTCCATCGTGTTAATTCGGTCCGACTCAGGGTCAGTCCAAGTGTCCTGCTCCTTACCTGAGATGTCTCTGGCCAGGTTCTTCCAGATCGGAGCGAAGGCAGCGCAGTGTCCACACCAGGTCGCATAAAACTCCAGCACTAACGCCGAGGAAGCGTTGAAGACCCGAGAAACGCTGTCGGCGTCCAGCACCAGAACCTGGTCAACAGCAGAGTAGAGTCCGGCCTGAGCTTCAGAGCTCCAGAGAGCGGCCAGCAGCGCGCAGACCAGCACATATCTACACTTTAATCTGCTCAGCTGAGGCAGAGACGTGGCAGAGCAGCGCCGCGCCATGATCCAGCTCCACTGACTCTGAGAGAGAGAGACACACACGCACAGAGAGAGAGAGAGAGAGAGAGAGAGAGAGAGAGAGAGAGAAAGTTGGGCTGCTGCTCTCCTCCCACTGCGCGCGCGCGCACAGACAAACACTACAGGGAAACAGAGGCAGCCTGGAGGACACTGATATACTCTTAACACATCAATCAAGCGCGTGCCCCTGGAGAGGAGAGAGCCTGAACACGTGCAGCCTGATTACTGCATTAATTGCTCAATTAATAATTGCATTGCTTGCATTAATAATTATATGAATGGATTAATGGTTGCAACACTGCACTGGTAATTCCATTATTACACTAGTCGTTAATTGCAGTATTGCACTAATAACACCATTTATAATGACCTGCACTGCTGCAGTAATACATGCATTAATAGACGCATTAGTGTACTAATAACTGCATTCATGATTGCATTAATGCACTAACCGCCTTACTAGTTGCATCACTGAACTAATAACGACACTAAAAACTGCACTGCTGCACAAAGAACTGTTGATAGGTGCATTTCTGCACTAAAAACTGCATTAATGATTGCAATTCTTCACTAATAAGTTCATCAGCTGCATTGCTGCCGAAATAACTGCATGGATAGTTGCATGACTGCACTAATGATGATTCCATTATGGTTGCATTACTGCACTGATAGTTGCATTAAAGCACTAATAATTGCAACACTAACTGCATAACTGCATTTAAAAGCCCACTACTACTAAAAAAAAACCCTCATAAAATTCTAAAAGACTGCAAATATGAATTTGAGACAGTTGAATAGGATTTTCATTTGTACAATATAATTGTAGACGATTTAAGGTGACAATTTAATAAAAATAAATGTTTTAGGATTTCATCTTGAATTTGTTCTTAAGATAAATTCTCAGTATTTGGCCACTTCAGAAAGGCATTTCACTGGCATTACTGCAGAAATAACTGCATTGATAGTTGCATTAAAGCACTGATAATTGCTTCAATAACTGCATTTAAAAGTCACTACAAAAAAAAAATTAAATAAAATTCTAAAAAGACACAAATTTGAATTCAAGATAACTTATTTTATTTCATTTATAAAATATATTTGTAGACAATTTAAGGCCTTTTAAAAAACTTAATGTAATTTGTTCTTAAATTCTCAGCATTTGCCTACTGAAAAAGGCATTTCACTGGCATTACTGCAGAAATAACTGCACTGATAGTTGCATTAAAGCACTAATAATTTCATCAATAACTGCATTTAAAAGTCCACTACTACAAAAAAAAAACTACAAAATTCTAAAAAGACGCAAATTTGAATGAGACAATTTAATATTTTAGGCATTTCATTTATAAAATATAACTGTAGACAATTTAAGACTTAAAAATTTGTTCTTAAATTCTGTTTGCCTACTGAAAAAGGCATCGTCATGGACACGTTTGTACCTCAGCTTAGTTGATGTGCACACACACATTCACGTTATGAGTCATTAAACATGAATTATCACTTTGTTTGAAGATCAAACCTGCGTACATATGTTCTGTAAATAAAGCCCTAAGACTTCTCAGACGCCCTGTTAAAGAGCCCGTATCTACATTTCTTGTACTGTGTACTTTTATGTACCAAAAACAGTTGTAATTCATTTCTACAGGACCACTTCACCCACCCTCTCTTCATCCCCTACAGTACAGCAGGCTGATCCCATTACTGCGCCTTTAAGACTGAAAGGAAACCAGTTTTCTATGATAGGGGCCCTTTAATGCTCTCTTTGGGGGGTGGGGGAGGTTTGAGAAGACAAACACAAAAAAACAAAATAAACAAATGAAATGAAATAAAATGAAAGTTCCTCCGGGTTTCCGAGAGACGAGGCGCAGACGCACGTCCGCACGACCGGCCTTCAGTTCAGCATCTCCCTGTTGTCAAATATTTACCTGCTGATTGTCTGACTCGGCACATTCCACCCACACAAACGTTGCATTAGAACCAGATATTTCATCATGATGAAGTTCCTGTAGGGGTTCCTAGAACAAGAACACAGGCCAACACGGCAGCTTTTCCGATTGAGAAACGAGGAGCTTTATTTACAATTTTAAAGATCAATTTAGTCAACAAATATTTATAATATGTACATGTGCGCAAACCCAGCTGTGTGGTCATTTTCCTACAGCAGTCGTCCACGTCCTCTCGCAGTGGACAGGCCTTTATTTACACACCCCAAAAAACACAAAAAGTCTTCAAGTGCACCTGCGACACTCACAGTAGATCATTATAAATATTCATACGCTTCAGAGATGCAAAACTCTCCGCCTAAGCTACTGATTTTAAAAAGTACAAACTGATTATCCAACAATTTGTGCCGCTTTGATCTCATTTATTTATTTATTTATAATCTTCTAAAAAGCAAATCGCCGCCACCGTCCACGGAAATCAGAAATCAGTGTGCACAGTTATTAGTAAGTAGAGCCTAGTTTCTAAAGGAGGTAGAGAGATGAGTCAATTTAACCCTACAGGGCTGACCAACGTGGGGGACATTCAATAAAAAGGCCGGCTTTGGTCAGCAGGACCTTGTACTGCATAGCTGAACTGTTTAACTGTTTAAACTTATCCGTGTTCAGAGCTGGATAAAGGAAGATTAGGAACATTCCAGAATTTTCCGGCTTCATCTGCTGTGTCTGCAACACGTTTGGCTGAAGAACAGAAAACATACTGAGTCAAAACTCGCAGTTCTGATCTGTAAACTGAGCTGAAAATCTACATAATTCATCTGTTCAGTTTCCCAGAGAGAAGGATTTATAACACTAACTACACTCTTAAAAAAGATGGTTCTTTAAGGGTTCTTTAGTTAGGACGGTGGTTCTGTTTAGAACTGTGAACACTCAAAGAACCATTTGCATGCTTAAATGGTTGTGTGCATGATGAAATGGTTCTTTAGATTAATGGAGAATGTGCTGTGTATGGTAAACTCTTAAAAAAGATGGTTCTGCAAGGGTTCTTTAGTAAAGAAAATAGCTCTATGTAGAACCATGAACACTCAAAAAAACCATCTGCATGCTTAAATGGTTATTTGCATGGTGATACGGTTCTTTAGTCTTACGGAGAATGTGCTGTATATGGTACATTTTTAAAAATTGGTTCTTCAAGGGTTCTTTAGTAAAGACAGTGGTTCTATATAGAACTATGATCACTCAAAGAACCATCTGCATACTTAAAAGGTTGTTTGCGTGGTGAAACAGTTCTTCAGATTAATGGAGAATGAGTTGTGTATGGTACACTCCCAAAAAAGACTGTTCTTTAAGGGTTCTTCAGTAAAGAAAATAGCTCTATGTAGAACCATGAACACTCAAAGAACCATCTGCATGCTTAAAAGGTTGTTTGCATGGTTGAAATGGTTCTTCAGATTGACAGAGAACATGTTGGATATAGTACTCTTAAAAAAAAGGTTCCGCAAGGGTTCTTTAAAGGAAATGGTTCTATACAGAACCATGAACACTGCATGATTGCATGATTAAAGGATTCATTGCATCCTGAAAGCGTTCTTCAGATTGACGAAGAATGTGTCATAGATGGTTCTATATGGAACCTTTCTAAAAATACTTCTAAATAGCACCACAATGGGTGCTCAAGCTTGTTACAACAGAAGAACCCCTTTGGTTCTTCTTTGGTGCTATATAGAACGACACAGAACACATTCCCCATTAATCTGAAGAACGATTTCACCACACAAAGAACCCGTTAAGCATACAAATGGTTCAAGTCTTTACTAAAGAACCCTTGAAGAACCATCTTATTTAAGAGCGTACCATCTACAACACCTCTCCATCAATCTGAAGAACCATTTCACCATGTAAAAAAACCTTTAAGCATATAGATGGTTCCATGAGTGTTCATGGTTCTTCATAGAACCATCATACACAGAACCACTGAAGAACCATCTTTTTAAGTGTGTAGTATAGGTGTGGGTGGAGTTTTCACAGACTCCACCTAATCACCATGGATACCAGCAAGTCTACAGTAAAGCAAAAGTAGCCAGAACTACTTTTTTACCATTGGAAAGTTGGTTAGAACTTCATAAAGTCAGTTATACAGTCACATTTATCAAATCTTTACACGGAGAACCTGGTTCTGGGCTCCTCTTATAACTGGAGTTTGAGTCAACAAGTTCTCTGTTCTTCTCTAAGTTCTGGGAAACGTCTTAAAAAAAGACTTCTTATTTAATTTAGCGCCGACTACAGCAGCAGCAGATAGAGATGAGGGTGAAAATGCTGGAGTTGACTGTTAAAGATGCAAAGCACTGTCCATAACTCACACAGGCAGCTCCATCTGTGTTTACAGCCGTGCGGAAATGTGAGCAGGTTTACAGCGCAATAAAACGCTGCAGTCTTCCTGCGCTAAAAGGGTGGACTTGGGACCGGTTTCCACTCATTTTTCAAAAATTCTTGACGTTTCAGTGATGTAAACAGAGAGATTCAGAGAGGTTTGGTGTGAAATGGTTGTCTTTACAGTGGTGGTGATAGGAACCAGGCGTCGCCATGACTACAACACAAATCTAGATAATTTATTTACTATCCAGAACCACCACTGAGCCTACACGAGTCTTCTGAGTTTATATGTGATGCTGATAATGGGGAAAATAGTGATGAACCGGAAATATGTACGTTTTCTTTTGGGACTATTTTGCCTTACACGTATCCCTCCACCACGACTGGATTTTACAAGTATATTTGAAGGCAAAATCTGCTCAAAACTATCGTAAAACAATGTCTCAGACATCAGGCTGCGTATTCATAACCATATTCAAATAACTTTTTGTAAGGGACCTTTGAGAGGCGTTAAATTCCTCTGTTTACATCGTAACCATTCAATTATGCAGAAACTTTAAAAAAATTGGTGGAATTGCCCTTTAATTTTAATTTAATTTAACTCCATTTTTTGAGATTTTTATGCGCAGTAAACCAGCTTCACGTCTCCAAGCCATGAACGTGTGGAGACTTCTGAGCTATGAGCTGCTTTAAAAGTGAAGACGTCTCACATTTCCTGCCCAAACTGAGCTGAACAGTGCTTGGTGTCTACAACTGAACAACTGAGCTTCATTTACATTGGACTGACCGCTCTGCTGACCGCTTCAGGCCACAGGGACATACAGTAAGGCAGAAATGGAGGTTTAACAGCATCATGTGTGGAAAAATGAAGGTGGAAGAAAGGCTGGGAGATGTTCCTCATGCTTCAGGGAACAGAGAACCAAGGAGGCACTTAAAAAAGAGAGGAAGGCAGATGGTGAGGCGAGGAACCAGCTGGACAGTAGTGACCGGAGAACAGTTACCGCTACAGGTAAAACAACACCCATCTCTTGGCTTCCACTATGTCTAGTTGACAGTACAAAGATGTAGGTTCACAGGAAATGAAGTATTAAACATTAAAGGAGTACTAAAGCGTTTTTCAACCCAATCTGTAGCAAACGCATAAATTAATACATTATACTGAACTCAGCAAAAGTCCGTTGACTGTTATTACTGGATATTTGAGCTTCAAGTTTATGGATTTTCTGTTTTTTATTAATCCAAGTACAGAGAACTGGTTGAAACTGTCCCACTGATACTGGACTGTACAATCCAGACGCAGCATATAGAGATTAGGCTGAAAAACGCTGGAGTATCCCTTTAAGAGGACCTTTATTTATTTACTATTTTACTTTATTTTACTGTAAAAATGCTGTTTGACTAAAATTTTTGCATGACATCCCTTTTCCACATTCGCTATATGTGCTTTGAGCATTTTTGCAATTTTGCACATTCTAAAATATTTCATACATTTTCCTTTTTTTTTGCAAATCTGTTTCTTAAAAAGACATTTTTCAAATAAATTAAAAAATAACATTAGAGGCAAATAAGAAGGTGTCATCGTACAATCGGATTGGCCTGTGAAGTCTAACTTCGATCGCCGCGCGCCGTTTCCGAGACCGTCGAGGGAGACTAGCAGCAGTGGAGCGCGGACGCAGCCGAAGGCAGCCTGCATTCACGCAGCTAACGCTGAGAAGAGGCTGCGCTTCATACAGGAGGAGGAAAGGCTGGACTGGGAGATTCCTGATGAGGCTGAAGAACCTACAGCACAGTGATGAAGCGTTTGTGTATGCGTTTGAGCCCGGTTCTGGTTCGGTTCCAAAGCTGTGTGGAGTGTGAGGCTGGGTTTAGATGGGGTAACAGCAGTGCTGAGCTGTTTGCCCTACAGAAGGCCCGTTTGGACCTCGTCTCCTGGATCTGGATCAGAATTTCAATCGTTTGGACCTCGCCTGCTGGACCCGGATCAGAGTTTCGGCCGTTTGGACCGCTTCTCCTGGATCTGGATCAGGATTTCGGCCGTGTCTTTTAGCAGAGCATCAAAGATCCCATCCGCCAGCTGCATCTTCACGAACAGCTCGTCCTCATCATAATTCACCCACAGAGCCTCCTCCTCGTGAAGCTCCTGCACCTGAGACAGCAGACGGCAGGACGTTAGCATGAGGGAGGCACAGATGTGGAAACTGCTGCCAATATCTGATTTTTTTTGTACATATCTGCTGATGCCAGTACATAAACATTTATGAAATGTAGTAACTGGACATTCCTGGAGTAGCTTTGTATAGAAATAGAACATTTCGCTGCTGTCAGGACAAAACCTTGTATCACCATTTTTGTTTTGCAGTTTTGAAATTTGAATTCAACTCAATCTGAAAAGGCCAGCTGCCATTTATGTTGTGTCAAAATTTCAAGACAAACGGACCAACAGAAATTGTCCAAAATTACAAAATGAAAAAATATTTCTCCATGTACTTCTATAGAAAGTTAAGAATGTTTTTCCCTTGTCCTGTAAAGTTACCTTTTTGGAGATACAAGATTTTGTTCTGACAGCGATTTATTTGTATATGGTTACAAATTGCAGTTGCTGAAACAAAACCTCATATGTCCAAAACGGTAACTTTACAGGACCAGGAAAAAAATACATTTTCCTTTAACGCAAGTCAATTGGTTCAATGGAACCAGACTTTTTTCCAAGACCAACCTCCAAGTTTTGGGACGTTTCTTTTCGTCCATTTATCCTGAAATTTACCCACAGTGTAAAGAGCAACAGACATTTTCAAATTATGTCAAAAACTGAAAAACGACAAAAACGGAGATACGGGATTTTGTTCCGACAGCAGCGACCTGCAGTAACATTAATAAAAGGCAGATGTTTTATTGCAGAAGTCAGCATAAACATGCAATTCACGCAAAATCAGCACAAAATCAATACAACATCAAATATCAATCGGAAATATTGGGTAAATCTTAACATCTGTCTGAGCCAATTATTATTTTCTTTCTTATGGCTGACAAGATTCCTATCATTGTGCATTTAAGTTCAGACTGAGGTTTTGATACTGAATTTTAGCTTTCTGAGAGGATTAGACCAGGGCTGTGACATATTTGATAGAGTTTGGTAATATGGCAAAAAAATTTACACTAATCAAATATTTGATCTAGTATTCATTAGAATATTCCCAACATCAAGAGCTGCAGCTCAAGATTCAGGCCTATAACCTGATAATCTGACTTTTTTTCAGAGACTGAACCAAATTGATGACTACTGAAAAAAGAAAAAATAATTCCAGGCTGATGAGCATGAAAGCAGCGGCATTTCTGACTGTGAAGAACAGAGGTGCACAGCGCTGGTCCTGGAGGGCTGGTGTCCAGCACAGTTTGGTGATTTACCTGCTCAAACACACCTGATTACACTCATCTGTTAACTGTCAGATTTAGTGGGTGTGTTAGTGCAGGGAACCTCCAAACTGCTGGGCGGCGGCCCTCCAGGACCGGAGTTGTGCACCTCTGTTCTTCACAGTCAGAAATGCTGCTGCTTTTATGCTCATCAGCTGGGAATTCTCTGAAAGTCTCTGAAAAAAAAAATCTGATTATAGGCCTGAATCTTGAGCTGCAGCTCTTGATGTTGGGAATATTCTATTGAATACTTGATCAAATATTTGATTACAGTGTCATTTTTTTGTCATGTTACCAAACTCTATCAAATATGTCACAGCCCTGGTCTAACCCTCTCAGAAAGCTAAAATTCAGTATCAAAACCTCAGTCTGAACTTGAACGCACAATGACAGGAAACATGGTAAGATCTTACCAGGATGTGGTCGACTCTGTCGCGCTTCTTCCGCCCGAACTTCAGCATCTTCTGCCAGTCGGTTTTGTGATTCTGCTCCTTCTTCAGGCCGTAGAGCTTCAGAACCTCGCTGGTGACAAACGTCTGGAACGAGAAAGAAAACAGTCTCCGATTAGTCTGAAGCGACGACAATTATATATTTATATATCGCTGCTGTCGGAGCAAAACCTCATATCTCCGTTTTTGACGTTTTTCAGTTTTTGACATAATTTGAAAATGCCTGTCGCTCTTTACATTGTGTGGAAATTTCATGCTGAATGGACCAAAAGAAACGGCCCAAAATGACTTGGGAAAGAAGTCTGGTTCCATTGACTTACATTAAGAGCAAAGTAGGTTTTTTCCTTCTCCTGTAAAGTTACCAGTAAAAACAGTAAAAAAATAAACATAAAACAAGTTTTCAGACCTTAACTATTTACAAAGATGTGTAATGATGTTATGATCTATTTAACATAGAGTTTTAGTCTGTAGGCGGAGCCTTATTGTAGCCACACCCCTGCATTTTAGAGCAGGAAGTGAGGCTGCATCCCTGTCCCTCATGGCCAAATGGTGAGCAGTTAGATCCCATTGTTTTGAAGTAAATGTGTCCGAAAGTCTGAAAATCAGTGTGGATCATGAAGAACATTCACTACTGAAACACATTCTTTCCAATTAAGTACTTTTTTGTGTTTTTTAATGAAAAATATTATGACTTTTTTGTTCCGTGCTCAAAGCTGGGTTTGCTAGACATGTACCGGTTAGCATTTCTGAGTTCTGCCCAGAATGAGCTGAAATTGCCACTACCGAAACCGTCACTACTGAAACACTTGGCAAGGTTTCAGTACTGACAAAATGTTAAATCATTTATTTTAATAATCCTAATTAAAACTCAAAGCAAGACGCTTAAAAGTCCAAAAGGCTTTTTTTTTTTTACCTCTGACTTTGAACCAATTTGTTAGAACGATCCATATATTCAAACTCAATCAAATTTGGGATGACTATTGATTTGTTAAAAAAACAGTAGCCCCATGTAATCAAAAGACTAATAATAATATGATAAGTAATACAAGCTCAGTTATTAGCCACATGGTTTGACTGATTTGAAAAATTTGTCCTGAGGTAAGCTTATATGGATCAACTGATATGGACATTAATGGGTTAAGCTGATTATTTGTTACAGAGAATAAATTAAGGACAGAAATGCAACAAGTCATATTGAATGCTATTAATCAAACTGCAGCCTATTACGACCAATGTGGCATTGGACGTAATAAACATTAGTGATGCACTAAAATGAAAACTCATGGCTGAAACCAGTAATGAAACACTGGTCAAAAACAGAAACCAAAAACCAAAAGTTTTTAGCCGTTTTATTTATGCTTCTGAATAAACACGAACACTTAAAGACAGTTCATATGTTCTTAAGCAAAGCTAACTGTTCTATGTAGAACAATGAGTTATATTACAGGCTTAAATGGCTCTTTGCGTGAGATGTCTTCAGATTGATGGATATTGCGTTGTATATGGTTCTATGCAGAACTCTTTTGAATATGTTCTATACAGAACTAAAAAGGGTTCTGCATTTGTTACTATATCGAGCTACAATGTCAACCCCGTGTATAGAACCCATTTCAAAGGAGTTCTATATAGATTCTCCACCAGTCTGAAGAACCATTGCACCATGAACCATTTAAGCATGAAATGGAACTCATGGTTGTAAATAGAATTGTTGTTTTTACTAAAGAACCCTTAAAGAACCATCTTTTTCAAGTGTGTAATAAACATAAAAACTACTCAAAGTCTTGCAGAAAATACTCTTATTGATAATATAATCTGCTTGCAGCAAAACTGAGCTGACAATAAATAATAATAGTTCCCAAAAAATAAATTCATTAAAAAGATTAAAGTACGTATGGTAGAGTATGTGCCACAAAATCCAACACCCATAGGAACAGAGGACAGTTGGTCATTGAAGGCCATGAATTCCATAATATTTTAGGTATTTTTTGTTTTTATGGCCACAAATTTTTCTTCCTCTTTTGGCTGAAACCAGAAGTGCCACTTTTGACCATTTACAGTAAAAATGTTTCAGTGGCTGAAATTTCTGTGCATCGCTGATACGAACAGTTCAATATATCTGTTTTTAAACAGACTCCTACCTGGACTTTAGTTATGTCACTGGGGTCGTTAATTCTGTGGATGCAGGAGGAGTTAACGCGTCGTGGCTTGACCCACTGGGGCTGGTCTGCGTTTGGATCTTCCTTAAAGACGTCCTGGATGACCTCCCATGACAGATCAAACACCGCCTGCAAAAAACAGACAGGCTGAATTAGCAGATCAGCATTTCAGTTTAAAGCAGTGAAGCTTCAGGTGCTCCTACAGAGCAGAGCAGGCATTAACGAATATGGATACAGCATCAAAGTAAACAATTTAGACAATTTTATCACTAACTCGGATGTACTTGATCAGTCGAGACATGTTTGCTGTTTGAGGTTTCTTTGGTTTTTCATTGGAGCTACCAGACTTATCACTGCTGTCGGAGCAAAACCTCATATCTCCATTTTTGTTGTTTTTCAGTTTTTCATATAATTTGAAAATACACTGTATTTACATTGTGTGTAAATTTCATGATGAATGGACCAAAAGAAACGGCCCAAAATGATGGAAAAAATTCTGGTTCCATTGACTTACATTAAAGTAGTTTTTTTCCATCTCCTGTAAAGTTAAAAACGAGTTTTTTTTTTTATTTATTTTTTTTTACACACAATTTGTTACCCTTGATCATGTTGTTTAGACAGTATGATGCACTGTGATATAGAAAAAGGAAGCATAACAGAAAATAACAGTAGTTTCCATTTTCAAACCAGAATTTTGTCTGTATTTTCATCCAGCGTAAACATGTCTTGGCTCAATCACTACTTTTGGGGTAAGAAGGAAAACATATGTATACATATGTAGAGATGTACAGAGTCCAAATCATTCCTTCATGGACCATTCTACCAAATTAGTTCAAACTGGGGTCAAACAGTATTAATATATATATAAAAAAACAATTTTTCAGACCTTAAATATTTACAAAGATGTGTAATGATGTTATGATCTATTTAACAGAGTTTTAGTATATGGGCGGAGCCTTATTGTAGCCACACCCCTGCATTTTAGAGCAGGAAGTGAGGCTGCATCCCTGTCCCTCATGGCCACATGGTGAGCAGTTAGATCCCATTGTTTTGAAGTAAATGTGTCCCAAAGTCTGAAAATTAGTGTGGAACATTAAGAATAGTCACGACTGAAACACATTCTTTCCAATTTGTGTTTTTTAATGAAAAATATTATGATTTTTTTTTGCATGCTCAAAGCTGGGTTTGCTATTCATGTACTGGTTAGCGTTCTGAGAGTTCTGCCCAAAATGAGCTAAAATTGTCAGTACCGAAACAGTCACTACTGAAACGTTTGGCAATGTTTCGGGACTGACAAACTGTTCAATCATTTATTTTAATAAACATAATTAAAAATGAAAGCAAAAGGATTTTAGTCTAAAATCCAAGACGCACAAAAGTCCGAAAGGCATTTTTTTTTAAACTGTGACTCTGAACCAATTTGGTAGAACGATCCATATATTCAAACTCGCCTGCTTGTAGCTCCGGATGCAGTCAGCCTCCTGCTCGTCGTTTCTACCGCAGTTGCTGAGGAAGGCTTCTGACGGCTGAGGCTTTTGGACTCCGGTCAGGCTCTGTTTGCTCTGGCCCAGTCCGCAGTGCTTCCAAATCTCCAGCAGGGCGGCGCTCACCAGTTTCTCCACCTCTGGAGCTGTGTGAGGGACCAGCATGGCCGGTTCCTCGGGCAGTTTGGGCTGTGGGAGCTGGGGCCTGGCTGGAACTTTGGCCTGTGGGGAACCAGACAGTGACCCCTCCTCCTGCCGCCGCTTCAGCTTCTCCTGCTCCTTCCGAGAACTCAGGCCAAAGTCCTCATCAAACCAGTCCTGCTCGTCACCCAGGGCATCCAGCAGCTCTCGGCTCAGCTCCAGCTCCGCGAGCCGCTTCGCCAGCTCCTCCTGACCACTGGGACCCAACACTGGACTCTCCTAAATGGGGGGCAGTTCAGAATCTATTATTCTATACGGTTAAGGACACATCAGAAAGGTGGAAAACTATGTTCAAGCTACATTGTGGGAAAACACTCTTTTCCTCTATACTCTTACAGAAGATGGTTCTACAAGGGTTCTCTAGTAAAGAAAATAGTTCCATGTAGAACCATGAACACTTTGCATGTTTAAAGGGTTCTTTGCATCATGAAAGGGTTCTTAAGATTGATGGAAAATGTGCATGAACATGCTATAGATGGTTCCCTCTAGTACCTTTTTGAAAAGGGTTCTATATGCCACCCAAAAAGTCATTGTAACAATAGAAGAACTTTTTGGGCGCTATATAGAACCATTTTCTAAATGGTTCTATATAGAACCATGAACACTCAAAGAACCCTTTGCATGTTTAAAGGGTTCTTTGCATCATAAAAGGGTTCTTCAGATTGATGGAAAATGTGCATGAATGTGGTACAGATGGTTCCATACAGTACCTTTTTGAAAACCCAAAACCCAAAAGGGTTCTTCTGTTGTTACAAGCTTGACCACGTAAGTAGAACCTTTGTGGGTGCTACATAGAACCATATACAACACATTCTCCATCATTTTGAAGAATGCTTTCATGATGCAAAGAACCCGTTAATCATGCAAAGGGCTCTTGGAGTGTTCATGGTTCTTTATAGGACCATTTTCTTTACTAAAGAACCCTTGAAGAACCATCATTTTAAGAGTGTAGTTTTATTCTTATCCACAAGATTAGTGCATGTTATTTGCCATGTTATGCATTTTGGCAGTTAATCTGGAAACACACTGAAGGTCAGTGTTCATAATGCTACACAACTACAGTTGTTACAACACTGGCTGACGTGAAATTAAATCAAAACAGACAAAAGCAGCGTTTATGACACCAACGTTTGTTGTAACGAGCCTTCATAATAGTTTATGAAGTCTTATGAATGCTGTCCTTCAGTAGTGTTGCCATTAATCCTTTTAAGTTTGTTTCTCATCTTTATAAATCAACATCTGGCAGTGCACACAGATCTATGACCAATTATCTCTGAGTAAAAAAATAGTTACTACTGCTCACAGAAAGCTTTGAGAATACAAGAATACTGTAAATACAGCTCTAATAAGCAAAACCAATGGATTTGTGAGGAGTAATGATGTTTAACTGCACTGTCATCACCGATAAAGTAACCTATTCAATAGAGATGGTGTGTAAACAGACTCCCAGCTGAACTTTGCTCCTTACTACATGCCAAAAACAGAATGTCTGGTCTGATCAATATCTGCGGGTGTTTGTCAGCGGAGCTGGATAAGTCAACTTTTGCATCAGTTTAACAGGTAAATCATTAACTTTCTTAAAGGAAAATCCTTTTAATGATGTGGAAATGATGATTGCTTTAACCTCTAGACAGATCAATCAGATATCAGAGACAGAATAAGTGCTTTTTGTCTTTGAAAAAAACAACTGTAGTCTCCTGTAGGTACCCACCGATCTGTTGCAAAGCTCTGGAGAGGACACTTCTTCCTGGTCTTTGTCGAAGAAGGTGCGGAAATGATCCGTCTTGAAGTTATTTTCCACGCGTTCTTCAGCCTGACTGAGGATGACTTCTTTCTGCTGGTTGGCAGCTGCGATTTTCTTCTCTTTCATCTTCTTGATCTCCTGAAACTGCCTCACAGCATCGTCCACAAAATTGTCCAGGAGTTTATCGGCTAAGGAGCTGAGGGACCTGCTCTCAATCGCGTCGCCATCCACCCTGTCCACACTCGTGGTCTTCTCAGTGGAGAAACCTGAAGATTTCTTAAGTCCTTCAACTCTGGACCTCTCATCACTGATCAGCAGGTCCAAGATGTCCACAGTTTGCTCCTCTAGAACATCAGATGATGCTTTGTCCCGAATGTTGATGGGTAGAGTGGTTTCGCCATTTGACACGTCTTCAAACTTCAGATCAGATGGTGCTTTGTCCCGAATGTTGATGGGGACAGTGGTCTCGCCATTTGACACGTCTTCAAACTCCAGGATGATGTCTCTGCTTCGGCCGTTTGGCACTGGGACCTTTTCCCCGCTGAAGCCCTCTATGATGCCTTCCAGGTCATGCTTCGAGTCTTTTCTAGGCTCAAGGTCAGACGGCTTATCAGAAGATTCTCTCACTGCAGGATGGAAATCCGCATCCAGCTCTTTGTTCTGCAGTGTGCTTTGCTGTAAAGTGCCTTCAGGGCTGTTCTTCTCGAATGCCTTGTTTGTTTGGTCATCCAACGAAGAGTCTTCATCCTCAGTGGTGTCCACATAGCTCTCAAACTTCTCAGGCAGATGAGTGACCTTGTCCGGAGGGGCAAATATCCCATGCCCTTTTTTACACTGGAAGTACATCACTCCATCATAGGTTCCATCATTACTTCCTTCAGACTCGTCCAGCTCCACTCCAGCCCAGAAGCCATTGGCAAAAATGGTTTGTCCCTTGAATCTGAGAGTGCCTGGCTGAATGTTGCTCACCAGAACCCTGTCACCAATGCAGTAACTGGGCATTTCGTCTCTGGGTGGTAGGGATGGTAGGGTTACTGGAGATTTTGGAGAGCCTGCAACATCATCGCTGAAGCTTTCTTTGGAAGGCTTTGCCAGACTGTCAAGATCCAGCGGCCTCTCAGGAAGGAAGCTGCCACTGGTAATACCTGATTTGACACTGAGGTCTTCGTCTATCTCCTCCTCGCTGCTGAAGAATGAAGACTTGTAGGACGTCTCTTTGGGCTGCAAGGCTGAAGGTGACGTTGATTTGGACTCCTGATTATCCTCCTGGAACGATGAGCCAATAGAAGACTCAAAATCATCATTATAGCCATCAGCTGAGGGTGACTGAGCCTCTTTGTGTTCGTCCAAATCTTCTTTCCTGGGTGAAAAGTCAGGACTATAAGAGTCAGCCATGGAACAAAGGGTTTTCTGAGCTGGAGCTTCAGGTTCCTCTCTTGTTTGTTGTTTGTTTAGCACTGTGGAACTAGACTTTATATCTTCTGCCCTGCTGTCAAGCTGTTCCTCTGCTTCATGACTGCTCTTTCCAGACAGAGCGGTCTGTCCTTCAAGCTCAAACTCCTCGGCCCTGTGCGAGGGCAGATGGAGGTCCAGTTTGAGCAGCGGAGGAGAGTTTTGGTCTGTGTGGGATAAGTCATGGTCATCACCGGAACCTTCAGACTTTAGATAGTCCAGTTCTTCTATGACTTCCGATCTCTGGCTGGTCACTACACTCTGGTCAGCAGAGACATTTAACTGTGGTTTGGTAGGGCTTTCAGTCGGGCTGGGTTGGGGTTCTGGAGAATGCAGACTCGCACCCGCATGCTCAGGGCTTCCAAACACTGGGGTTGGGGTCACAGTGGGTGGATCTTCATCTGAGGAGGTGACCTCATGGTCCCCTATGGGTTCACTGTGGCCTGCTGAAGTCAAGGACAAACAATGAAGACATCAAAACCAGGTTACATGATAAAACCATCAATTTGCTTTACATATAAATACATTTTTTACGTTTCTACTCCTTATTTTTGCTGTTTCCACATTTTCAGAACACAATAAATACAACAAAACCATCTTTTATATGATTACTTTCAATCAACTTTTGACAGGTGCTGTATACATTCATCCAAACCAGGAATTGTATATGTCAGCTTTTTATAGCTTTTAACTCAACAGCGTCAAGAACCCACCACTCTCGGTCAAAGACTCTGTGAGGATCTTCTCCTCTGACTTGCTGGAAGTCCTTAGACTGTTCTCAGCTTCAGGCCTGCCGAAGAAATAGATCACACAGAGGTTTAAAGATTGATTGCGATGAACTAATCTAAAGGTGGCAATTCCACCGAATTGATTTTGTAATGGTACTTGTATAGTCTGTAATGTTGTGTGGAAGGGTAACGTGTGGACTGACCTATGAATGGCCGGGGCTCGAATTCTAGGCTTTTCCGTGCCTGACGCTGGAGTTTTAATCTGGGGTTTAGCTGTGGGCATGCTGTCTGCCTCCTTACTCAACTCAGCCTTCGTCTTCTCAATGAAGTTATTATATGACTGTGGAAGTGAGGGATGGCAAGTTAGAAACTAAAACAATTTTTTTCCCCCTTAAGAACAGTGTTCCCCAAACCGGTCCTGAGGAAACCCTAGGTGGTACACATTTTTGCTCTATCCCAGTTTCCAACATCCATGAACAAAGCAAGCAACAATTGTGTACATGGTTCGGGTGTTTTGGGAGCTGGGATAAATTAAAAAGTGCATTCAGGTACCTAAAGAATGGCTTGTAAAACATTGCTTTAGAGTCTGTTAGTGCAAAAAAGGAAAATGAAAGAGAATGTAGGCATTGCCGCATACATATATAAACCCGTAAACCTCCAGAAATAAGTGTTACAGTGAATAAAGCTAGGGCTGTAGGACACATTTTTAAATTTCCCAGTTCTGTGATGAAGCCCAATTCCCACTAGGAGAAGAGGTCAAGGACACCAATCCTCAATTTGGGCTAAACTGTACAGTTTACTGAGAAATCCAGCTGTGTGAAATACTCCCTGCTGTGCTGGAAGAAGACCAGCTAAATCTAACCAGATTTAGATCTCAATATTGTTCAAATATATTATGGTATATTAGATATTTAATCTTGCCTTAATAGTTAATCAGCCCATGCTACATGAGTCTTGCTACTAGTACTAACAGAATGGCTTACAAACCTGACATAGCTTGTTTTGACTGGACTGTTCTATTCTCTTAAAATTACATCAGACAGAACATCACGGCAAATGTTAACTAGAAAGAAAGCACATTTCCAGAAAGGAAATTTACTTTTATTGACTTTTTATGCATTTTAAACTGCTCTTTCCAAACTGAAGCACGCAGCAAATTATATTTGTTACATATCAATATTGCTAAAACTAAGAATAAATGTTGCTGTGTGACACCAGTACACAGGTGTGCGATTATCAGGCTCTGACCTCCAGCTGTTTGAGCAGACTGGCCTCCTGCGCTTTCAGACGCTCCTTGTGCCGCTGTTTCTGCGCTTTCTTCAGCCGCTGGACCTCAGCCTTGCGCCGGCGGAGCTCCTCCTTTAGCGCCAGCACTCGGCCCTCGATGTCACTCTGATCCGAGGCTGCCTCTGTACGGCACAAGCGAGAGATTATTGCACAAACTCCACACAGCGGAATGGAGTTAATCCAGCAGTCACCATAATCAGAATAAGCTCCAACAACCTGGACTGCAGCATGCAGCACAAAACACAGCATCACAAAAGAGGAACTGAAGCTGCAGCATTTGCATCAAATACAGAATAAATGCTCTACAATGTTTCACCTGGTCCTACTGACAGGCTGCAATACACTATATTGAATGTGGGTGGTACAGGTGCTCACGCCTGTTTACGGCACCTCTGACAGTGGAGCAATCAGATTGCAGAAAAAAAAACAAATCATGGGCTGATTTTAGAAAATCTATTAAAATATGCGATGGACATTTCTAAATTCAATATCTCTAACAGATAAAAACAAGACAGTTTCAGACGTTTTTCAACCATCATTACTGTATAAGGATCCACGAGAACCCTGGAATATTCATGAGCTTTCACAGGTAGTCTGAACACTCTTCTCTAGTACATTCAGCATCTTCTTCTCTACATACAGTTTGCCACCTACTGGATATAAGCGTGCGTATTGTATGTAGGACGCTCACCGGATGTTGGGGCTGAGAGTCGGGGCTCGCTGCTCCTGGAGCTGTGTGCAGCCAACTTGCCGCTGAGGCTGTGATTATTCGAGGAAGTCTGTAACACACACAGGGCGTAAGACATCAATAACAAAGCTATTTTTGTCTAATCCTTCTCCATTACTAAATCATTTGTAGTGCAACCCAGTTCCTGAAAATCCACCTACTCAAGGAGTCTGGTTTCAGCCTGGACCTGCTGATCTTCTCCAGCTAAATGACTTCTTTAGACGTCTTTGATTGACTAGACCAGATGCATTAGTGTTTGGGCAGCATGTTAAGCCCAGGACACACCAAGCCAACTTTTTGAACTACCCACTGATGATTGCCTTCGGTCAGCTCACCATTGCCTCTAGTCTCTGGTCAAAATTCGTCCTCTAACACTGCAGAGACTAGTAAAAGTCTTAGGTACGCTGCTGTGCTAATGAACAATCAAGCAGTGAAGGAGAATCTGCACACACAGCGAAGTTTTGGACACCAAGACGTCACTTTAAACATTCTGTCTCGGCAGCGTCAATATGCTGTGAGATTTTAGGTTGTTTATGAACGCAAACACAATCACAACCACTAAACTTCAAATGACCAGGAGTGTGAGAATGAAAATAAAATACCGTTATCGCGCTGGATGGGTTAAAAGGCTACTTAAAACTAAACGTTTAGGGCTCTCGAGAGGTGCAACCATCTAAGCGTTGGCCCTGTCATCGGGAGATTGTGAGTTCGATCCCCGGTGATTCTACAACCGTCCGTGGCTGGGAGTGCAAGAGAGCACAATCAGCTTTGCTCTCTCTGGGTGGGTAGGATGGCCCCCCTGTCTCCCACCTCGGTGCCATGCTAGCCAGTGCAGGCGCCTGTTAGCTGGTGTAACAGAACTGGCGGTTAGTGTTCTCCTGCGAGCGTGTTTAGCTGTCCAATAAAGTTGCATTGATGGCAGTTCGAAAAGATACGGTAGCTCTTCACAGGACTCAGAGGAAGCCTGTGCTAGCTTTCGCCCTCCTAGTGCTGGTGGTATTGTGTGATTGGGGGAGTCCTAACTAGTGGGTGGAATTGGATAGTCTAAATTGGGGGGAAAAAAAAGTTGAACATTAAAACAGTAAATTAAAAAGTTTCAGAATTATATGACAAAAAGTAAAAAGTCCATGGAGAGAGTGAGTAACCCATGCTTAATTTTATGTTAATGCGTTATCATGGCACCTTCAGAGATCTTGTGCATCTGTGCTTATTCCTGACTATATTAATTTTTCTATTGGTTGGGAATAATAATATTTGTTTAAATATTTGGACATTTAAATAGCAGAAATAGTTAAAATGTGTGTTCCTAGCACTAAAACTTTGCTACTTGCACCGGAGATTCTCTGTGTGTCCTCTTCAGAGCTCTGTTTTCTATCCTTGCTTTCCTTTCTCTCCTCATTCACCTGTTCATAGCCAACCTCGGATGCCAATACAACACACTTAGTCAGCCAGAAAAGCACCAATGGGGACCAACCAGTGCCACGGACACCACACTAACTGGGCATCGACTCTCACCAACGATCTGACGGCATCTGATAGCCGACAGTCGGCTTGGTGTGTCCTGGGCTTAAGATGTAGCTGGAATTAAACTCTGCAGGAGGAAGGCAGGTGACAACTGCTACAGGAGGGCCCAGAGTTATTTGTGCCTCGTGTTCATCAGGTTAGTACTGTAAAGGAGAACCTGACAGTCCACTAAGTTCTGGGTACTAACAAGGTACAAACTCAGATACAGACTTGTGAAGTAGCGATGCCCAGATCATTAATCTTATTAAGTCTGATTCTGATTTCTTCACAGCCAAACTGGCCAATGGCCAATTTGTTTGCCCTTTTTTTAAATCCAAAGCTCACAAGTATTTTCATTCTGTAATCGGCATCATGCCCATATTAGGAAATCCGGGTCTAAGCTGGTTCTCTCTGGGGGGAAAATGAATGGCATTCTGTAGTAAACAAAAATTCTCCAATTTTCCTATTTGCAGGTGTTTATTATAAAGAATATATATATTATATTTGTAGGCCTATATAGAAGCTGTTCGGGGCATTAAATGTGTTTTTCTAACATAACACTTCTAACAAGTGCACAAAAAAATGGGTTAACATTTGTGATGTTCTTCAAGGGTTTTTATCATGAAGGAAACAGTACTATAAAGAACCACGAACACTCAAAGAACCCTTTGCATGATTAAAGGGTTCCTCAGCTTGATGGATAATGTGCTGTAGATGATTCTATATAGAACCTTTTTGAAAATGGTTCTATATAGCACCCAAAAGGGTTCTTCTATTGTTACAAGCCTCTTCACAATAGTAGAACCTTTTCTGGTGCTATTTAGAACCCTTTTCAAAAAGGTTCTATATAGAACCATCTATAGCACACACTGCAGAACCCTTTCATGATGCAAAGAACCTTTTAATTATATAAAAGGTTATTTGTAGACCCATTTTCTTTATCAAAGAACCCTTAAAGAACTATCTTTAAGAGTGTAGCTATTAGAATGGCAATATTTTTATTTAACAATTTGCACAATTATAATTTGTCATTTGTGTTTATTTCTTAAAAAAAATGTTAGTTGGATTAAAATGTAATTAAATTAAGAATTATTTTGTTAATGAAATTATAATCCAATTTACATCTCCTTTTAGGAAATAACATTTTACAAATCTTAATCATTTATTTAATTGATATCCAACAATGTAGAACACTGCATGTCCTCGTCGTGCAGCCCTACAGGTCATGAGTGAAATGAAGAGTGAGAAGGTGAGACTGAGGACTGATTCTCTGGTGCTGCTGCTGGGTTAGCCCTTTACCCCGCTGCGCTGTACTCCTTACCGCACGGCTGTGGGACTCAGAAGGCTGAGCAGACTGTATGTGAGGACTGCTGTTGGTCTGTGACGAGGGTGGTTTGGACGCAGGTCCGTCTGAGGAAGGGCTAACCAACTGCTCAGAAACCCACGCAGGTGAGCGCACGCTGGACACCGGAGACGAGTCATCCTCACTGACTGCTTCTGGACAGGAAAAACAAAACAGAGTTTATAGTATATCTGGGTGATAAAATCATAACGTAAATGTTCTGTTTTCGATATAGATCGAAAATGCACGTCTGATATTGTTGATAAAAGGCTGTTTCATTCCTCAATACAGTATTAGCAGCAAAGGCTTGAACTCTGAACAGCTGCTACTTCAGTACACTAGATGACTCTGTTTTCTTTCACTCGCTATTGTCAGACATTAGGAGCGTAAATAAGGAGTCTGAATAAACTTGGGTTCAAAATACTGTTCAAATTTAAAGCTGAGCGTAAGAAAATGAAATGAAATCTCATGATATAGAAAATCATATTGTACTTTAATCCATATCGTCCAATCTTAATTTACACACAGTCGAGTCACATTATTATGACCCCCAGCTAATATCCAGAGTAACCGCCGTGTGCAGCATGAACAGCAGCCAGGTGGGCTGGGAGTGACTCAATAAGGTCCTGGTAGGTTGTCACAGGTATCTGGAGCCATGCTGACTGCAGTGCATCCCACAGCTGCTGGAGGGAGCGTGGGGGAGGATCCATAGAGCGAACACGACGATCGAGGTGGTCCCACAGATGTTCAATTGGGTTCCAGTCGGGGGAATTAGGGAGCCAGGGTAGTACTCGGAAGTCTTGGTCATGCTCTTCCAACCAATGTCGGACATTTCTAGCCGTGTGACTTGTGGCACTGTCTTGCTGGAGGATCCCACTCGCCCCAGGGAAGACAATCATGTATGGGTGTACACGATCTGCAAGGATGGATTCAAACCCAAATCGGTTGAGAGTGCCTTCCACATGGATGAGTGGGCAGAAAGCGCCACCACCAGCTTGTGCGCCATCGAAAGTGGTCATAATAATGTGACTTGACTGTGTAGCACTGCTCATTATATACCCTTGTGCATTGCTCAGATTAAAAATTGCCAAAAACTTAGATGTGATCACCCACAGTCACAGAGTTTAAAGATTCAGCATCATGAGCTCAAGTTTCGTCGTGAATTCTTGCAGTAATCTTACCTGCTGCTTTGACCTGCATTACCCAATACCCACCCAACCCCCAGCCTGAAACCCTCAGGGGCTCAAAGAGCACATTGTTTAAGCACAGAGCCTGAAACAACAACTCAACTCTCATGTGGCTTCTTACTGGACATATAGCATTGTTTGGTATGCAGAAGCTTGTGTTTAATGTCCTTTAATACTGCACAAAGGTCAGAGACCACCTTTCACTTACTTTATCTCCAGTCAAAACAGCCAATAAGTACAAGTTACCCACTTATTTAACAGATAATTTGAAAGAAGCACAATATTTTGTATTTCATTCAGTACTGAGTCACTCTTTCCCTTTATTCCAGCTTCCATTCTTTTCAGGAGACTCTCTTTCAGTTCCTCAAAGAATCTGCAGACACACCTCCAAAGTTCAGTCTTAGAAGCTGGTTGATGATTTTCTGAAGTAATCAAACACATTCAGTGGTGTTGAGGTCTGGACTCTGGGGTGGTCAGTCCATCGTTCAGCTTCTTTGTTTGATGTGTCCGTCTCCTTTTCTCAGTGAGGTTCTTCTTGATCAGCTACACATCCTTTCAGACCCACAGCGCTGAGTCGTCTTCTCACAGTGGAAGGATGGACAGAAACACCTGTGGATGTTTTCAGATCTGAAGCAGCTTGATTTTCTCCTCTCTCTCAGAGATGAAAGCTTTAAGTGCTGTTTATCTGATGGGGGCAGTTTTGGGGTCGACCAGCTCTTCCAGGTGGTTGTTAGGAGGCCCATTTTCTCTGTAGCTTTTAATAAGTTTTAAAACTCCTGTTTTCCCCAACTTATTTTCCTTTGACTTTCTCCTTCCTTCGGTAGTAACTTGTACTTAATGGCTGTTTTGACTGGAAATTAAAGGGTGTCTGACTTTTGCATGGCACTGTATGTAGTGCACCATATATAAGGAGAAGGGAGCCATTTGAGGTCCAGCCTCTTATCTCTATCAAGTTCCATTCTCCATTCGCCTGCTCTCTTTTTACAAGATGCTGTTGCTCATGGAACTGAAGCCAGATGTCTTTTCTGTGCATTCCCATGACTAAACATTTGGTTCTTGACCAGTAAAATCAGTGCACAGAGTTTTTTTGCAGTTACAAGTGGAAACAGAAGCATAGCTGTGAAATATCAGCAATCTGTGGAAAAAACAAAGCTTTCCTGATAAGCCTTCCTCAAGAACAAGATAAACAGGAACCTTTCCAAAGGAAAACGTATGTGGACATGAAAAAGTATTGTTGCTTAACGTCAGTGTGAATGTAAAACTCATTCTCCTTTCGTACTCTGAAATATTTGTGAGTGAAACACTGCTGGGAGGGTTTCTGAGCTAATCTGGACCAGATTCATGAAAGTGTCTAAAGAAAGAAATTCTTCTTAAATGTGTGTTTTCTTCTTAACTTCATTCTTAAGAAAAAACCTTTTTGAAAACAGTTATTCTTCAAATAACTTCTTAAGAATTCTCTTTTTTTCCTTAACTATTTCTTAAGAATAGTTCTAAAAACAACTGGTATTCCTGAAAATGTCATGTTCATAAATGTGTTCTTAATCTTATGACAGACTGAAGGTCGTCTCAGGCTGTGAGAGTTGATGAGGTCCTCATCCTCGTCTCCTTTTTTCCGCTATCACCCCCAAAATTATTGTATTTTCTAAGGGATTTTTTCCCTGTTCACTTTTCTTTCCCCATCACCTCTAGTTCTTGTTTGCCAAACTTTTTAAATGCTTGGTTTGCTGTATTTCCTCCATTCTGCTCCTCTGAGCGGATTAAATAATGGAAATAAGAGTTAATACAAATTAGAAATGTACCTCGTGGCATTTATGGTAAGCTGTAAAATGCAACACCCTATATAAGAAAACAATGAAGGCTATTTTAAGAGAATATTCAAGAACTTCTTAACCTTATGCTCGTAGGTATATTTTGGTTTTTCCATCTGAATTTAAATGCCCAAATCATAAGGCAAACTATTCAGTAACTGCATGAAATAAATGTAAATGTGTTTTTTTTTTGTAAAAGTTCCCCTCAAATTAACAGGAAATGTGTTTTATGATCACACATATTGCCATATGCTTACAATTTACTGCTGAAAGCCAAAAATCTTAGACGCTCTTAGTATTTTTTTATAAAAGTAATTTTTACAGAGCAAATCACTGAAGAGACGCCATCTGTTTATAGTTTATAGCTCAGATTTATGGAAAAATGGGTCGACTTTCAGTAGAAAAATAAAACTGAGTTCAGCTTCTTTTATTATAAGGGTTTAAAACTACATCACCCATCTATTTGACTGGAGAGAAGACAGTTACAGCTCTCATACGACCCCCACCTTTAGAATGTAGCTTATGAAATATGAAAGTTATGAAGTAAAGAATATGTGCGTTTTGGAAACACTGGTGGCTCCAAGGAGTTTTTTTCAAGAACTGTGAATGTAGGAACATTTTACAAACTTCTTAGAGTTTGCCTTGAGAACCTTTGCATGTTTTTTCTTGATAAAGCATTATTTTATTTTATCTAGTCCCTGGTTCCTATCACACACTGTGAACAATTCTGACTGCAAGTTTCTCTAGAACAGAAATTTTTCGCATCGAACCTCTGAACGACTTCGCTTAAGCATTTAATTATTCAGACATTTCAGAGAAACACTGATGCTTTAATGGTGGAAAAGTGTTGAAGGGTTAACTCTGTTCTAGACTCTCCTCTCTCACCTCTGCCTGCACTCCTGTCCTGCCTGTAGGCGGCGCTAGCATTAGACTGGGTGCCGTCTCGTGCGGTGCTGGCTGAGTGTTTACGTTGCGATTGCTGCTCCCAGGCCGCCAGCGCCTGTTTCTCCATCCGCCGGACCGCGGCCTCCTCAGCGTCCAGACGCTGCCTCCACTGCAGCAGCTCCTCCGCCTGCAGCCGCCGCCGCACCAGACGCTGCTCACGCTCCGTCAGAAACCTGAGAGAGAGAGAGAGAGAGAGAGAGAGAGAGAGAGAGAGATATGTGGATAAAGAGAAAGTGACTGAGCTTTCCAACACCAAACAAGCAAACCAATCACTAAAAAACCCATCTGTCCGTTAAAGCGATAGTTTGGCAGTGTCCCACACTTACCCCAACACAGCTGACCAGCCAAGACATGTTTGGTGTCTGAAGTTGTCTAGTTTAGTTTTAGCTCTGCAGCTACAAGGCTAATTAGCTACACTGTAATCCCGCAGTTTGTTTTAACTCAAATAAATTAAGTCTGTTGTACATAAAACTCAGTATATCCCACATACTGCTCAACAATTTTAAGAGAACATTTTTGATGATTTTGTACACTCAAATGGCATTTTTGAGTTAACTTAATTAACTTATTGCTATTTAGTTTATTCTGTTGCCATGGCAGCTTTGAAACCCCACATTCAAAAAATGACATTTCTGTTGGTTTTAATTGTTTCTCTCTCATTAAAGTTGCTGAACAAATGTGTGAAACTGAGTGAAGCTAAGTAAGCTGTAAAACAGTTACATGTTTGTTTTGTTAACATGATCTCGTTGGATGAAAACATGTTTCTTTCCCATTGGCTCCTGGCTCCGTCTATTTGCATATTGGGTGCTTCTTTCCATTTGTTTTACTCACCGTCCGTGTGCTTTCATGCCACCCAGGCTGCCTTTCCTCAGGCGTATACTTCTCATATATGCTTTACTCAGCTGCCTGGCCTTGTGTTGTTGGCTAAAAGTGAAGGTTATCGTTCTCTTTGCTGATGAGCGCGGGTTTGTGTTGGTCAGTGACCACATTCACACTAAAGGTTAAGGCAAAGTGGTCGATATTTCTTATAGAAAAAAAAATCTTCATTGCCTAACGAAACAGAGAATTAAATGCAAATGCAATTTCAAAACGTTACATTAAAATAATTAGAATTTATGAGTTGCACAAACATGTGTTTATGTTAACCTAACGCAAAAATTATTGTTATTCTAACTCAAGTTTTCATTACACACTACTTAACTTTAAGGCAACTTGTTTCCTCAATTTTTTAAGCAAATTCAACTTATCCAGGCTTACAGTGTAACAAGTAATAGAAACTTATACCCCACTTATTAGCATGGTGCTTTCACATATTCGCCTTACAGCGTGTTAAAGTTGTTCAGTATCTCTAACAGACTTGATTACGTGGTTTCTAAAACTGAATGACTCACTATTATCTATAAACATGGACTAAAGTATATTAGCATAGCTAATAACAGTAGCATCTTGAAGCATGAATTTTGTCCATTTTTAGCTTCAGGGCTAAAACAACAGAAGCAAACCTCAGACACCAAACGTCTCAGCTACAGCTTGAGTAAGGCGGAGTATTAGGTGAATGTGATTGTCAAACTATCAATTTAATCAACTAATTTTATCAAATTAGTCCAGATGAACGCACAAACACAAAAATATGTAAAACATACACAGACAAAGCAAACCATGTTGATTCTCCATCAGGCATGGTTTCAGAAAACAACACAACACACTTCCAATACAGGTGCCTTCATCTTCATCACCACCATCATTATGGAAAACCCATGCAGCTGCCTGAGCTCAGGGGTAATGAAGCACTGCGCCCCCTGGAGGTCAGACCCACGGTGCACTGCGCTTTTGTCTCTGTGGCTGGAAACTGATACCTGCAGAATTTATTATTTTAGGCTGATTTAATGATTCATCTTTGTGTTTTAGGCTGATTTACTGATTCATTGTTGTGTTTTAGGCTGATTTACTGATTCATTGTTGTGTTTTAGGCTGATTTACTGATTCATTGTTGTGTTTTAGGCTGATTTAATGATTCATCTTTGTGCTTTAGACAGACTTAGTGATTTATCCTTGTGTTTTAGGCTGATTCACTGATTTATCTTTGTGTTTTAGACAGAATTACTGATTATCTTTGCATCTGAGGCTAATTTAGTGATTTATGTTTGTGCTCTGGCCAATTTAGTGATTCATTTTTGTGTTCTAGGTTTATTTAGTGATTTATCCTAGTGTTTGAGGCTGATGTAGTGACAGATTCAGTTGATTTAACACATTCTCTTTGGATTTTAGGCTGCTTCAGTGATCCGCGATTTGTGCTGTCATGTTTTACACCAGCTATAAAATAGTTTAATTAGGAAAAAAGAAGAAAAGAGCAGATATTCCCTTTTCACTATTATTTGTTTACTCCTTGTTATTCTACTTCATTCTCATTCTTTTCTATTAATGCATCCTTTTATGCAGAGCTCCTCTGGAAATGAGGCACTGGTCTCATTAGGGCTTCCTTGATTAAATAAAGTAATAAATAAGAAATAATTAGCTGACTCATTAAGAGTTTTCTCAGTGTTACGATGAATAATGGATATTTTATTCATGACACTGCCTTAAAATAACTTTTTGCTAGCAGGGAATCTGACCTGGCCTGCTGTCTTCTTCATGGAGCTTTGAGATAATTAAAAGCATGTTAGAGAAAAACAGATGGCTTTATCTGAAAGCAATGGTCTCGCCTTGTGAATACAAAAGCCATCTCCATCCAATCTAACCTTCAATTCTATTACAGCCCTGAGCTCATATATACTCATTAGCTCATCACAGGCCGAGCTTATTAAATCTGCAGGCGGTGGAAGATTTAGTGCAGCCACAGAACAGATCGAGCGCTCCTAACCAGCCTTAATCAGAGCTGTATAATCCATCAGTCTGCTCAGAGCTAATGCAGGACAAAGAGAGATCACACCAAGATCAACGGAGACTCTTCAATTTATCTATGATTTAAATGTTTATAAAAGGAATATTAAAGCAATAGCTCAAAAAGAAGAATAATAAAAAAAAAGAATCAAATTGACCCAGTTTTCCTATCTTAGCCCAAATGTAGTGGACCAGTGAAAACATGTTTGGTGTCTGAAGATCACGTCTTTAGTTTTAGCAAAGGAGCTACGAGGCTAACGCAGCTAATGGAAGTTTAAGAAAATAGACAAAAATATGGACAAAATTCAAGCTTCAAGCGCTGCTATGTAACTGCTTAACTTTGCAACGTACTTTAGTCCATGTTTATACATATTCAATCGTTTATATCATTTATAGGTATTTAATAGAATTTAACTGAACTGAATATCTTACCTTATCGACTTTTTTGGTTTTTGTTAATATGTGCTAATTCCAAATCTGACGCCTGCAACACATTCCAAAAAAGTTGGGTTGGGGCAACTTAAAACCGGGAAGTTTGTGGAAAACAAAATATAAAGAGTATAAAGGAAGCCGTTACGAAAGGCTCAGGAGGCACAGCGTTTCGCAAAGCACAATTGCAAGGAACTGAGAGATTATCTTCTATGGTTCATAACATGGTAAAAAGATTCAGATCATCTGGAGAAACCTCTGTGCATAAAGGAAAAGGCTAAACCTCTGTCAGCAAACAGAGTTCATCACTGCATCTACAAATGCAAGTTAAGATGCTACTACGCAAGGTGGAAGCCATATATAAACAACACTCAGAAACACTGCCGACTTCTCTGGGCTAAAGCTCATCTGCGATGGAAAGTAGAAATGTGTGCTGTGGTCTGACGAGCAAGCCTTTCAAATTGTTTTTTTGAAATGATGGACGTTGTGTTGTCCAGACCAAAGAGGAAAAAGATCATCCCTACTTTTACCAACATGGATTATAAAAGCCAAAGTCTGTCATGATATGGGGCTGTATTAGTGGGTAAAATACACATCTGTAAAGCTTAGTATATCAACATAGAGCCCGGACAGCTGAAGTGCAGCTGAAGTGTTACATCAAACAAGAATGGGAAAAAAAATCCACTTTCACAACTACAACAGTCGGTGTCCTCAGCGGTAAACATGCCCCAGTACTAACTTTTTGGAACATGTTGCAGGTATCAAATTTAGAATAGGCATTTATTTACAAAAGAACAAAACAAAGTAGTTGAAACATTACATTTCTTGCCTTTGTTCTGGTCACTTTAATTACAGGTCAAAAAGGATTTGCAAACTTTTGCTCTCTGGTTTTATTTACATTTTTCCTTTCCCCGACTTTTTTGGTTTCAAGAAATGTCCATTTAGTACCTTTGATCTCTGTTCTGTTGTTCCGTTGCTAATGGACTGATACACAAACATCAACACTCAGAAAACCTCTTACAGTTTTCTGCAAAATTTTGTGCACCCTTGCCCAAATGACGTTTTTGATTTTCTAAGCGAAAATAAGTGAACACATCCTCTACAGAGAACACACTTCTGCACACTTTAATACACCATCACTGTTAATTTCCTGAATTGAACATATAGCAAAAAAAGTGGCCTCATATTTTGTGTTTTATTTAGCAAATAAACAGAAATTATGCACTAAAACTAGAAGGTAAGTGGCATATTTAAGTTCCCTGAAGAGGATGTGTGAACTAATATTTTCACAAAACATGTAATCTGACCAGGGATGTTCAAACTTTTGCATAGAACTACATAACAATACAGGCAAAACAGGTGATTCCGAACATGAATTCCGAACTGAATTGAATGAGAACGGCAAAATAAGAGAAATAAGAGTACGTAAATAAGAGTAATTAGCCTTGTTGGCTTAAACTAAAGAACAAACTTCAGCACCAAACATGTCTTGGCTGATACGCTTGGGGACTTCGTATATTTGATTTTTGCTTTAAGACTTGCAGAGAACATGCACATATTTGAAGACAGGCCTTAGAAATATTAATAGACCAAATACTAATGGGAAATTGATTTTCAGAATCCTGCTGTCCACCACAGAGAGACAAAACCACCCAGTGAGCTGAAAACTCCAAACCTGCCACAATTCAAACAAGAATAATCTTTGGCTTTTGTGTTCACAGTAAGAAACCTGGGCCTATTGGTAATAAACACAGACAGTTTTCTCCAAATTATACCACACACTGTGAGTTAGTGGTCATCTGTAGGGGTGTCTGGATTCAGTCCTAGTGTCTATATTTGACTGGTCAACACAGGCAGGTGTGCATAAAGTGTGGTTATTAGGTTGGATATAATTGTCAATTCAGAGGTCAAGATTAGATTTAATATTTTATATGTTAAAAAAAAGAAAAAAATTTCAACCCCTAGAATTTATAAACTCTTCCAGTCATTTGAGAGTGGGTGTGTCCATAGCATAAGCCCCACCCCTTCACAGCCCACTTTACTATAGCCTTGACAGGCTGCACCTAGATTCCTAGTTTTGATCATTAACAGTGATTTCAATGAAAGACGACTGAAGGGCCGTATCGGCGATACAGCTTTAGCTTTGCCTACTCTGTGATAAAAGTTTATTATTTTGATATGATATATGATAATCGTTACACCCTTAGCAGTCAGGTCTTTTAAAGTGGGCCTGCCAAAGACTCAGCTGGTTTAACTGTGGCAGAGTTTGGGTCCCAATTCGTCACCATCCCACCCATTGCGCCGTGCCCTGTCTGCAGATAAACACAAGCATGCTCCATGGGAAAGGAACAGGCAGCTGTACTGTACCTGACCAACTGAGTGTAGATATAGAGCTGGAATTTAGGATGGAGTTTAGGAAGACAGAGACGGAGAGAGGCCCAGTGCTGAGCACCGAACACAGAGAAAAAACAGAGCACAGGAGAGCACTGCCTAAACACAGACACATCACAGAGAGAGAGGAGGAGACGAATGGGAGAGACAGAGAGAGAGAGAAAGAGAGAGAAAGATTTTAATGAGCTGCTGGATTGAGAAAAGGGGCTACTCAAGAGCGCACACACATAATGGCCATTAGGACTGGGCGATACGGCCAAAAATTGATCACGATACATTTGTCCATATTCAACAGCAGCTCTCTCGATAATTCAGTACTTTTTAATGCATTTCCCTAAAGCTAATTTTAAGTCTGAATAGTAATTTGAATAGAAAGCCTTATTCCGGTGTAGTACATTCAAACAGCTGGCTATACATGGAAAACAAATACATCTTATTTTATATGTAACAGTATTTTAAAATAAAAAACGCACGATATATGAAATATACATGAAAATATCTAGGTGAACTGCACTGTGCCAAAGTTTTAGGCAGATGAGAACATTAAAAAGGTATTTATTTGGGCAGTTAGTATTTATTTCCTCAGAAACACATTAATGTTAGAATAAATGCAAATAATAATACAGTAAGCAGTGATGTTGTATATGTCAGTGTGTCTGTTTAACCTTTGGAAGCCCAGTATCATTTGTAGGTCTCATCCATTCCCTGCTTTATCTAATCAATACTTCATTATGTTAAATCAGGTGTACTGGTGATGGAATTTAATAAATCCATGAGATGGCAGGAAGCATCCAGGAGAAATCTGGAACCAAACTGCGTTATGCAAGCACACAAGATCTCAAATACTTTTGGAAATTAAGGAATTCTTATGTTTTACTGTTTTATTTTTTTTTTGCATCTATTCTAATGGTATATGGTGCTTCACTGGCAAAAACGAGATAAACAATGTGCTTAGGTACCCAAAATTTCTGCACAGTACAGTCAATATCACTAAACCACTAAATCCAGTGAAATAATACAAATATCGGTAACACTTTCTATGAATGTCACCTTTGTAAGCATCTACAAACACATCCATAACATGTTATAATGCATTCATAAGACATTATAAACATAGCTATAAATATCATAAAAATGCATTATATGTTATAGTCATGTTTATTATGCATTATGCATTGTTAACATAATACATTATAAGTACTGATCATAACAAATTATAAGAGCTCATAAGTCGTATTTGTCCGCTCTAAGTAAAGTGAAGCGTACTGTACTAAAGCCTCCTCCAGTGTTCAGAGTGAGGCTTCAAGTTGAAGTATTTACTGAAGGATTTACTGAAACACTAAAACATTCACAGTAAAGCACATTACAGGCTTCAAATGTCAGAGTTTAAACTAGAGCTGCCATCAGTGTTTTACCCAATGTGGGAAAGGTAATGTACACCACCGTTAGCTTGGTATCTGTCTTTACTTTACGCTCTCCAAGCTGGGACTGACTTCTTTGGCACTGACATTACAACATATTATTAACACTATTTATAATGCATTATATTAACAATTCATAATGTATAATAAACATGGCTATAAAATGTTATTCAGTGTAATTCTTTTTTATAAATATTTATAACCATGTTTATAATGCCTTATGAATACATTATAATATGTTATAAATGTGTTTATAAATGCTTACAAAGGTGACATTCATAGAAAGTGTTACCCAAATATCTAACAGAATATATTTGACAATATCTAGCCAGCTAGCTTGCCGCGGGTCTGTGCTGTAATAAATTATAAACTATATAAGGTATAAACATTTTCCTTGTCTTGTCAACTTATATATTTGTCCTAGTGTACAAAAGTAGCAGCTGTTCAAAGTTTAAGCCTTTGCTGCTGGTTCTAGATCGAGGAACAGAACAGCATAACCATTTAATAAATATAAGAAAATACCTCAAACTCTATCAATGTCAAGAAAAGGTTTTGATAATTTAAAGACTTCGACGTTTAGCTTTTATCACCCAGGTCTAAAGGCCATGCTGAGCTTACGAAGTGCTTTTCCAACAACAACAACAACAAAAACAACAACATCCATATCATCTGCAGTCTTAATGGACCATCTGAAAGAAACGAAGGACCTAAAAGCTTTGCTTTTGTGTTCTGGAGCTGGCTTTTTAGCTTTATTATTGCAGTCCAGTCAGGCGGACAGGAGGTCAGCAATGCATGCTTTGGCAAATTCCATCTGGCTAAAGGATGCTGTAGCATCTTTAGCAGTAATTTCAAGGGCCAGAAGTAGAGGTGGGCAATATGATGATATATTACGTTCTACACCAATCAGGCATAACATTATGACCTTGTTTCTACGCTCATTGTCCATTTTATCAGCTCCACTTACTATATAGGTGCACTTTGTAGTTCTACAGTTACAGACTGTAGTCCATCTGTTTCTCTGATACTTTGTTAGCCCCCTTTTACCCTGTTCTTCTGTGGTCAGGACCCCCATGGACCCTCACAGAGCAGGTCCTGTTTGGGTGGTGGATCATTCTCAGCACTGCAGCAACACTGACGTGGTGGTGGTGTGTTAGTGTGTGTTGCGCTGGTCTGAGTGGATCAGACACAGCAGTGCTGCTGGAGTTTTTAAACACTGTGTCCACTCACTGTCCACTCTATTAGACACTCCTACCTTGTCAGTCCACCTTGTAGATGTAAAGTCAGAGACGATAGCTCATCTGCTGCTGCACAGTTTGTGTTGGTCATCCTCTAGTCCTTCATCAGTGGTCACAGGACGCTGTCCACAGGACGCTGTTGGCTGGATATTTTTGGTTGGTGGACTATTCTCAGTCCAGCAGTGACACTGAGGTGTTTAAAAACTCCAGCAGCACTGCTGTGTCTGATCTACTCAGACCAGCACAACACACACTAACACACCACCACCACGTCAGTCCAATAGACGGACTACAGTCTGTAACTGTAGAACTACAAAGTGCACCTATATAGTAAGTGGAGCTGATAAAATGGACAATGAGCGTAGAAACAAGGAGGTGGTCATAATGTTACGCCTGATCGGTGTATTATGATTATTGTGAAAAAAAACATCACGAAACACATGATTAATAAAGACAAGCAAGAACAGTAATCACATAAACTGTACTGTAACAAGCAGCTGATTGGATATCAGGAATTTTTTCCTTCTAAAATTTAGTTTTAAAACAAACACTAGTTAAATATAGCAGAGCTGTTCTGCTGCTGCATTTTGTCCATTCAAACATGTTTGCAATATACTGTGTATTGTGAAAATGTCATATTTTCCCTTATTGCCCACTGTTTACAAGATCTGTCTTCCCAGTTTATTGCCGGTTACCACCTGCTAGCTAGGCTTCCTCCATCACAAGCTGGGAAGGTGAAGACTAGCAGTGAGCCTTTACATGCAGGTGCTAAATACATCACCATAACACACCCATCCTCTCACTGAACAGGACTTGGGTTGTGAATCTTTCCTACACAGAGCATGCTTATGTCCAAACCAAAGCTCCTACACATATAAACGTCCAACCACAGGTAATAATCAAACCACACATGCAACAGGCTTGTTTACACATGATGTAATCAATCCATTTCCAGGAAATACTGTCACAGTACATTACATGTCCAAAAGTATCCAAACAGAGTGAATTCAGCTACTTTAAGGTGCAGCTATTGCTGATCCAGCTTGTATAATCTCAACAGAAAGCACTGACCAATAGAATGGGGCATGGCATGTGTGGGATAGAGGGGTATAAAGCCCCCCCAGCATTGGGCTGTGGAGCAGTGGAACTGTGTTCTCTGGAGTGATGGAGCTCCATCCAATACCTTTGGGATGAGTTGGAGTGATCCAGAACTGAGCATCCAACATCAGTACCTGACCTCACGAATGCTCAATCAAATCCTCACAGCAATGTTCAACATCTAGAGTAAAGCCTTCCCAGAAGAGTAGAGGCTGTTACTGCAGCACAAACTCACTATTAATCCCCTTCATTTCAGAAAAAAATGCTGGTCTACAGACTTTTGGACATGTAGTGTATTATTAGGGCTAATTATTATACAGGAAAACGATCCAAACTGAGATCGTTCAAACACATGACCTCTTGTTTTTATACCTGTTATCACAAGATAAACATTCGTGCATATTTAGTTAATCCCTTAAAGCGAGGTTAAAGGTTCAGGTATTCATTCAGCCATTAACACTTAATATTCTGTAACTACTACAAATTCTACCACTGTGAATTATTCAGTAACTACTATGAAACTATTGTGTAAGTTTCATAGTTATGTGAGTGACAAAATAAGTGTGGATCCACAAACAGACCATAAATGTGAAACTTTCATGCAACTTTAGCTGCTTAAAATCTTTAGAAAATAAAATTTCCCTTGTGACGCGCAACGAAAAGCCTCCTGCAATTCACTTGAAACTGTCCGAAACTCAGCTGCAACTGACTCAACTTTGTGAGATAAGTTTAAAGAAACAGTCAGACAATGTACCACACGATCAAACTGTACAATATCATATCAACTGATTTCTTTCAATTGAAATGTCATGAAGGAGAAAATAAGAGCATGGGTCTCTTGGGACAGCATTTCCTATTTGCTGTTAACCAATTAGCATAACGTGACAGATAACCAGGTAACGCTAACATGATGGTTGTTTATGCCAGCATTTATTCTGCTTTCTTAACCTTCTGTTACAAAGAAAAGTTGTTCATTTTCTTCTTTCTTGAGATAAATGATACAAAGACTCTACTAACAGAAGGGAAATAATGTGTTGCATGTGACTGAACAGTTTGAACTCTGGTTGCATGAAGGTTTCACCACTTAAAGCCAGTTTTAGTATTGAAAAGTCTTTTTTTTCCTCTTCAAAAAGCTCATTTGACAAATTGTTCAGCTACGCTGCAGAAGAAACACTCTGAGAACTCAGTGTGACAGGTGTCTACCTCTCGTCCATTTGGTAGCGCATCTTCTTCAGTTTCTGCATGATGCTGCTGGTCTCACTACCTGACACCGACAGTGGGGAAGGGGCTGCGGGTCTCTGTGTCTGTCACCAGACTGGGCTCCGCCTCCTTCACCTCAGCTGAAACAGGTGACCTCTGAAGAAACAGGTCAGTAGGTGTTTAGTGCCACGGTGGTGTACGTGCAATAGGGCCCACCAATTAGATTGACATCTACACTGTGTGCACAATTATTAGGCAAGTGAGTGTTTTGACCATAACATCCATTTATATGCATATTTTCCAACTCCAAGCTGTATAAACTTGAATGCTTATTGGATTTAAGCACATCAGGTGATGTGTATGTGTGTAATGAGGGACGGGTGTGGCCTACGGAGATCAACACCCTGTATTGAGAGGTGCACGATTATTTGTCAGCTTCTTTTCCTCAGGCGAAATGGGCCAAAAAAGAGATTTAACTGACTCTGAAAAGTCAAAATTGTAAAAAGTCTTTCAGAGGGATGCAGCACTCTTGAAATATTGGGGCGTGAATCACAGAGCCATCAAACGATTTGTTGCAAATAGTCAACAGTGTCACAAGAAACATGTTGAGGAAAAAAAGACGCAAATCAACTGGCAAAGATTTGAGAAGAATCAAACGTGAAGCGACCAGGAACCCGTTATCCTCCAGTGCTGTCATATTCCAGAACTGCAACCTACCTGGAGTGCCCAGAAGCACAGGGTGTTCAGCGCTCAGAGACATGGCCAAAGTAAGGAAGGCTGAAACCCGACCACCACTAAACAAGCTGAAGCGTCAAGACAGGCCAAGAAATATCTGAAGACAGATTTTTCAAAGGTTTTATGGACTGATGAGATGACAGTGACTCTTGATGGAGCAGATGGATGGGCCCATGGCTGGATCAGTAACGGGCACAGAGCTCCACTTCGACTCAGACGCCAGCAAGGCGGAGGTGGGGTACTGCTATGGGCTGGTATTATTAAAGATGAGCCAGTTGGACCTTTTCAGGGTGGAAGATGGACTCCAAATCAACTCCCAAACCAACTGCCAGTATTTAGAAGACACTTTCTTCAAGCAGTCCATGACCAAGAAGACCATGATTTTCATGCAGGACAATGCTCCATCGCATGCATCGAAGTACTCCACTGCATGGTTAGCCAGTAAAGGCCTTAAAGATGAAAGAATAATGACCTGGCCCCCTTCCTCACCTGACCTAAACCCTTATTGAGAACTTGTGGGCCTTTCTTAAACAGGTGATTTACGGTGAAGGAAAACAGTACATCTCTCTGAACACCGTCTGGGAGGCTGTGGTTGCTGTGGCACAAAAAGGTGATCGTCAACAGATTAACAAACTGACAGACACCATAAATGGAAGGCTTATGACTGTTACTGAAAAGAAGGGTGGCTATATTGGTCACTGATTTTTTTTTATTATTTTTTTTTTTTAATGTCAGAAATGTTTATTTGTAAATTTTGAGTTGTTTATTATTCTCACTTCAACAGATGTAGATAAACAAGTGAGATGTGAAAATTTTCGTTTTTCATTTAGTTTCATAATAATTCTGCACTCTAATAGTTGCCCAATGATTATGCACACAGATATTCTCCTAAGAAAGCCAAAACCTCACTTTTACTTTCTTTAATATTCAGGTTTGAGGTTTATTAACATTTTGGACTGACCGAGATCACTGCAGCTGCTCAATAATAAAATGAATCCTCAAAAATACAACTTGCCTAATAATTGTGCACACAGTGTATTTAACAGTGCTAACTGTTGGCTGCTCATTGTCATTTACTGTTTGTTTTTTTGACTGAACTACTCCTTTAAAAGTGTACTAGTGATAATGTGGTGCGTTCGTTTCTGACCGGGCTGTTATCTCCAGCGCTCCTGAGTTTCTCTCTCAGTCTCAGGGTGCTGTGGTGAATCCTCTCGATCTCCTCCTGTTGTTTCAGCAGCAGCTGTCGCTCCTTCCGTGCCGCCCTGTTCGCCTCCTGCAGACGCCTGATCTCCGCCTACAAGACATACGTGCAAAGATCACTTCCTGTTCTGTCTTACAAAACAGTCATATTCTTAAAGTTAAGCAGGGCTGTTTAGGGACAAGTCAGAATTTTTAAATACTTAAACAATTTTTTATTGTCTGAACTCTATACTCCGCAAGAGGGCAGCGTAGAGCCAGCATCTTACATTTTGGTCAGATTTTTTACTGCGGTCGGCTAAAGGCTACCGCACACCGGACGAGAAGCTCTGCACCGTGCGGCAGGCGGTACAAAGTGCAGCTATAGCACATAGGAAAAGCTCTGATCAAGTTAAGTTCAAGTTCATTCTTAAACTCTACTCTTAAAAATAAATGGGACCAAACTTTCAACATCATTGAGAGGATTTATCACATGTGGCATTGGCTAACTTCATAAACTTGCTGTTTTCAAGAGAAAAGAGTAGGAGGTGAAATGCGATGTGACAAGGCTAGTAATGTTAGCAGAACTGGACATGGACAATCAGCATTTATCTATCTCAAAGACTTTAGACTGACACTTCTCTTGGTGTATATTTCAAGCTACATGTTATCTAATATGGATTTGTGCTCCATGTTTAATATAATATAGCATTACAGTAAGATGCTGAATGATGTGTGTCACCGCCTCTAGTGTGCAGTAGCCTGTAGCCTCAAAGGGACATCTATATATACACACCGATCAGGCATAACATTGTTTCTACGCTCATTGTCCATTTTATCAGCTCCACTTACTATATAGGTGCACTTTGTAGTTCTACAGTTACAGACTGTAGTCCATCTGTTTCTCTGATACTTTGTTACCCTGTTCTTCAGTGGTCAGGACCCCCATGGACCCTCACAGAGCAGGTACTATTTGGGTGGTGGGTCATTCTCAGCACTGCAGTAACACTGATGTGATGGTGGTTTGTTAGTGTATGTTGTGCTGGTATAAGTGGATCAGACACAGCAGTGCTGCTGGAGTTTTTAAACACTGTGTCCACTCACTGTCCACTCTACTAGACACTCCACCTTGTAGATGTAAAGTCAGAGACGATAGCTCATCTGCTGCTGCACAGTTTGTGTCGGTCATCCTCTAGTCCTTCATCAGTGGTCACAGGACGCTGCCCACAGGACGCTGTTGGCTGGATATTTTTGGTTGGTGGACTATTCTCAGTCCAGCAGTGACACTGAGGTGTTTAAAAACTCCAGCAGCACTGCTGTGTCTGATCCACTCAGACCAGCACAACACACACTAACACACCACCACCACATCAGTGTTACTGCAGTGCTGAGAATGATCCACCACCCAAATAGTACCTGCTCTGTGAGGGTCCATGTGGGTCCTGACCACTGAAGAACAGGGTAAAAGGGGGCTAACAAAGTATGCAGAGAAACAGATGGACTACAGTCTGTAACTGTATATATATATATATATATATATATATATATATATATATATATATATCTCACTGAGGTCTCTATAAGCTCTATCTAGGATATAACTTCTAAAATGCAAAGCATCAGCCAGTTACTCCCAGGGTTAAGTGTACATCTGTGTGTGCAGACACTGGAAAGTGAGCAGCGGAAAGTCTGTTTTTAGTTTATCCTCGGAATTTATGCACTGTTCACGCCAACAATGCTGAACTTCTGTACCATGTCTGAATGCAAAACTTATGAAATCAAAAGCAGTTGATGTTGCTTGCCATTACTGACCAAGAGACATCAAAATTTACAGTGACTACAGGCCATTTAAAACCCATCCAGAAGATACAAAACAGTACGCAAATATCAGAGAATGCAGTCAACATTTCAGTCTGGAAGACTACAAATGTTATCTACAAGCAGAGTAAGAGTCACCAAGATCTGAACTGAAAGAAACTGCCACTTAGTGTTTTTGGAAAGTGAACTGAACGAATATAACTCTTTATACAAATTAAAGTCAGTGATTTAATCTCTTTCGGGTGTTTATGGGTTTAACTGTTCCTGCTGCTGTTTTTCCTCTCTGCCTGTTGTAGTGAGTGCTACTGTTGTTATGAGCTTTTCGGTGTTTGTGGGCGTTGAATGGGTGTTCATGGGTCCTGTGTTACCTGTTCCTGCTGCAGTTTGAGCAGTAACCCTCTTTGTCTCTTGCGGATCGGCGGCATCTTATCGTCCTCGCCCTTATCTCTCAGACGCCTGGCATGAGAGAAGATGAAAGAGACAGAAAATATGGATAAGGAATTATGGGATCGCAATTACACTGAATAGATCAACTAAAAAATACGTGTCTGACTTAAAACAGCAGTGAGGTATGATTATTATCAGGACATTTTCACGATGCTCGACACATATGATATTCTGACATACAGAAACAAACAACACACTAGTAGTAATTAATTCAAGTCCATTTAAGTTAGTTAAGTGACCCTTTTTAGTCCCACAACGGGGAAATTTCACGTCCGTATTTAACCCAACCGTGCAGTGAAACACCACATACACACTAGTGAACACACACACTAGGGGGCAGTGAGCACACCTGCCCAGGGCGGTGGGCAGCCCTATCCACAGCGCCTGGGGGAGCAGTTGGGGGTTAGGTGTCTTGCTCAAGGGCACTTCAGTCACGTACTGTCAGTTCAAGGGATCGAACTGGCGACCTTTTTATTCGCCACCAGCTTATTCTAATTTTCAGTTCCACCTTAAATGGTGCAGCAGTTAGGCACCAGAATGTAACTGCTTAAGTTGAAACGACAAAGCTGGCGAATTACAAATCAAATTCAGCCTTGTGGGGAATGCTGTGCTTGTTTTACCTGCAGAAGCTGTTAAAATTGGCCAAATAAAGAGAGATCAGTTTCTTTTGTTTTGCTACCGTGAGAAACACGGTCAGTTCGCCTGGTAAGTTTCTCCAGTAAGAGTTTAAGTGCTGAGCGAAAGTGCACTGATGCTTTACTTCTAGCTTAAGAAGGCGAACCTGAACTCTAACTTGTCACAAGCTCAGTAACAGACATTTCAGGACGCTGCTGTCTATCAAATTTACAGCAGGAAACGAATCCATTCAGAAGAAAAGCAGCAGCTGTGTAGAGTCCCTCTGCAGTCAGTTTCTCCATGTTTCTTCCACTTTGGGTCTTGGGCCTTCCGAGATATGAGGCTCAGGTCAAAGTCTGAGTCATTGGTGTTCAAGTCAAAGTTGAGTCGCAAGTATTTCTCAATTTTGTCGAGTCGAATCTCAAGGCATTAAATTCATGACTCGGGTTGGACTCGAGTCCTAACCTCTGGTATTAACAGCCAGTTTATTCTCTAACACCATGGTGACATGGTACACTGTGCTGGCACTGTGTCCGATCCAGTGGACAGACGTATTACTCATGATAAAGTTATCAGATGACCAACTGAAAACAAACTAATGCTAACCTACAACAGAAGACTAGAAAACAGTCTGACATCCTCTCACATCTAAAGACTATGTCACAATTTTTAGTCACAGACTATGATTTTGCAAAGACTGGGAATCTTGCAGTGTCACTATTATAAGACTGCAACTAGATTTTTAAGATTATTCCCCATCATGCACCTGGTGGAAATTTACAAGCAGATAAGCACTTTTCCTTCCACTACAGTGGTACAGATGGGAAGGTAGGTTGGCTGGGCATGTAAATATCTGGGGCTCAGCCCAGTTCACTGCAGAATAGTTTATTCTGGCAGATCATCACCCAGAATCTTTTTAATTAACCTGTAAAATGCAAAATAAAAAAAACCTAACAGAAAGCAAAAAAAAAAATTTGCATGATTCTTCAACAATGCCATTCTTAAAGACCTCAGCACATTTCCTTACATCACTGTTACACTCAGTGAACCTGAAAGATTACAGCAGCCAGTTTACATTAAGTTAATATGATTTTTGTATCAAAGTGGGGTAGATCTGCTTTTTTATTTATTTATTTATTTATTTTATATACAGAGATTTCAGGCTGTCGCGCATGCATTCTCTCTCTCTCTGTGCGTGCATGGCACATCACTATTTGCATGAGTCAAGACTTAAAACTTACAATAATATTAAACACGGTCGATTTAGTTGTAGCGTCAAAACAAGAGCGCGACGAAACTCTAGCCAGACTCTCATGATTTTATTCCAACATTGGAAGTTTGTCTGCGACAGTGAAATCGCTTGAAAAGTCGCTTGGTCGTTTAACTGTACTAAAGTGTGATCAGTGCTGCGACTTCACGAATGAAGGCGGAGCTTCTTGCCTTTTCTGGTGCTCGAGCCAGGCGAGCTCGGCCTTGGTCTTCTCCTTCAGCGCTCGGTGGCGGAGTCGCAGCAGAGAGCTCTGATGCTGAGCTCGAACTTCCTCCTCCTGCATGTACTGCTTCACCATCGCCATGGTGAACTTATTGAAGCTGTCCTGACCGCTCGAGAAGGGCATGCTGCTGTCCTGCTGAATAAAGAGAGGGAAAAAAAAAGCTGGTCTCTGTGTGTGACTGGGTAAACAGGACTGGGTAACATAGGGGGAGGAATCCCCCTCACGGTAAAATGTCACGCCCCTTATCTTTACACCTGATCAAATGATGGGGCCAAATCTAATCTCGACACATTAACTCCAACATTTCATCTGGATCACCTCATTCCTGGAAAAAAACATTTAATAGCAATCTATTCATTAAAAGTAACATGAACTAGAAAAATTGTTGAAAACATGTCATAACTTTTTGTCAAATAATCCAATAATCGTTACATACATGCATTTATCAATTAAATGTTGAATGCTATTGCTTGGTTTAAATTGTTGCATAACTACATGTTATAATAATTGTAACAATTATTGTGATTGATGCTTATCAGCCCAAGTAGGGGAAATACCAGGGCAAGAAACCCCCTTTCAAGATTTTATGCCATTCCAGTTTATTTCCCCTAAAAACAGTCACATTTTAGCTTTAAATGTAGTAAATAAGTTGCCTGAAAACAAACAAGTGCACTTTAATGTTCATATGATCCACACAGTCAGTCTGACAGACTGTAATACACTACAGGAAGTGTAGGGGGCGATATGGCTTCTACTGTTTCATTTAAAAAGCTCTATAATATTCATATGATCCACACAGTCAGTCTGACAGACTGTAATACACTACAGGAAGTGTAGGGGGCGATATGGCTTCTACTGTTTCATTTAAAAAGCCTCTATAATGTTCGTATGATCCACACAGTCATTCTGACAGACTGTAATACACTACAGGAAGTGTAGGAGGCGATATGGCTTCTACTGTTTCATTTTCAAAAGCTATATAATGTTTATATGATCCACACAGTCATTCTGACAGACTGTAATACACTACAGGAAGTGTAGGGGGCGATAAGGTTTGCAATGCTTCACTGCACTATAAAAGTAAAAATGTGGACTGATGGCAGCAGCAATGAGAGAGAAAAAGAAGAAGGCAGAAGAAGCGTCAAGTACATTTCCACCTTTCCAGAGCCTCATGTTCACACAGAGAGCAGGGCTGGGATACATTCAGGGCAGCAGCGCACTAACCCGAGCTGTCAAAGCCGCTGGGTGAAGAGTTCAGATGAGTCTAAGCTGAATAACAGCCTGCTGAGAGCAGTCAGACGAGGGAGAGGCTCAAAATCACACCAGCATGCAAACACCACCCAACCCAACAGCCCAAATTCCTCAGTGAGTGCGACGGAGGTACTGTACGTATGTATATTCAATTTTAAATGTTCACAAGTATCCCGACAGCCCTTCTAATGAGTGAACTGAGCTACTTTAAGGTGTATCTACTGCTGATACAGGCATTCAACTGTGTGGATAGCTTGTATGATCTCCGTAGAAGACCAGCACTGACCAACAGAATAGGATGCTCTGGAGTAGCTGCAACTGGGCATTGGGCATGGAGCCCTTAGGCAAGAGGGGTATAAAACCCCCCAGCATTGAGCTGTGGAGCAGTGGAACTGTGTTCACTGGAGTGATGGAGATCCAGTACTGACCATCCAACATCAGTACCTGACCTCACTAATCCTCAATCAAATCCTCACAGCAATGTTCCTACATCTAGTGTAAAGCCTTTCCTAGAGGCTGTTACTGCAGCACAGACTCACTATTAATACTCTTAATTTCAGAAGAAATGCTGAAGGAGCAGGTGTCCACAGACGTTTGGGCATACAGTGTAAGGCTGTGTTCATACAGCAGGTAAAAGTGGCCCGAATCTGATTTTCTCACCAAATCAGATTTTTTGTTTAGCTGTTCAGATTATCTTTTAAATGTGATCTGTATGCGACATCAGTCTGAACAGATCAGCTCCTAAACTGACCCACATGCACAAAAGATCAGAGCGTCACGCTGCTTCACGGCTCATCCAGAGGTAAACAATCACGACCGCCAACGAACGCCAGTCGCTCCCGGAGGATCAGCTTCATCTTCACCAGCATCACAGGAGCCATCATGAAGCTTCACTGACTGACAGCTGGGCTCATCACCTAGAATGTGTTGGAGCCGTAAAAAGGGCGCGGTCACTTCTTTGGTTCGCGTCCTCGGATTCTTTAAACTCTGCTTTCAGAGTTTTAACTGTTCTTTGATGCTGCAGCCTCGTTCTCCTGCGGCTACATTTCTTCCGAAATCTCTCTGAACACGAAGTTTGGATAAGTCTCTTTTTTTTTAACAGAAACATCAGCCTAAATGTTTATGAGTCTCAGCAGCATGAAATTATGACGAATGTGGAGCTGCATTGATGTAAAAGTCGCATGTATTCCGATTTGGCTGTCAGACTGAGTCGCACTGCCGCATATCGGATAGGTATCGGATTTCGGTACCACATATGAAAATGTCCCAAATCGGAATTGAAAATGTCAGATTCAGTGTTTTTTTTCTGTTCACACTGACACACAGACACACATCTGTGTCACATGTGAAGAAAAAGATCAGATTTGGGCCACTTTTACCTGCTGAGTGAACACAGTCTAAGTTATGTTGCAGACTAGCCAATGGGCAGAACTGCGCCATAAAGACTAAGGAAGGGGCTGGAATGGACAGCTACACTAATTCCCAAAAAAAATCTGATATCAGAGAGCACAGAGATGAGATATAACCTTGTTGGAGAGCTGTGGAGAAGATTTCTCCCGGCTGCGCTCCTCATCCGATTCAGGCAGAGGGCTGCGGTTCCTCTCTATGGAATCTCTCCAGTGAGACTCGGATGGTAGGAGGGAACGGAAAGACTTCTCCAGCTCGTCCTCCGTCACAGACTCATCGAACTTCATAGAGTACTCTGTGGCAACTGAGGCGCTGTCTGCTGAGCGGTAGAGACAGAGATAACAGGATTAACAGGGTCTACTAGTAAACTAAGGCAGTTTGCACATGTAGTTCTTCATAAATAAACCAAAATCAGTTCTTTTACAGTTAAACTAAAAGGAAACCAGCTGCAATTGACCCCAGCGCTTTTAGCGTTCACAGGGGACTCTGTCGTCTTTCTGGTTCTCTTCAGCACTGATTAGATCTCAGCACTTGCTCTTCATACCTCTGTTCACTTAGAACTCAGACCCATATAATATGCGAGTGGCTGAGCTGCATTTAAACCCATGGTAAAATACTCCAAAAGTGTCACGCTGTTCAAAACAAATCATTCTCATTATTCATTTTACTAAAAATTGAGCGTGTTTACATGCTCTCAATAATCGGATCATAATCAGATTTCTGCAGTTATCCAATTATTCAAATGGTCGTGTAAACAGCACACCCTGATTTCTTAGATCGGAGTAAGGTCTAGAAAGCTGATTTTAAAAATCTGATAAAGAGGCTGGATTTCAGCTTAGTAATCAGATTTCTCAGTGCTGTAAATTCTTACTCTGATTTCTTTTGGATTTCTCAGTCTGCGCATGTGTTAAACAGACGACGGTGCCGGAAATAAGCGAGCAGCATCGCGGTGAGACGCAGCAAAACACTTTTGGAGCGACGCTGAAACCGACTACGTGCTTGACGAAATGAAGAATTTAAATATTTTTCATCTTCTAGATGATGTATGTTCATATATTCAGGTAAAGCTGTGTGGTGTTTTTAAAAAACAAGCCGTGTTCTGTGAGTTTATTCATGCTGGTTTTTAAAACAGAAATCTGATTACTGTCTGACTCATGTAGACCCGGAGTTTCCCATTATCTGAATACTCAAGTGCATGTAAATGCGTTGATCGGATTACTGACAAAATCTGATTATCAAAGCGATAAGCCACTGTGCTACAGGAGAACGGACAAGCGAGTTTTGGTAATTCTATCACTGCCCACAGAAAGTACTGCAAAGCCAAACGGCCAGCAGAACATTTAATCTTTAGTCACAGTAGTGCAATAAAGTGGATGTTGATTTTCTTGGAATCAACTTCTAGCACCATGCAAACATTTAGAAGGCTGCAAGCCGCCTTCCAGTACAGTCTGAGTACAGGGAATGATTTTTTTTGCTTCATGTAAATGCAGCATGAGCCTTGCCCAGATGCAAGGGGAAGACTACAGAGACTCTGGCCTACGATCACGACTCCTGACCCCTATCCTCACCTCTGTCCTCCAGTATGGACTGGATGCTGTCTGTCTGGAGTGATTCCTCCGCAGCTGTGTGAACCTCCTCCTCCACTGAGCTGCTGTGCTCTCTACAGCCTCCATCACCCAGCTCCTTCACCGATGAGGAGAGAGAGGGGCTCAGTCTGGAACTGCTCCCACCACCACTGAGAGAGAGAAAGAGAGAGAGAGAGAGAGAGAGAGAGAGAGAGAGAGAGAATATAGCTATTATTGCAGTATGCAAAAATCACACAAATATTACTGTCAACTCTTCTACCTCCCATTTTAATGAAAATTTTAATGATAATGTGTAAATTAACTATTCAGGAAAGAAAAAGAACTGGGAAAAATACAACTGGTAAAAATACCAATTTATTATGTCATAATGGGCTGCCATCCAATCAGCTACCTGGTACTATGCTGCTACTATACACGGACTGCTGCCTCTCTATAATCCGACTTCATGTTTTTGCAGTTGACCACACCAGTCACACACTAAGGAAAGCATACTGTGACAAAATTTACCATGATAAAGACAACACACAGTCATATCGCCCACTCCTAATGGTACCTGATGGTGGGTCTCCTGGATGGGACGGATTCAGACAGGCTGTCTGGAGGAGTCTCTGCTGTTGGAGACTGTGCACTGCCTGGGGGAACCTCACTCCGGCTGCAGAACACAAACACAGATGTTATCAAACCCTCCACTAGCAGCCCTGCCAGATTGCTGCAGTACTGGGAAAACTCCCAGCAGCAGCCAGAACACTCTCAGCCAGTTGTGCTACAAGAACTTAGGGCCCAGACTAGGGCTCAAACAGCGCAGCAAACTGTTCTTCTGTTGGGTCGCAGTCGCCTCTCGTCTCCTGTGACAACCTGCACTCAAACACTACAGCTGATGGCCAACAAGCACGCACTTAAATAACTCTATAGCAGCTGCAGCCTGTAAAACAGCAGCACACAGAGTAAATATGCTGTTTGAATGTCTTTCAAGCTTCAAATGTGCTTACGATAAACCCAGAGAGTGAAACTGAAAGTAAACTGTTTTACTTGTTGAATAGAAAATATTAAAATCTGCTTGTTTAACAGTTTGGACACTCAAACAGCACAACTACTTACAATGCCCTAGGGCTCCTGAGAGGCGCAACCATCTATACTATTGGCCCTGTGGCGAATTTGGTCCTTGGTGATGCCACAGTCATCTAAGTCCAAGAGAGCATAACTGTCCTCTCTCTCTCTGAGTGGGTAGGATGGTCCTCCCTCTCCCCAAATCACTCACTACGATGCCAGCCATAGGTTAGATATGGCCTGACTGACATTATACAATTAGCAGTTAGCATTTTCCTCCAAGCGAAGACTCCTGACCTTCCTATCGCTGTTAGTATTGTGTGATTGGGGGAGAGCTACACTCTTAAAGATGGTGCTTCAAGGGTTCTTTAGTAAACTCAAATCAAGAAAGCGTTCTTCGGTTAGACACCCAAAAGGGTTCTTCTGTTGTTACAATCTTGACACCGCAGCAATGGACTAACCCTTCTGGATGCCATTTAGACCCATTTTCAAAAAGGTTCCATACGGAACCATCCACAGTGCACTTTCTCAGTCTAAAGAACCCATTCATGATGCAAAGAACCCTTTAATCACGCAAAGCATTCTTTGAGAGTTCATGGCTCTATATAGAACCATTTTATTTACTAAAGAACCCTTAAAGCACCATCTTTAAGAGTGTAGCTAGTTTTTGGAACTGGACATGACTAAATTGGGGACACCGGCGTTGGAGTCCTCTTAGAGTGCCGTTCGCTGCTTTTTCGCTCTCTTTCGTTTCTCCCCTTGCGTGCTGATTCTCGGCTCTTGCATGGCCACCGCTGAAACTGATTTAACTCGCTCAGTCACCCAAAACAGACATCGCACAGTCTCTGCGGTCAGCCACTGCTGTTTACTGATGACCAAAAGTTGGCTTGGTGCACCAGGGCCAGAGGGTGCAAGTGGCCCCAATCCAATTTATTGCTACATGTTGCACAGATGTGACTTTTTTGCCTAAATGTGAGGTGATTTTTTGAGCTGTGTGAACACTGATCTTTTCAAATCAGATCTGATTCACATTTACGTGTGCTCCTAGACAGGAGGCATATCTGATACATAGGCATGGTGACCATAAAAAGAATGGACAGGGCAAGGCAGAAGGACTGGATCGGAGTAAAAAATCAGAACCAATACGGCCTGTAAAGTGAAAGTAGCCCCAGCGCGGTGATTGGTTACCTGTCTGTCTGTGGGCGTGGCTGTCTCTGTTGGTCGTAGAGAGGAGTAATGGAGGGAACATTCAGCATCTGAGAACGAGCGAGATCCGTCATCTGAGAGAGAAGGAGGAAGAAAGAACAGTAAGAGAGTGAAAGAAAGATAAAACCCTGCTTAACTCCTTTGCTGATGTGGAAACAGTCTATTTATCCATTTTCTGTCATGACGATGAGGTATAAGCTGTGCAGATTTTAAACTGTGGTATATGTAAATGAGCACTATTCTGATTGGCTGCCCTGTTTTGTGTCTCATTTAAAAATCCCCCCTTATAACTCTGCCGTGAATGAGTGGAACTGAACTGCTGCATGACATCACAAAAACAGTGATTTCAAAATGGACAGTTTTCGCAACTTTTTTATATATGAACTGTATGGACTTGGGAGTGACTGGTATGTTTTGAAACTTTTAAAGGTGTTACAGCTACGTTACAACTTACTCAAAAAGAGAGGAAAATTTGGTTTTCCATAATATGTACTCTTTAGGGCAATTCCACTCACTGTGTGAGTGTGTGAGTGTGAGAGAGAGAGAGAGAGAGAGAGAGAGAGAGAGAGACACCTCTCTGATGTGTCTGGCAGCGGCCACCGTGTGTTGAGCCGTCTCGGCCTGCTGGCTGATAATCTTGCTGCTGGACTCCTGAAGTCCCAGGAGCGCCTGCTGCTGAGACTGAACCAGGCTAACGCATAGATCCGTATGGGCCTGGGAAAAAATACATATGCAAACTAACACAACAACAACAATAACAATAATAATAATAATAATAATAATAGATATTTACATACAATTTCAAACCCAAGGATGTTTTACAATCAGCTGACAATATCAACATACAGAAACATGCACAAAGATAAATTCTAATAAAATAAAAAAGAATAAAATCTAAAAGACCAAGTATTATGCAAAAATGACCACCTTTGGTCAAATCACATTTTGTTGATTTTCTAAGTGAAAATAAGTTAACGCATCCTCTACAGGGAACAAACTAAATGTTTTCTGCACATTTTAGTGCACAATTTCTATTTATTTGATGAGTTCTAAGAAAAAGTAAATAAAATGTGCCAGAACTTTGGCACAGGTCACATTTTGTTTTTTCTCCCCTATTATGTTTAATACAGCAAATAAACTCTAAGTCATTACACACAATCACAGACAGTCCAGACAAAGAAAGTAAATAGATGAGGGTGGTAGCATAAGAGAGAGAAGAGTGAAAGTACTGGGAGGAGAGGAAAGTTTTGAGCTGGAGTTTGAAGTTAGAAAGTCAGAGAGACAGTGGAATACACACTAAAGGATCTGCCCCCAAAAACTGACGACTTGCAGGCAGGGACCACCAATAGACCAGGACCGGATACAAATATTATTCACATTACTATTAAATGCACTGCTTCCAGTGCTCTGTGTGGGCGTGTACCTGTGCAGCTCTCTCTCTGCTCTCCTGTAGCTGCCTCTGGGTCTCCAGCGCCTCCTGTTCTGCCTTCAGCTTCAGCAGCTGCAGCTCCCGCTCCTGCCTCTGCTGCTGAGCCTGGGGTCAAAGGTCAGGGGTCAGACTCACAAACACCATCAGGAGCACATAAAACACACAGCAGTATAAGAGCACTGGGGTGCACTAACAGCAGGCTTAGAATACAAGTTAAGTGTCAAGTCCCCTCACGGAGGAGCAGAAGCCAAGTCTCATGTCGCTGTCTGAGTTGAAGCCCTAACCACAGAGTCCAAGTCAGGTCCTCTAGCTGACCGAGTCCGAGCCTCTAGCTGAACAGTCCACGTGGAGTCCAGAGCGTTTATTTATAGACTCTGTGTCTGGTTTAGAGTCCCTAGTCACAGATTCCAGTTCAGGTCCAGAGTCTTTAGCTACAGAATGAGAGACTAGCCCAGAATCGTTAGCTGTAGAATTGAGTCCCAGAGTTTCCCAGTTACCGCGTTCGAGTCGACTGCAGAGCTCCTAGCTGCAGGGACCAAGCCAGGTCCAGAGTTCCTGGCGACACTGCCCAAGTCAGGTTCAAAGTCCCTAGCTGCAGAGTCCAAGTGGAGTCCAGAGTCCCTAGCCGTAGAACCAAGTCCAGAGTCCCTAGTTGCAGAGTTGCAAAGTCGATTCCAGAGTAACTAGGCATAGAGTTCAGGTTGATTCCAGAGTGATGAGCTGTAAAGTTAGGTCTAGATTCCCTAGCAGTAGAGTTCAAGACAATTCCAATCCCTAGCTGTAGAGACTGAGATGATTCCAAAGTCACTAGTCAAAGAGTTCAAGTCCGCTCCAGAAACACTTGCTGTAGTGAGAGCCAAGACCTAGCCGTAGACCCAAGTACAGAGTCCCTAGCCGTAGAGCCACATCCAGAGTCCCTAGTTTGAGTCAAGCCCAGAGTCCCTAGCTGTAGACCCAAGTCCAGAGTCCCTAGCCATAGAGCCACGTCCAGAGTCCCTAGCTGTAGAGCTAAGTCCAGAGTCCCTTGCTGTAGAGCCACGTCCAGAGTCCCTAGCCTTAGAGCCACGTCCAGAAGACCTAGCCTTAGAGCCACGTCCAGAGTCCCTAGCCGTAGAGCCAGGTCCAGAGACCCTAGCCGTAGGGCCAAGTCCAGAGACCCTAGCTGTAGAGCCAAGTCCAGAGTCCCTAGCCGTAGAGCCAAGTCCAGAGTCCCTAGCCGTAGAGCCAAGTCCAGAGACCCTAGCTGTAGAGCCAAGTCCAGAGACCCATGCAAAGTCAAGTCCAGAGTCCCTAGTTAGAGTCAAGTCCAGAGTGCCTAGCCGTAGAGCCAAGTCCAGAGCCCCTAGCTGCAGAGTCAAGTCAAATTTAAGCTGATTCCAAAGTCCTCAGCTGTACAGTCAATTCCAGAGTCCCTAGCCATAAACTCAAGTCCAGAGTCCCTGTAAAATTCAAGTCAAGTCCAGAGTCAGGTCCAGAAACCCAGAGTAGAGTCTAGTTTTTAGTCCCAATGCATTACTGAATAGCAAGCTGCATTCACAAGCATCAAACCCAAAGTCAAGCTAAATAAAATAAATAAATGAGGGACTCAGTTTGAGACTCGAGATCCCAGTATTCTGCCTGACCTTCAGTATCTGTGCGAGTGACACGCTTTCTTGCTGGGCGAGAGAAACAGCTCTGACCCTCTCCACGTCACCGAGCTGCCTCACAGACTCTTCAACAGCATCCAGGTAGCTCAGTTCTGCACTCAGACGCTGCTGCAGGACACCTGGTGCAAACTGCAGCTCCGCAGGGCCTGAAGGATACACACAAATGGAATCAGACACTTGGCTTCAGACACACATAGTGAGCACAGGTCACTCTTCCTCACACACAGCTTTCAGAGTAAACCTGTCACTACGTGGCTATACCTGCACTTGAGCCAGCACTATGCTTCAAACAACGAAAGAGTTAATACGTTACGATCTCCGTGCAGTGATGCAGGTAACCGTGTGACATGTGGACCAATAGCAGGTTGGGTCTCAGATACAGACAATGATTCTAGCAAAAAGATGTCTCTTTCTTCAAATGTTCGTTTGTGGTATACTGCCAGCTTTAGGCCTGCGCAACAGTCATGGACAGTAACGAAGTAAATGTAATTCGTTTCTGTACTGAAGTAGTTTTTGTGTATCTGTACTTTACTGAAGTTTTTCCTTTTTTTTAGGCGACTTTTTACTTTCACTCCACTACATTTCAAATCAAATATCTCACTTTTACTTCACTACATTATGTGAAATCTGTCGTTCCTTTTGGTTTATGTGTGCATAAAAAAATAACATGTTAAAAGGAAAGAAGCGCAAAGCAAGAACACCAATCAGGGCACAGCGCACACTTTGTTTTGAGCTTGTTTTGACCTGTTGGACAAACCGACCCACTGCAAGCTATATCCACACTAACTTAAGTCACTTTAGCACACATCAAAGAATTAGTGAACAGATATAACATATTGCTCTCGACTTTGTGGGCAAACAGACCACAATATAGAAATATGTACACATATGCAGTTGTGACTGACGTGTCTTTTTTCTGAATTTATAAAAACATATTTTCTTTTATAGTAAATTTGTTTTGTCTAGTTTATGTTTACGAACAGAGACCTACAGATGCAGTTTAGTCAAGAAAACTCATTTGTGAATCTGAGTTCAAAGTTTTTATTAAACTTAAACTGTAACTAAGTTGCAAATAAATCTTAAACTGAAACTTCGCTTGTTTGTAAAAAGTGATTTCAGAGCCACTCAGTTCTACCTGATGGAAACTGTTTGCCTTCAGTGTTTTGTGCTTATGATAATTTTAATAGACATCAGCGTCACTAATTAATGACATTCTATTAAAAGACTGGTTTACCAAGAGAGACACTGGAGTATTTTCACCTAAAATGAGTTAATGAAGCGAGTCTTGTTACAATAATGATAATAGGACATCAGAGCCATAATTAATCTTTTTGTACTTTCACCTTTGATACTTAAGTACATTTGAGGGAAAATACTTTTGTACTTTTACTCAAGTGGAGGTCTAAAGGGAGGAACTTCTACTTTTACTGGAGTAATATTTTACCTTGGGTATCTCTACTTTAACTCAAGTACATGGTTTGTGTACTTTGTCCACCACTGCTGGGCAATAAATAAGTAAATCACCAATGCGTGTTATTTCGGATAAAATTATAACGCCATTCTGTACATTAATCTAATATTAAAAGGAAAAGTTTAAACTTAAAATATTTCCTACTTCAGCACTCTAAGAGGCACTGTGTGCCCTTGACTTGCTGGTTTCACTCACAGCAGCACAAACCAGCGGATTAAGCCATCGATCTATACTCCTTTACATACTATATTGAAATTTTATACATGAAAAAGATATACAAACTCTTATATTTGATGCATGTCCTCTGCATATTACATCAGAACCTTTTCAAAATACTATTCATCCTTCAGTTTGAGCAGAACAAATTATCTACATGTATTGATACTGTGATAATATTTTCAGCCATAAGGCCAAACCCGGCTCTACCTGCACTCCTGAACTCCGCTTTGGAGGTGGCGATCTCTGGGGTAGATCCAGTGTCAGGCGCAGCGTTGGGTCCGTGGTCCCTGATGGCAGAAAGTCTGGGTGATGAAGTGGAGCATCGTGGGTCAGAGTGTGAGGAGCCATTGGGAGGAGAGACTCTGGGAGAGGTGGCAGGAGATCCAGCAGAAACAGCAGGACTTTTGGAAGATGGTTGGCCCTCCGACACCACACTGTCAGAACACAGCACAATCACTTTACATCATCAACACAACAGCAGCTCGCCTATTTAAAACAAAGTCCATTAAAATATTTTTTTCTTTGTTTTGCCATCATCAACATTACATAAAAAATCAGAAGGCATATATAGGTTCACTGGTGGTTTTGGATAGTAAATAAAGTGGCTATGTTTTTGTTGCAGTGATGGAGACCCCAGGGGCCGTATTACAGAAAATTCTAATCTTTTTATCTTAAGATCTGACAGGTCAAGATGAGATTTTTCACAAATTCGTATTACAGAAGCAAATCTTCATTTAAGAATCTTATCTTACAGCATCTTTTCTTATCCCAAGTTAGGAAATCTTAACTTTCTCGATTAAAGTTGACAATCGACTGTCGTGTCTGTTACCTAGCAACGGACCATACGTGCACAGCTGAATCTAGTAAACACGTAATCAAGTTAGTAAGTCAGACAGCTAATGTTAGCTACCATTACTGATGTAAAAAAGGTCAAATAAAACTAAAGCGCATTAAATTGAAAGTTAATAATATTGTGTAAGCTCTTCGTGCTGTTTATCGGAGCGTCACCGCTCCAGGTTCAGTCTCCATTTCCCAAACGCTTTAGCAGAGCGCGCTAATGTTACTCCTCCGAATAAACAGACACACGTTCAGCTCCGTCTCCTCATTATTCACCACCATCACTGTAATATTTCATCATCAACATTAACACACGAAGGTAATCAGAGGGACGGTGGAGGCTTTTAAACGCTGTTAGGAAAAAAAAACCTCAAGTCAAAGCAGCGTTTTCAGTAGGGGTGCGGGAGAAAATTGATTCTTAGATGCATCGCGATGCAGATGTGAACGATTCTGAATCGATTCACAAATGTCAAAAATCGATTTTATAAATATATAATTTATAACGTGATGTTGACGGAACGCAAAAGGCGGAACTGGAAGTGGGTAAGTGCAGCGCCCGGACAGTCTGTGGCGGCACATAACAAAAACACAACTGGATGAGTGAGAAATCCGACCGGCTCCCTCTGCATTAAAGCCAGGTTAGGTCAGGAGTCACAACACAAATGATAAGAAGAGCCATTTTGTCCTTTCAACAAAAATCAAACCACCTTGGGAGCCACAACATTTAATGTCCAGTATGTCTCAGTGTGTGATGATGTCCTAGTAGAGGCTAAACAATATAAACGAGAGCGCAGATTTACTCCGCTGTGCTTTAAGCTTCAGCTGTAGCCGCTTTCCTCCCATCTCCACCAGAAAACTTTTCCTCAGAAGTTGATCAGTTAAATGTCTCAGCGTTCGACTGTTTTACGAGGCTGAAGTCGCTTCTTATTCTCCAGCTTCTTGTTCGAATTTACCCTTAAATTCTAACTGAGGTGCCAAATATAAATGTGGCACCATTTAAGGTGGAACAGGAGAATTCGAAAGAGAAGCGACTTCATCTTCTCCACTTTTTACCGTGTGACAGTCTCTCGTTGCAGATTTAACGTACCAGGAAACCAACTGCGCTGCTTATGAACGCGAATAACGCATCGCTGCTATGTGACCTGCAGTCTGCACGCCGGTTCTCAGCCGTTGTGAAACAGGGCTTTCGCACTATGCTGCACACGACCCGTCTCAAAGATACTTTACTGACACAGCGACACCCCCCCGTCTCCACAACGAGACCCAAACCGAAGTGATAAAATCACTGAAGAAAGCAGGTAGAATAGCTGTAACGTGCTGTGTGGTCGCCCATCACCACTGGATCTTATTTCACCGTAACTGCGCATTTTATTGCATTTTAAGCAGCTTCTCAGAAAATATAAATGCTATATAGAGAAAAAAGATGCATCGATAATCGTTTTATAATCGCATCGCAGCCCTCTCAATCGTAATCGGATCGAACCGTGAGGTGCCTAGAGATTCCCACCCCTAGTGAACTGTGTTGCCGGTCACTGCATAAAACAATAGATACAGACAATTAAAACAGAAGTTAAGACGCTCTGGGTTTCTCTTAAAGTTAAGAAAATATTTAGGATATTGTGACAACTTGTTTCTTTAACACTTTTCTTATCTGGAAATAAGATCAGATTATAGACTTGAGAACTGTTGTTCTGTAGTGGCTTCTGTCCTAACTGAAGTTGCCATGACAACAAAGCAGATAAGATATGATCTCAGACATAAGAACTTTGTGTAATACGGCCCCTGATTCCTATTAAGACCACTGTAAGAAATCTGAATCAGTGAGTTTCTCTACGGTGAACCATTTCAAATCGAACCACTCTGAGCAGTGTGACTGCTTTGATGACTATTTACATCTTAACAAATGAATTATGTAGAAATAACTGCATTTATAATAAGCCTGCGGTTTAAGGGGTTAAGTAATCCTAACTGGACATGGGGAGCGTTTCGTTCGAGCGAGACCAAGGATACTTATAGTCCAAACACCAACAGCCCACGCCGCTCACTGTGAAAGGCGGTGAGGTATGAGCAGAATCTGCTACTTGAGCTTTCAGAAATGCCACAGGAGAAAAGCATCTCCTTGGCAACCGGCCTGACCTGCGGCGGGGATATCTCAGGGGCCGTCCGGCCAAACAAAAGAGCCTGTGTGTACAGATCCTCCCAGCCCCCTCTCCTTTCTCCTGGCAGGTCGCTCTGCACACTTCAGTCTGAGCCGGCCAACAGCAGCTCCACTGTTTCTCCTGGCACTGCTGTATGGGCCTCTAGAGTGGCATTTCAATAATGAGGCTAAACTGGATCAGTGTGGCCATCTCAGCCATCTAACAGTCCAAGCATCTCAGTGGGGATACATTTCAGGGCATTCTGCCTTCCTGCTTCGGATAGCATGTGTGTAGTTACGCCAGTTTAGGGCAGGAAGCTTGAGAGGAGTGACCATGCTGGTGACCCTACCATGCAGGTTGTGATGTTAACCCTTGTAAGTTATAGGAGTTATTATTTCATTATTTCTATAGATAGTATTCAACTGACGTCACACTTATCACCACTGCCCCATTGTTGACATGCCACTGGTCAATGCAGTGATGACGGTGGCACTCGCACAATGTGTAAACTTAGCATCCTGGCTGTCTGACGTTGTGAGGTCTCAGTCTGCTCTCATCAATCTGTCACAGGCATACGGTTAGGTAAAGGATGAATTCTGTAGTTTTGCCTTTGTGTTGAGAACTGTTCACTATTGACAAGTGACACTGACTGACGGCTAACTTATGCAGTCTTACGCCTTGATCTCATGCTTTATCTAGACCAGGGGTCGGCAACATGCAGCTTCGGAGCTGCACGTGGCTCTTTTACTGTCCTGTTGTGGCTCCACAGCAGAATCAGATTTGTAGGTAAAAATAAAATAATCCTCCTTTACAGTAAAATAAAGCTCTGCTGATCGTTCAACACAGTTTAACAATAAATGGTCTTAAACTCTGGAGTTAATGTAGAACTGCTAATTCACAAAGTTAAAGTCAGTTTCTCGTTCGCCAGCTTTTTCCTGTTCCACCTTAAAAGGTGCAGCAGTTACATTCTGGCACCTCAGGCACTGTTTAAGGTGGAAGTGGAAACTTTTAACAAGAAGCTGGCGAATGAGAAGCGACTTCAGCCTCGTAAAAAGTTGAACAATGAGAGACATTTTACAAGAAACTGTTCTACTTTTGTGGAAAAGTTTCCTGCTGGAGATGCGAGAAAAGCGACTACAGCTGAGCTAAAGCTTAAAGCAGAGCGAAGTAAGTCTGGATTTTCATTTATATTATATGTCTATACTAGCACATCAGCACACTGGGACATATTTACAAGCAAAACGGTAAAATGCTGCTTCAATAAAATGGACATAAAATGTTGTGGCTCCCAAGGTGGACTGATTTTTGTTGAAACAGGACAAAATGTCTCCTTTACATTTGGGTTGCCGATCACTGAACTAGACAATCAACGCAGTTGAGAAAACGTTAGCCGAGCTCACGTATCTTACGCCAACGTTAAGCCAACAATGCTTAACTTCACCAAACACACATACGTCACCACTGCTCACTTCTGCGATCATGACAATGTTTGATGGCGTAGTTGATGGTAAGGACAGAATATCGCTGACCTTCCACAGACAGAGTAAATAATACCGCAATTGAAATCGTATTGAAATTGCGATGTGTGGGCTGATGCAGTAGATAAAAGACAAATATAAACGGCTGGATTCTGCTGTCTGTCTACACTTTGCTGCAACTAAATTCTACAATCACAGGTCTTTAGTGAAACCGAGGAAATTCAGCATCTCTTTGTGCTCTCGTGAGAGTCTGGCTCTCCTCTGAGAGCAGAGACTCCCTTCAGCAGAGAAGATGCGCTCTGATGCAGCGGATGCGAAAGTGACGAACGTTTGTGGCAAACTTCTCTATGAACAGTTAAATTTGAACGATTTTGTGTAAACGCTTCATTTCAACGGTAACCCTTTGTCCAGCTACCCTGTGTGTTCACAGTTCAGAGAACTACCGCCTGAAACTCTTAGCGAGTGGAGCTAAACGTTCGCGGAGAACAGAAATTTGGAAACGCTCTCCTGTGTTTTGCCGAATTTGAACGCACCGGTGGCCTTGATGCTAAGACAATGATGCAGTGTTTAAAACTGTAAACGTTATCTGGAAAGGAAACAAGGTCGCTGTGAATAATATCTCCATAATAACTCCATCAATGATTCCAGAGAACATCATTTCAAAATACACGTTACAGCTCAGCTCACAACATGAAGTAAGATGGAATTTAACATTAGTCATCAAACTGACTTTCTTGATATCTTGATTTAGAATCCACTGACTGCTCATTTATACTATGCTGTCTGAATGTCTGCAATACGGATGTGGGATGCTCCCTTCGGGTTTTGTAAACGCTATCTATGGTTCTGCTATAAATGTTAGGACACGTAAGCTTCAATATAGTGTGCATGTCCGTGTTTGATCAGGGCTGTATCCATAGCATATGCCCAGCCCCTCCCCACCCGCTTTACCTAGATGTCTAGTTGTGATCGCTGAAAGACAGCAAAAACGAGACGCTCTGAAGAGATTGAGGGGCGAATCAGCCATACTTAAACATTTAGACTCACTATTTTACTCATTTCTGCGGCCTTCTGTTAAAGCAAATACGCAATTAATTACGAAGCTGCATGTACATTTACATCCAATTTAACTTGTTTGAACAGGTTTGAGTCTGCACTTCTGACTTTTATTGTTTCTGATGTTAAAATATATCAAAAACATGGAAAAATGCAAAAGATGTTTTTTCAAATTCAGATCATAAAGAAAAATCTCCTCTTCTACTTACAAACACAAATGTAATATGGATTAAAAGTTTAGAATATGCTCTTTCCACACAACTTCACAGCTTATTTCAATATAATTCATGTAAACCTGCAGCATGCTTTTCTTTATCACCCCCAACAGTATCTTCTAAGGGTTACTAGTGGTGCACTGAGCTGTACTGTTTCCAGTCACACGCAGTCTGAAAAACACTGATGTGTTGGAAACGGCATCGCTTTCCAAAACAGACCCTCCATCATCCCCATCATATCTCGGTGTGAGTCCACACACTGAAACACAGCGCGTTAGCAGCTGGCAGAGGAATTTCTACAGTTCGAAACGGCTCCACTGAGGAGGACCGGCTCACCTGTGAACAGAGTGGACTGAAGCGCCCCCTGCTGTGCTGTCGGTGTCTGCGCTCCTGTGAGAGCCTCGGGGGGAGCCGCCCGGAGAGCTGCTCTTTTTCACTCCATTCCACTGCAGCTCAGAGGCGACAAAGGTTGTACTCTTCTGTCCGTCCACCAGGGGGCGCTCAAGACTCCTGTCCGACCCTGTAATGAGAGGAGAACCCAATCACACTTCCGCACCCAGCTAAAAGAAAAACAATAGTTGCTCACAACAGACAAATATTAACTACTGCATCTCATGTACTCTCACAAATATGTCCACCGATCAGGCATAACATCATGACCACCTTTATGTGTTGTGCTGGTATGAGTGGATCAGACACAGCAGTGCTGCTGGAGTTTTTAAACACTGTGTCCACTCACTGTCCACTCTATTAGACACTCCTACCTTGTCAGCCCACCTTGTAGATGTAAAGTCAGAGACGATAGCTCATCTGCTGCTGCACAGTTTGTGTTGGTCATCCTCTAGTCCTTCATCAGTGGTCACAAGACGCTGCCCACAGGATGCTGTTGGCTGGATATTTTTGGTTGGTGGACTATTCTCAGTCCAGCGGTGACGCTGAGGTGTTTAAAAACTCCAGCAGCACTGCTGTGTCTGATCCACTCAGACCAGCGCAACACACACTAACACACCACCACCACGTCAGTGTTACTGCAGTGCTGAGAATGATCCACCACCCAAATAGTACCTGCTCTGTGAGGGTCCATGGGGGTCCTGACCACTGAAGAACAGGGTAAAAGGGGGCTAACAAAGTATCAGAGAAACAGATGGACTACAGTCTGTAACTGTAGAACTACAAAGTGCACCTATATAGTAAGTGGAGCTGATAAAATGGACAATGAGTGTAGAAACAAGGAGGTGGTCATAATGTTATGCCTGATCGGTGTATGCATGTGTACACACACATACACACACAAATTAAATAAACAAACAAACAAATAAGTAATCAACAAAAACCCAAAATGTGTCTCTGGACTACAGATCTCATGTCAGTGTGGAGCGACGCCTGTTATTAATGGCAATTCCAAATGACGGTGTATAATCTTAGCATTCGGGAGGGAATTTACACTGATTTCTTGTAGGTTTTAATAGTCTTCAAGTCAAGGATTAAGGAATTGGGTCAAATCAAGGTCCATTTTAGCTTTTAACCTTGTTTTCAGGTTGCCAAATAAATAAATAAATAAATAAATAAATAACTAAATAAATAGCAGAGTTTTCCCATTGCCAGTTTTGCTTCTACATTACTGCACACTAAAAAAGATGGTTCTTCAAGGGTTCTTTAGTAAAGAAAATAATTCAATATAGAACCATGAACACTCATGATTAAAGGGTTCTTTGCATGGTGAAATGGATCTCCAGATTGATGGAGAATGTGTTGTAGATGGTTCTATACAGAACATCTTTGAAAATGGATCTACATAGCACCAAAGAGGGTTCTTCTATTGTATACAAGTGTGACATTATAATAATAGAAGAACCCTTTTTGGTGCTATATAGAACCCTTTTCAAAAAAGTAGTATGTAGAACCATTTTCTTTACTAAAGAGCCCATGAAGAACTATCCTTTTTAGGTGTGTGATGTCAATTCAAACAGAACTGTTACCGAGGAGCTCAGAGTGCAGCAAATTATGGAAGGTGATTCATGCCAGAATTAGGATTTAGCAGACTGTAAAACTACAGACACTGCAGATTCATACTGGATTAAAATCACAGATCTCGTTGGTAATCACTCAAACTACAGCACCTACTGCCAAAATACCGCCAAAATAAACTAATCCAGCTCCAACAGGGCTTTAATCGATATTTACCAAGAATTATTCAGTATCTGCTATAAATTATTCAGTAACTACTATTAATAATAGAGTCTCTCCTATGAAATATTAAGTAACTACTAAAATGAACTCAATAGTCACTACGAATTATTAAGCAGCTGCTATGAATTATTCATTATCCACTATGAATTTTTTAGTATCTACTATAAACTACTCACTATGTTCAATAATTGATTCAGTATCTATTATAACTTATACAATATCTTCTATAACCTATTCAGCAACTACAATGAATTATTCAGTATCTACCATGAATTCTTCAGTATGTACTACAAATGACTTTATCTACAACAAATTATTTAATAACTATTAGAAATTGTTTAGTAACTAGACTTACTACTACCATAATTAATCAATAATGACCGTGTTGAGTTACATGCATGGTAGGGGTGCAATCGATTATTTGACTTAGTCGACTAAAAATCGATGACCAAATTAGACGGCAACTAACTTAATAGTCGAGTAGTTGGTGACGTCATTACGCGTCTTTCTTGCGCTCACTAGTAATGTTTTGACATTACCGCCCACTGCAGAGTTGACAAAAGCGTGATGTCAGTCTCAAGGACAAAATCCTCAAAAGTGCGAAGCTAAACTCAGAAAAAAATGTCGTCAGTTGTGCTGTTTGTAAAGCCGACCTCAGCTGGCTCAGAGCAGATCCTCCATGCTGGAGCGTCTGAAGAGGAAACTTACTGACTGGATGAAGATTTAACTCGGTAAGATACGCCGCGTCCCAAACCGCATACTAGCTTTACCGTTAGAAGTGCACTCATTAATGTAGCATGTGAAGCACAGAAGTGTGTGTTTTGGGACGGGGCGATAGTTGAGCTAGTGAGTTAGTGAGCTAATGTCAGTGTTAAAAGACGTCCTACTATCATCAGGAGATCACGAGTTCGATCCCTGGTGATGCTACAGCCGTCCGTAGCCGGGAGTCCGAGAGAGCACAATTGGCCTCGCTCTCTCTGGGTGGGTGGGATGGCCCCTCCTTCTCCCCCCATCACTTAATGTGATGCTAGTCAGCGCAGGCGTCTGTTAGCTGACGTAACAGATCTGGCGGTTGGCGCTTTCCTCCGAGCGCGTTCGGCTGTCCTAGTGACGTCGCATGAGCGGCAGTTCGAAAAGAGGCGGTGGCTGGTTTAACAGGTCTCGGAGGAAGCCTGTGTTAGCCTTCACCCTCCTAGCGTTGATAGTATCGTGTGATTGGGGGAGTCCTAACTAGGTGACGACTAAATTTGGGAGAAAATTGGGTTAAAATCCAAAAAAAAAAACTGGAACATTTTCTATTTCGAAATGCTGCTCTCTGGAATCGTTAAGGGAGCTGGAACAGAGGAGCAAGTAACTATTCTTCACAGTGAATCTGTTCACGTTCCAGATAACGCTTACAATTTTAAACACTGCACCGTCGTCTTAACATGGAGGCCACAGGGGCGTTCGAATTTGGCGAACACAGAGAACGTCTGCAAACAATTTCTTATTTTCCACGAATGTTTGCCACCACTCAAACAGTTTCAGGAGGTAGTTCTCAGCGGACATACACAATCATTCAAACACTGTTCATAGAGAACAAGTTTGCCACAAACATTCGCCACTTTCCCATCTGCTCCATCTCCGCAGCGGGGAGTGAATATCTGCTCTCCAAAGAGAGCAAGCCTCTCACAGGAGCATGCAGAGATGCAGACTTTTCAATAAAGACTGGAAGAAAGGTAGTTGCAACAGAGTGGGCACAAAGCACAGACTGCACTGTTTAAAGTTCACATTTAAATTTAGATTGATTTTTATTTACTTGATTATTAGTTTTGTTATATTTTATTGTTGCTACTTTGCACATCCTTGGTTTTAAATTTTGACAGGAAAAATATTTGAGTTTTATTTATCTTCTGTATTAGCAGGAAAGTTCATAAAAACAGTGAGTTTTTCGAATGTTATTCATCTTTATTGTCTTCACTGTTAGTTAGCAAATGCATAAAACAACCTCAAGCTAAATTGAAATGCTGATAGCTATATAAGTGTTATTTGGTAATGCAGTGATTCATAATCTGTAATAACTGATTATTCGTTTCAGTAATTGACAGATTATTCGACCATCAATTTAGTCGTGTGTTGCTGCCCTAATGCACGTTGCTCCAGTGAGAACAGTGCGAAAGCTTTTCGTTATGCTGTACTAGTATTGTGTACTGAAGTGAACTGAAACTGCACAAACACAAATTTATAACCCTTCATGGATTTTCTGAGTGAGTGGGTGAGAATGTGTGTGTCTTACCTCTCTTGCTGGTGGAGTGTGGTGAGGACAGTGGGGTTGAGCTGGAGGATTTTGAAGATTTCTCATTTTCTCTCCTCTCTTCAGCACCTGCAGCACTGTGGCCATTACTGTGGAAACAGCACACACACACACACACACACACAGTCAGACACACCGCTCGCATCAACAGTAATGAACCCGCACACACCTGAAACCGCCACTGACGATCTACAGCTTTCAGCACAAAGCTCTACACTGTCATCTCAGGAGAACACTGACCTCTAGTGGCCATTCTGGTAACAACCCAAATCACCACAGAAACAGGTAAATGTCTTATTTTTGATCAAACAGAGTCCGTCAGCCAGGGATCAGATTTGGGAAGCCTAAATCAAATTAAATGAATAAATAATTCATAACAAATAATCAAAATACATAAACATGATGCAAAACTAATGAAAAACGGTTTAGAAAATTGTTCTTAACCACTTGATGAAACTGAATTGTTTTTGGTGTAATAAACATCACACATCAAATTTTTATTTAATAATGAATTACTGCTTATCATATACATATTTACTATTGTTATTATTGTTATTATTATTATTATTATTATTATAGAACAAACCTGCTCCATGCTTTACATCTCTGAGGAGCCTTGACATCAAACATTACAGTGCAGCTGCAGCTTTCAGTACTGTGATAGGAAAGTGTATATTTCTGGAGAGCCAGTAATCAGCGCAGTTTACTGGTTCCCCAACTCAGGCACAGTCACTAAACCTATTAACAAACGAGTGTAGTCAGGTGTGCTCGAGCAGGTAAAACTGTGCTGGACACTGGCCCTGAAGGGTCGGAGCCCCTCCCACTCTGTACTCCCACTCTGTAAAGCTTTATAAACATGTGCCCTGGTCTCCGCCCAGGTGCTGCCCACCTGCCCATCTGAACAGACCTACCTGAGGTTGGTGGAAGTCCTCTTTGATGCTGATTGGCTGCTGCCACGGGAGGAAACGAAGTCATCCTCGTAGGCCAGGCCGTTCAGTGAGTTGGACGCAGATCCAGCAGCATGAAGAACAGGAGTGACCCTCTCACCTCCCACCTCCATCACTACACAAACAACACAGAGGGCAGATATGGATCAGAGTAATTCTGACCAAATTCGTGAAATTAAGAAAATAAAAAGAGTCATGTTTAGCATCTGAAGTTTGCTTATTTCATTTTAGGACTGGAGCTATGAGGTTAATGTTGCTAACAAGTAATAGTAGCGTAAACCCAACCAGCAAAACACAAATTATAATAATCATAATTTTAAAAAAGCATATAATAACTAAATAACGTAAATAATTGCACTTATATTAATAATAATAATAATAATAATAATAATAAAATGAAATTCACAGTTTAATACATCTAGATATGTACATAAATGATAAAAACAGAAAAATGAGTGAAAAAATTTGCTCTGTTGACATGTTCTTTTAAGGGTGGTGATATTAAAAGCTACCTTTGCTGTAGTTGTGCATGTTTTTGGTGAATATGTTGATGACGCTGTGGGGGCTGCCTTTAGCCAGATCGTCCCACAGCGGCCAGCTATCCTGTGGTGCGGCTCCAGGCCTGTAGGGGGAGTGCTGCTCCGCCTCTCTCTGGAAGAGCGTGATTGGGTCGTGGGCGTGGCCGTTCTGCAGGGTGGCGCAGTAATCTGCCCCCGCCAGTTTCAGAGAGGGCTTGGGGAGGCTCTGCGGGACACCTATGGAGTCACCTGGAGAACCAGAAGGGTGTGGTAAGAGGTGACATGACAACGTGTGTTTGTTATTGTGATAAATTCTGTCACACATTTCTGAGTAGAGCTCGTCAAATTCCATGTTTTTGTTTATTTCTGCAGCATTTTGGACTGGAAGGTCCCCAGTCTGATTTAGACTGGATGTAATGGAGTGATAAACAAATTCACAGCATTGCAGCAGTTGGAAATGAAGTATTTTGTGAAGAGAGACAATAAAACTGGCCATTTAAAAATTAATAGCACTGTAACTTCGAAATCACTGACAAAAACAAAATATTTTAAATGTTGGATATTTGAAAACTATTGATTTAAAAATTTGCATATTTAACTAACAAAGAGAGGTCCCTACCTCTAAGGTCCTCACCCTCTGACAGGCTGCTGTCAGTCAGTGGGCCTTCGCTGATAGAGCCTCTGCTTGAGTCCAGAGGCTCCACCCCCTCAGTGAATGGGAGGGTGTGGCCAGTCGGAGGTGGGCGGGTCTTCGTCACATACAGTCCTCTCTCTCTCGAGCCGAAGCTGTACAGGTTTCCCACACCCGGGAGTTCAGCCGGATCACCACCGAAAGCGCTCTGGCCTGCACGGAGGAGCCGCTGGATCCTCAGAGCGGGATCAGCAGCGCCCCCTGGGGACTCCCTCACGGGTGGGCTGAGCGTCTTTACCCAGCAGGGCATCGTCATCCTGGAGGACTGTGGGTAGTCCTGTGCCAGCATTGCGGCTGCAGTTGATTCCGTAGTTGATTCCGTCTCCAGCGAGTTTGCGAGCTTCTTTCTCTATGCGGCTGGACAGAGACGCTGCGCTGGCCTTCAGAGCCTCCACACGGCTCAGCCTGCTGGAGTGCAAGTGTGTGTCAATGCGGTTCGTCCTGCTCTGCTCTGTGTTTACGGTGTGAGTGGCGGACAGATCTACATGTGTTGGAGGCTTCTCAACAGCTGCTGCACCTTCCATGGAGAGGAGTTGGGAGAAGAGCTGGCCAGCAGAGGGCACCAGAGAGGCGGCGCTGGGCACAGAGCACATTCCAAGTTCAGCCCTACACATTCAGAGAGGATCAAAAACACCACAAATCAGCTTCACACATCAAAAACTACACTAATGGCACTCAGACGTTATCTGCATATCACACTGCAGAAGACGAGGCCAATAAAATCTCGACGAAACTGAAACCCAAATTTAGGGCAAACTCAAGTCGAAAACGGAAACCAAAAACCAAAAGAAAGATTCCTTTATATATAATTTCTCATTTCATTTATTCTTCTGAATTAACATAATAATGATCTTGACGCATCAAGGCAATAATCTGCTTGTTGGGAAAGAGAACCGAGAGAACAAGAGGACTTGATATAATGTTAAGCTTGCCACACAGCATTAAATATTAAAAGTTACAAAATTATGAAAATATAATACTTCATGGTTTTACAAAGGCATCTAAAGCTGAATTCCAGAGCGCCTCTGCTACAACTATAGAAACACCTTGCTTTTCAACGTGGAAAGCGTGTGGATGTGGCTTTGGAACTCCACTCTAGCAGCAAGAACTTTCTCCAGCAGGGGGTGCTATTAGTACATAAGCCGCTCTAGTGTTCATCATTTGAGAGCAACAGCTGTTAATCCACACCAGCAGGATCTAACCAGCACACCTGTTCACAGTAAACACTTTCAAAACCAGAAGTAAAAAGAAAAAAAAAAACTGTTACTGAATGCTATTTGTGATTTCCATTAAAGAACGTCATTAAAATCACTAAAAGCATGTGAGTTAAAGAGTGACTGAAAACAGCTGCAGTGGACTGTTTGAGTTTGAACGTATCTGTGCTGACCAGCACACAAAAATGAAGAAAACTAGTGTTTTGAATTACCTTTTAATTACCATTCAGATTATTGCTATTATTAAGGTTTAAATTTGACATCATTGCAGACTTAATATTTTCCTTTTTCTAGCAAAAGTTTTCAGCTTTGTGTCTCTTTTGGCTGGAAACTGTGCCACTTTCTACCATATTCAGCTGTATAATCCACAAGCAACAGCACTGTAACCTGAAGCAGGAGCAACCACTCCAGACCTACCTCATTCCACACATTCAAGATAGTTTCACAACTCCAGATATTCTCATTCTGACCATTCTATCAGTTCACATGAAGCAAGACCTAAAAACTCCAGCACCTGCAGACAAACAGGCCTACGTCATTCACTAACACCAACACTGCATGGTTCTATGGAAACAGGTAGGAGCTGGCAAACCGTCATGTGACTCAGCCACTCCTGATAAAGCTCCTTATCAAAGTTTGTTTATGCACAACAAGGCGCCTCCTTATGCAGAAGACATTTTAATACCTGTCGAACTGAAATTAACAGGACAAGCTCCAGCATTTTCAAAGAGGATGAAATCGATAGCAAATAATTTCAGAAAACAAGAGCGCTCAGTTTCAGGTATGCAGTCATATGAAAACAGGTTTGACCTCCTCCAGTTAAATGACATTTTGCTGATCTATAAGTGAAAATAATTTAACATCCTCTACAGAGAACACACTCAAACATGTCTAATATGTTTTTCCACTAGATGTAACTTTTGCACAGGCCACAGTTCATGTTTTATTTTTTCCCCTAATATGTTTGATTCAGCAAATAAACAGCAATTGTGCTTTAAAATGTGTGTAATTTCACCAGTGGCTCGCAAACCTTTGCATCCAACTGTACCGATCGCCTGCTGAGAGAGTTCGCATGTGTGATTATGTTTTTCAAACTGTGGACCTCAGTAAGGGGCAATTTCTAAATCTTCACACCAAACCTGATGCATTTTCATTTAAAAAGTGTGGAAATGTGGGAAGAGGATGGAAAAGGAAGGATAAACAGATTACTCAAGTAGTAGCAGCAAATTTATCACTTTTCTTTCAAGCACTGCAACTAAAAGGTACACACACACACACACAGGCAGTTCGTTCTCCAGCTCCTTACACTAAATTCCCAAACTGTCATCACCACTGAGCAGCTTTTCAGTCGGCAGCTGTGACAGAAGAACAGCTGAACAACCTGGAATCAGCCAGAAATCAAGTTCAGCTCAGTTTTGTCAGTTTTTGCCAGATCAGTATTAATGTTGTTTTGTTCCAGCCAGTCTGTAAAGCATCTTACAGCCCATTTAGTTTGGCGAATGGTGTTGGGTTCATTTCTGGCTGATTCCAGGTTGTTTAGCTGTTCTTCTGTCACAGCTGCCGACTGAAAAGCTGCTCAGTGGTGACGACAGTTTGGGAATTTAGTGTCGTCTCATCTTCAGAGTCTGACCAAATCGGCTGTCGGTCAAATGTGATCTTAAAAGTGTCCATTTTCTGTTTGTGGCAAAGTAAGAAGTAAAAACATTCAAATGTCTTGAGCGTCTCCTACAGCTGTCAAAGTCGTTGCTTAGCAACAACGTCTCAGCGGAGTGACTCAGTGTTTGTGAAAAACGTGATCTTATGGTGAAATATCAGCACGGTTAGAACGCTTCTCAACCAATCAGCTTGCGTGGCTGGAACTAACTAGAAGCTGCCTGGCTGCAATCGTGACGCACATTTGTTTGGATAACGGAGCTCTGACCGGTCAGCCCGATTTCTGATGCATCCTTTGGGTTGAGGCCAATGTACATAAACAAAACAAAGGAAAAATGTAAAGTAAAAGTACTCATTGAGACCCATTGGGGCTTATGACTTGGTGCTCTAACATGTTTAGTGGGCAGTTCTGATGTTTTTTGTTTATATTTTCACTCCTGTGAAAAACAAGCAGCTTCGCTCGACTCTACATGCTTAGTGCATCATTTCGCCTGTACAACCAGTGTTAGCTACTAAGTAAACACAGCTAGGAAGAGAGCTAAATCTGCCAACCAGCCACTTTAAGCTTGTAATTTAACAGTCGTATACAATGAACATAATTAAACTGACAAAAAAGTTAACTGCAATTCTTTATATGACGATCAGCTAAACTTTCCTACAGTTCTACATACTGACTTAAAACTTTTTCACAATGTCGCAGTCTGTCAGTTTCAGACTCAATGTGAGGTTGTTTTTTTTTAAGGTATGTTTTCATTGTTACGTTGCATGTTTGTCCATAAAAATCAGACCTGGTCTAAAAGCCTTAAAGTTTTTAGTGTGTGTTACCTGGACAGCGCTGGTGGTCCGTGCTCAGACACTGACAGGTCGCTGTGCGAGGGGCTCGGGGGCTCCTGTCTTTTATTCTCTTTATCTGATTCTCCAGATGGCTGGTACACAGGCCTCGGCTACGGACAAAACATGACACACAACACAGCTCTTAATACCAAATGACGTTCAGTGTTCGGGGATCATAAAACAAAGCATTAAAAATTAAAAAATTCACTGCACAAGTATCTCCTAACATGGTTATGTGTGGGAGTGAGTGAAACCCTTTATAAATCTAAATGTTACTGGTTTATTCCTCTGTCACTTCCTAATTGTGTAGCTGAAGAGTAACTCCACCCTAAGACCTTTTTTTCATTGACAGCTGAAATGCTCTGCTCTGTTGTAATAAAATATACCAGTCTTGCTTAAAATGTGAACACTGTAAAACTGTAAAAATATCATTTTTATGGTGGTCAGTTCCGCCTCTGCAGCGCCCCCTCTGGTTCAACTCTGCTATAGGCGTGGATGACGTGCCTTTGTACCGAAAGGTTCAGGAAAGGTTAACGTTAAACGGTCATCATTACCGACTGTGTCAACCTTTCGTCCGTGCAGCCTTTCCCTGACTTTTTTCCCCACTTTCTTTTTTTCCCCACTTGCTGTTAATTTCAGTGCAGTGAGTGGGAACTGAATCGGGTATAACACCAGTAAGTGCCATGAACCGCTTGCAGAACGTACGGATTTAGGGCCACTGCAGCAAACCCTGGCAGAGCGGTGACGCAGTCTGCGACCTTGATGTCAAACTGAATAAAACTTAAGAGTTCAAAGAATCCACTTTAACCATTCGGAATTCAGTGCATCTAAGAAATCAGGACTGTGGACCTGATGACCAGATCATTAGAAGCGAGCTGTTGCAGTTTTAGGGAATGTTCTACCATTCAGACGTCTCTGCCGCTCACTGCTAATCATTTTCTGGCACTACGTTAACTCTTTGGTGGCTCGAGTCAGTGGCTCATACTGTTAAGGCTCAAGACGCGCTGCCTGATCAGAAACACCTTCCCTCGTTGAAGATGGGGATGGTAGTAGAGAGAAATCTTCAGCCTAGTAAGACTCTCAGTTGCAAAAGTGCTGTTTGATTGTCATGCTCCACATTTTCTGGTAGCTAACGCACGCTAGCTCTAAAAACACAGCAGCCCAGCCCACCTGGTTTCCCTCGCAGCCCCACCTCCAAACTGTAGATCACTGCAGTGTCCCTCCTAGCGTGCCCCGCCTACTTTCGAGCCAGGGGTAGCTAGTCCAAGACTCTTTTTGTCTTCAGGGTTCAAAATAGTGTTTCCCACACAAATATTTTATAACGTTACTGTTAAACAAGGGGACATTTAGGCTACGTTCACATTACCAGGCTGAAGTGGCACAAATCTGATTTTTTGCCCTAATGTGACTCTGATGTTTTCAGGGCTGTGTGGACACAAATCTGATCTTTCCAAATCCGACCAAAGTCACTTTCATATGTGGGCCTAGATCGGATACGTATCCGATTCGTGGCCATGTGACCTTAATGTGACGCTCAGATCGGAATTCATGTGCTTTTTCTCCGCTGCGCTGCGCCATCATTCAGCGTTACCATGGCAACAGCGCCGAACAGAAGTTAAAGCCTGTAAATGGTGGAAAAGCAGCTCATCTCACCTTTTTCTCCTTCGTCTCGCTCTAATAATGAAGCTGAGAGCTGATCAGAGTTAATTATCTTCTCAGCGAAGCTCGTTCTGCTCGTTAGTTTGTGCTGATGATGCTCGTGATTCATTCACGTGACGTTACTGAGTAGGATGAGCTCATGAGGGTCATTTCAGGACGCCGGTTCGTCACATTAATGACAGATTTGAGTCACTTACCTAAACCTAAGTGTGAACCATCGTGTCAGAGATCAGATTTGAGCAAAAAATCAGATTTGAGCAACGAGGCTTGTAATGTGAACGTAGCATAAAACACAACATCGGCGCTTGTGTTTCAACATTTCTGGTTAAATGCTGCAACTTATTTATTTATTCCAAACCATCAAGTAAAAAGTCCACTGAGATCAGTTTCCCAGCCTATTTCAGATCTGTGGGAAACATTGAAATACTATTCAGATGTAAAGCTCATCATTAGGAAATGCACCTAATAATAATCAATATTAAATAATTTTGAAAAATATATTGCAATACGTTTTTTGTCCATACCACACAGCGCGTGTGCGTACCTGCTGCAGCGTGTGTTCCAGCAGTAGTTTGGTGTACGTCTCCTGCAGGTGTGAGTGCGGTGGGTTGGTGGGTGGAGCCTGGGGTTTGGCCACTCCCTCTCTCTGCCTCCTGTAGAGCTCCTGCAGTCGCTGACATCGCCTCTGCTCCGCCTCCTTCTGGCTCCGCCTCTCCTCCGCCTGCTTCTTCTTCCTGTCCTCCTGTTGCCGGGCGATGTACTGCCGCACCTCCTCCGCATTATACTGCCGCTTCCTCTCAGGGCGGGGCTTAGCAGGGCTGGTGCTGCGGGACGATCTGACTGGAGCGGGGCCGCTACGCCCTGCACTTTTCCTGCCAGCGCCCTCTTCAGGTCCTTCAGGTCCCCCGCCCTCCAGCTGAAGGTCGTCCAGAATGCCCCGGATGTCCGCTGAGAGAAGATCGGTGCTGGGTGATCTGCCTCTATCGCCCCCTGCTGGTCTGGAAGTAAAGATGGATATCGTTTCACAATATATAAAAGCAATTGTACGTTCAATAATAATAAATGAATAATAAAAACAAAATGTATCTTTTAGGTCCATTTATTTATTCACATATAAACACATTTGTAACTAAAAATGTATTTTGCACTTTAAATAACATTTAAATTTCCTGCAGCTAAAAAAGGTGCAGTTTTTTACTCCATGTTTGCTCTATTGCAGGTTTAATTCACGTTAACAGCTCTAGGTTTAACCATAACCAGTTGGAAAGGTTTATAAGCCAATATGTCCTATTTTATTTCTTCACAGGTAATATTATCCGTTGTGTCACAGAAAATGCAAAAAAAGTTAAAAAGAAAGTAATAACAAAACATGCATAACAGTGCAAACATTGCAAACCTATTTTTACACGGTTTTTGTGTATGTTGCAGCAGAAAGAAGAAGTCGACGTCTGAGCTATAAAAACTATAAAAAGTCTATAAAAGGCCAGTATAAAAACTACACTGACTAACGTAGGAGAGCACTGCAAGTGCTTTTGGTCTAAAATCCACTTTAGCAATTAATAAGAATTTTTAAGCTGTTCGTGTTTAATCAGCTTTGGGGGCGGGGCTGTTTATGGTTCACAGCGTTTGGGCTTCGAACTGCATCTATGGTCAAACTTCTGTATTTCGACAGTCATACTGGTATTCATTTTTATACAGGTAGACCCTTCTACCCTACCTCGAAGGCCCCTTCGCTAAAGTGTCTCTGTCAGCCCCTGCTGGCCTGGAGGAGCCCTTGGCTGCGGTGCTTCTTCCTCTATCGCCCCCTGCTGGTCTGGAGGTCTTTGCAGCTGGCCTCTCTGAGCTGTTTGGCCTTGAACGACGATTCAGCTCCAGCCGAGGATCTGAACTGGTGCGAGACGAAGCACCTACAGAGAGGGCGAGAGAGACAGAGACAGCGAGAGAGAGAGAGTAACACAGAGGGGTTGAGTAAGGTTATTGGATTAATTGACTAAACTGACTATTATAGATTTAAACGTGGCACATTTAAAGAAGTGGCTTCATTTATTGATTGATTTACTGGTTTATTTATTTATTTATATTTTTGAGCGTGGTACGTGCCTCATTGTGTTGATTTTCTTCCAACATCCTTTTTGGTTTTATTTACGTCAAGCCCTCTGAAATGCATTTGTATAAGAAATGGGCCACATCATAAACCTGCCTTGCCTAAAACTCAGTAGAAAATCGTTTTTGCTCAGGCTGCATTTCTCTGGTGGCACCAAAATGTTAATCCTTCTCTAATTTACGAGTTTAATCAATAAAATGACCCAAACTAGGGACACCCAGATGTGCAGTACATGAAGAATTCAATCAGGCCCCAAACACCACAATCACTTACTCGACAATAGATAATTGTTCCACATCAGTACAACACATCTACCATAATACATTGTAAGGGCAGCACTAAATCAGTGCAGCAGCTCCTCTCCAGAGGCTGCACACACTCCCCGACCTGTGTGTCAGGCTGGAGAAGAAATAATTGTGCAGTGAATCAGAAACAGCCAGTCAATCCCTGTTCATTACGGTCAGTGAGCAGTGAAGTTTAGAGTCGCACTACAACAAAGTGAAAGTACCTCATATTTACAGACAGACCGGAAATCCATCTCCAAATATCAGCATCAAATTCTCATTAAAAAAAAATCTCTGTGCACCCTTCATGTTTATGTATTTTAACACTGTTAAAGTCACACTTCCCGGTCCATATATGAAAATCAGACTGCAATAAAAGCCTGTTTTTGAATTCACTGTTTTTGTGATGTCACACAAAAAAAAACTAAACAAAAAAAAACACTTACATCTATCAGTTTAGCCTCACTCCCTGAAGTTATAAGAAGTGTTTCAGCCCAAAATGGTTTTTGAAGGTGGCACAAAACAGGGCAGCCAGTCAGAACAGAGCTCATTTACATATATCTCAATTCACCCCTCGCCCTTACCGCTCAGCTCTACCCCTCTGTTTTGCGAGTTCAGGTCTAGCAGCAGGGTGTCCTGAATCTTGTTGAGATAGAGGGGGAGGGTGAAGTGTTGGGGCTACATGACCCTCCAAACGGAGGTTTTTCAGACACTCCAAACAGAGAGTTATGAAAAAAAAGAAAAACCAGCAAGATGGAGCACAAGAGATCAAAGAAACCCACAAATGTGAGAATTTTCTCAGTTAAAAAATTACGATAACCATAATATTATCTTAGTTTAATGTCGTTTCAGTGTATTATGGTCGTTTTCTTTGTAACAATAAAAAAAAATCGCTAATAGCATGCTAATGTCTCGGTAGCTAGCTCACTAACTTTCCCGCTCCACCTTAAATAGTCCAGCAGTTCTGACACCTGAAATACATTTAAGGTGGAACAGGAAAATTCAAACGAGAAAGCTGGTGAATATCTGACTTCAGCTTCATATCACTGAAGAATTAGGGGTCGGTGATAATAAATAATTGCCCCCCTTTTTGAAGATCATATGATGCCCTAAATGTAACTAAAGCCCAGCAGTGAGGAGCTGAACTTTACCCTCCTCTGCTGTCACTGCAGACTGGCAGGGTCGCCTACAGAGCAGCGCTGGTAGCTGTTAATGAAGTGATGCTCTTTTTATTTGAGGGTCTCATTTCAGAGGAAGATTTCAACCACTACGTCTTAGAATTCAGCTCCATGAGGTTAGGGTGACACTCGAAAACAAGGCGTAGGGGTAAAAAGAAGAAATGGGACTGGGCCTGACAATAACAGCCTCTTAATCCTAAGGAATGAACAGAGGTTAGGAAATGGTCATGTAGAACGTAGACTGTTTTTGGTACATAAACTATGCAAATGAAATTTAAATATATATATATATACAAAAGAGTAAGAAAATGTAGAATATGGGCCCTTCTTTAAGTCATCCAGTCAACAAGAGAGCTTTGTAGGTTTGGTTTTGTAAATTTCCTGTGTTGTTTTCATAACAACAACAACAACAACAGTAAATACATATATTTGTATAGCACGTTTCAACAAACCACAGGTGCTTACAATGATGGAGCTCAACAAATATGAAGAAAGATTAACACAACAAGAGATTAGCGATTAACTGGGAATTAAAGTCACGCTAAATGAAATTGTTGCCAGGTGTGAGAGATGTAGAGTGTGAATGTGGTGCTGCGTGCCTGCAGGTGTGCGCTCACCTGTCCGTCTCTCTCTCTCCGCAGACTGAGCCCGAGGCTCGCTGGGTAACCGTGGCGATGGACCCAGAATCATCTTCACCAGTTTCTGCCCTTCTCGCCATGACGACGTGCTGATGACTGTAGAGACAGAGCGATTAATTTAAAACTGTCTGCACTCTCTTTGATTCAAAGTGCATCAAAATGATTTGGCTGAAGGAACCTACACAAGCCGTAGGTAAGAGGCTTCTTCATAGCTTTAGTTATTAGATGTAATTTAGATATTATATTTATCTAATTTGACAAAAAAAACCCTTAAATTTAATAACTAAATTAGTCAAACAGGCTAATGAGTGCAGCCTTTTATACTAGCCACACTCTTGCATGCATAAAGCGCAGTTGGCTTCGAGTCTATTTTTGCTGCTTGTGATTTTATTCTTCACTCCGTTTCTGTTCTGCACTCCTGCTCCTCATCTTCCTCAGCAGAGTGGGGCACAAGCTGCAGCTAGTATGCTGTTTATTGTATAAAAATGAAGTAGTAAAGTTGTCCATTTACACTGATATTTACATGTGATGTTTTAATAATAAATTAAAATGTATAGGAGGTAATTGGCAAGAAAAAAATTAGTACTGAGTAATGAGTGTAATGAGATTTTTGCAGATCTAAATGAAAATAAATGTATTCCACCATGCCCTGCTAAATTTTTGAGCAATGTGTACTATTCCTGTTAAGTAAACAAATAAAAGTGAAGTAAATATTTCATTGTTTCTATATTGTTAGTTTTAGTGCATTTGCTATTTTTCTAACAAAATGTTTTTTGTTTTCATTTCCGTTTAAAACAGGCCAATACGCCTGCTGTTGAGTCCTGCCTCCCTCCAGGACGTGTTACTGATATAGAACTCCATCAAAACAGACGCTCCTTCAGGGCTCATATGATCGTCTCGTCTTCTCTCTGAACACAGCACTTCAGGGCCAGAGTGTACACTGCAAAACTAATGCTGAGCAAATAAAAGGAACAGCATCTCAACCCCAGCACCAGGCTACAAGCTTAATCACAGTGAAAACTACAAATATTTAATCATTTCTATACTTTCAGCTGCTTTTTAATGCATTTCGTATTTAACTGCTGTTCCAGTCTAGCATTTACTTTTTGTTCAGTTTTTTTAAAAAAAAAGAATCTTAATGCAAAATGCCTAAGGTTCATTTTAGTTGACTGTTGGCAAATATTAGAACCTGAACGATATGAACATTGTGGCTGACACTGATTTAAGGGTACATAAACGTTCATAACTAATAATATCAGCCAATATCATTTTATATTTATAGAACAGATTTTAATTTTGAACGTCAATGGATTTATTTTAACAGTGCTTACAGTCCGTTCTGAGCTGCTACTCTTCTTATACTCAGATAAACAGCAGAAACTCAGTCTTAAATAATACAAATATTTAAAAGATATTTTTGCCTATTGGTCAATTACGTGATGCCTACTTTTCTGTCCAACTGCAGTTTAAAAGGGTATAGATACATACTGCATATGAATGCAAGATCCTATATGTAGTACCCCAGACCTTTATCCACATATCTACTCACTTTTCAAAAAACATTAATCAGTTGTAACTTTTCTACTTAAAGGGTCAAATTATCATGTGGTGCGGCCGTCTGGCCATGACTACTGTTTTGAAAACTTCTTTGAAATGACTCTAAATCAATTTTTGTCCAAAACATTTTGTAGTCATGTACAAAACTGCAAAGCATTTGTAATTTTATTTCCATCATAATATACAAACAAGCACGGTCCGATGATGTTTTATGAAAGATACGGAGACGGAACCGGCGACTTTCTGGTCACAAGGCTGGTTCCCTAACCTCCAGCCCATGACTGTCCCCCTGTTTAAGCCCCCTGTTTGAGTCCTGTTCCCCTTTAAAATGTATTACAGAAATAGAGCCCCTTTAAAACAAAGCATTCCTGCACAGGTGTTGTAGATCCACAGAGTTTGCTGCATCACCAATGCCAGGAATTTAATTAATTACATCTCAACTCCATAAATCACTATAACTGACTACAGTGGAAAATCTGGGCTGCAGTCGGGACTAGACAGATTTAAGCTGTAGAGACAGTCACCTGGTCTGGTTTGTTGATCTGGAACTGAAGCAGATCGATGAATTTTCCTCACAGGTTTGACCGCTTTCCTCTCCTGCACCTTCTCTTTCTCTTTCACCTTTGGCTTCTGCTTCACTCCGTCTGCCAAAGAAACAATTAACCAAATCTGCTCATTTTTCAAAACATAACCCAGTCTCTTAATAAAGTTCTCATCTGGAGCAGCGTTTCCAAAGCCAGACCGCCGGGACTCCCAGACGGTCCGCTTTTATTTTTGTATCTCATCACACCTGTACCAGGTATTCACTTCTCTATACCCTGGAACAGGTGTGGACCGAAGTGGTCCCCACAGACTGGACTGGGAAACAGTGAGACACTGAGAGCGACAGTGTTCTCAGTGTGGAGCAGATGTAGGTCAAACTGTGTAGGAGTTTATAACAAGGGAATAAAATGGTCATGATCAGAGCAGCAGCCAGACTGCAGTACATGAGAGAGAGAGACAGAGAGAGAGAGAGAGAGAGAGAGAGAGAGAGAGAGAGAGAGAGAGAGAGACAGACAGACAGACAGACAGAGGAAAGGGTTGGTAGAGAAACAAAAAGGGGGGCATATAAAAGAGAGAGAGCGGGGAAAGGAGGGTTGGTAGAGACATGGGGCATTAGAAAGAGAGAGAGAAAGAAAGAAAAAGAAAAAGAGAGCGAGAGAGACAAAGGAAAGGGTTGGTAGAGAAACAAAAAGTGGGGCATTAAAAAGAGAGAAAGAAAGAAAGAAAAAGAAAGAGGAAAAAAAAAGCTTGGTAGAGAGAAAAAGGAGGAGGCGTGAGAGAGAGAGAGAGAGAGAGAGAGAGAGAGAGAGAGAGAGAGAGAGAGAGAGAGAGAGAGAGAGAGAGAGAAACAGTGCAGAATGTCGAAGAGAGCGGGACTAAATAATCAGTCCCACAGAGACTCTATGAGTACCTAAGAGTTGATGCATGTAGAACTCTCTGCTGCAGTTGTGGAACTCCTCCTCCCCCCACACCTTCCCATCCGCTGTGCGGATCGTAGTCTCGCTCGTGTTAAATCCTGCAAGGAGATGGACATCACCTCAGAACATCAAGAACAAACCACACTCCTGTACCGTTACAGACAAACTAGGGCTGGACAAGATGGCTGGAAAAGCTCTGTCAAAAATGTGTATTTTAGACCTAAAGACATCATACAAAGACACACATCAAAATTCTTTATCATCAATGCACAGGGTACAATGAAATTGGGTAGCAATCCTAATGGTGCATATACAAAAAAAAGATAATATATCTAACATAAAATATAAAATGCAAGATATTAAAAGAAAGAAGATATAATTGAAAATTATTTTTAAAAGTAAAAACAGAAAATTAAACTAATTCTGGTCACAAGGCTGGTTCCCTAACCTCCAGCCCATGACTGCCCCAGTCAGTGTAGACACCCTCCGTTTGTTGTCTTACCTTTATAGATGGGTGCAGGTGGAGCAGGTGCCACCTTGCGTACTTTAGCGGTGGGCACGGTGGTGCCCAGTGACGCCCCGATGCCCACCGGCTGCTCAAGATGGCTGATTATCCTCTCTCTCTCTGCAGCTTCCTCCAGCTGCTCCCTCTGCCTGCGGATTCGCTCCTTCAGCTTCTCCAGCTTTCCGTCCGTCCGCCGCTGACGCAGTTTCTCCAGCCGCACCGATGCTGACCCAGGGCTGGACGACACCGAGGTCGGCGGTACCGCTGCCCGGCCATTTGCCTGCAGCGTGCCGGGCCTGACCTCCGACCCCACCGACCCTGGAACAGGAGGGTCATTGAGAAAACGAATGGTCGTGTTCTCCAGCGCTGAAGAGCGAGTGCTGTCCAGATCGGCTGTTTGATCTGGCCGCGAGTCACGCTCATAAACCTGCTCGCTCAGAGCCGCTGGGGCGGACAGATCCGAAACACAGCGGGGAACTGGAGGAGACACTTCCCTGGAACAGACACAAAAACATACACACATGAATAGTGCTAATGTACTGATGCACTGATATACCGACATACTGACGATCCCCCCCCACCCTGCCACACACACACACACGCACACACGCACACTTATATTAAAAACCATTTCCAAAAAAAGTTGGGACGCTGTGCAAAATGTAAACAAAAACAAAATGCAATGATGTGCAAATCATTTAAACCCTATATTTAATTGAAAACAGTACAAAGACAACATATCAAATGTTGAAACTGAGAAACTTTATTTTTTTTTGAAAAATATTTGCCCATTTTGAATTTGATGCCAACACGTTCCAAAAAAGTTGGGACAGGGGGCAACTAAAGGCTGGTAAAGTTGTGTAATACTAACAAAAAAAAAAAAAAAAAAACACATGGTAATTGATTGGCAACAGGTCAGTAACATAAGCGGGTAAAGAGCATCTCAGAGAGGCGGAGTCTTTCAGAAGTAAAGATGAGGAGGGGTTCACCACTCTGTGAAAGACTGCACCATCAAATAGTGCAACAATTCAAGAAAAATGTTTCTCAACATAAAACAGCAAAGAACTTCTGCTTTTCATCATCTACGGTTCATAAAATCATTAAAAGACTCAGAGAATCTGGAGAAATCTCTGTATGTAAGGGTCAAGGCCAAAAACCAGTATTTGCTGGCTGTGATCTTTGGGCCCTCAGACAGCACTGCATTAAAAACAGACATGATTCTGTAGTGGAAATCACTGCATGGGCTCAGAAACACTTCTGAAAACCACTGTCTGTGAACACAGTTCATCACTGCATCCACAAATGCTAATTAAAACTCTAAAACACAAAGAAGAACCCAAATATAAACAGGATCCAGAAACACTAAACTGACCTGCCTGCAGTCCAGATCTGTCACCACTGAAAACACTTGGTGCATTATGAAATGAAAAATATGACAAAGGAGCCCCTGAACTGTTGAGCATCTGAAATCCTGTATCAATCAAGAATGGGAAACATTTCATTTTCAAAACTACAGCAGTGTCTCCTCAGTTCCCAAACAAAGAGGTGATGAAACACAGTGGTAAACAGGCCCCCATCCCAACTTTTTTGGAACATGTTGTTGGCATCAAATTCAAAATGGGCATATAATTTTCGAAAAACAATAACAATTTCTCAGTTTCAACCTTTGATATGATGTCTTTGTAATATTTTCCTTTAAAAATATGGTTTACATGATTTGCACATCATTGCATTCTATTTTATATACATTATGCACAGCATCCCAACTTTTTTGGAAATGAGGTTGTGTATGTGTAATATATACACACACATATACACACACACCCCCACACATATAGATACACACACACACAGTATTGTACTGATACGATGATGTACCAAAATACTGATGTAATGAAATATAATGGTGAATCAATGTAGTGACTGTGTACTGAAATACTGACACCCCCACATACAGACGCACTGATATATGGAAATACTCTTTCCGTAACTCATACCTGTGTGAGGCGTGAGTGTGTGGTCTCTCTGTGCTGTTGTCCTGTGTGCTGTTCCTCAGGGGGCTGCGGGAGCTCTTTTCTGGGTTTCGGCTCCTTTGGGATTTAGACGCTGCGGAATCATCTGCGCCACGTCTCTCTGAACAACAACAGAAAAGGCTTACAAGTGGCTCAAAAAGGAGAATGAGAATATAAATAATAATAATAATAATAATAATAATAATAATAATACCATGGAATGTGAAAAAAATTTGAGCCACCTTCTAAAATGTTTTACATTACAGTATATCCGCCTTTCTTAACAGACTTAATGTAATGCAACACTTGAAGAATTATGAACACTACCTGCTTAAAAAAAGTTGATAACTGGAAAGTACCTACATGTAACAATAATAATAATAATAATAATAATAATAGCGTTTTTATACCCACAAATTATAAATATAAGAGTTCACAATAAATAACATAAAATAATGCTATAATATTAATGTACATAATCATCAACATTCCATATAAGCTCAGAAGACTCGTGTAGGTTCACTGGTGGTTCTGGATAGTAAATAAAATGTCTATATTTGTGTTGTAGTCATGGCGACCCCTGGTTCCTATCACCACCACTGTAAAGACATCTGAACCATTTCACACCAAACCACTCTGAATCACTCTGTTTACATCTCAAACACTGAAAAATGAATGAATTTAGAAATTCTATGGAATTCCACGTTAAGCTTTGAGGGTTTTTCCTGATTATTTAAAAATTCTCAATGATTCAAACTGGTGTGTAAACAGTTGTGTCTGGTTTGACAGTGAGTGTTACTCTGCGAGTGAGAGGATATTCGACATCTCTGCAGCTGGCTTTGTCAGTGTGTGAGCTCTAAGTGGAATAGACTGGGATTTTTTACTCAGTTCGTGTGTGTGTGTGAGTGTGTGTGTGTGTGTGTGTATGTTACCTCTGTGCCTGGCTTTGCGACTGCCGCTGACAGGTGTTTTCTCTGTGTTCATCAGAGTGTCCAGCACCACTCCTGAGCCGACCACGGCCTCCAGACGGTTCTCTATGTGCCGCAACTGAAACCACACGCACCAAACAATATTACACACGTTTGTTTTCATACAGGGCCAGGACGCTAGATCCTACATATCTCCCATATGTACCATATACGCAGTATTGCGCAGAAGTTGTGGGCACCTGAGCATGATAGTACTGAACTGCTGGGAGGAGAGGTTTGGAACAGGCGGACACACTAATTATATTAATATAAATTGTATTTATTCTAATATCAGTGGTTTTTTTTTCACCAAATAAACACTTACTACTTATAAACAGAAATACATACACATACATATATTCATATGTACATATCGCTGTTGTTTGAAGAAAACCTTGTATTGCCAAAATGGTAACTTTACAGGAGAAAAAAAAACTTACCTTACTTTTAATGTAAGTCTATGGAACCAGATTCCTCCCCGCCCAATGTCATTTTGGGCTGTTTCTTTTGGTCTGTTTATCATGTAGTGTGTGTGTGTGTGTGTGTGTGTGTATTTATACATATATATACACATGTATACATACATATATTTATGTACATATACACATATAAATACACACACACACACGTAACAATGTGTCGCATACACATTATATATGTACATACTCAAGTTAAGCTTTTGTAAACATGTTACAGAGTCAGTAGCAGCAGAGCAGCAACAGGTGCAGCTCTAAAGCTCTGACCACAAACACTAAATTAGTCTTAATCTGAGCCCAAGAGCCAAAAACAGTGAGGGTTTAATCCTGAGGACAAACAGAAGAAGGACACTCATAATTCAGCACCAAGAACGCCGACCAAACGCCGTCACTCTCAGCTGTGTGCACATTCTGCTTTAGGCTAAGTGTGTTTATGCAGCTAATTCAACACTTACAGCAGCTTTGCTCTGGTTTAAATTCCTCCATGCAGATGATATTTCTGTGGGGAGAGAAGCACAATACATCATGCGTTAATGTGGTGACTGACACATTCATATTCGACAATTAAAGTTAAACTAAAGCAGCACAATAAGGAAAATGCCACAAAACCTGCTGTGATCTAATGTGGTGGTATTTTTAATAATTATACATTTATAATCTGAAACTGTTTTGTACATGTAATTTTCACACTTTTATTCACAAATTTGGATTTTCCATTATAAAATTTAAGTCTTAAGTCCTGTGTCTAGATTTAGGTTTCATATCATAAATTAACTGACTTCTTTATTATCTGTTATTTAGTAAAAGACATTTGTTTTCAATTTCGCAATCAGTTGCTTTTGTCTTAAATTACCAAAATTTAATTTAATGATAAATTAGGTGATAGTATTTCAGATATGGACATTAAGGAGTTAAAATTGGGTGGTGATAGCGATACCGACCTCTCCTATTGTCCAGTGCAGCTGGAGGCACTGCAGCCTCTCCTCTCTGCCCGCTCCACATTGCTACGGCAATCAGCTGCACATAAACAGAAACGGAGAGAAATTTAAAAAGTGATCATTTTTGGTCAACAATTTTAACCTCTTACCCCAAAAGTCACCGAACAGCAAAGACATGTTTGGTGTCTAAAATTTACTTATTTTCTTTTAGCACTGGAGCTACAAGGCTAATGTAACTAACAAGTAACAGAAGCTTATAGCCCACAAGTTAACATGATGCTAACTGCAGGCCTAAGGCTGCATTTACACTGCTCCGGCGCGCCGATGCACCGCAACGTATCCCATTCGTTTTCAATGGAAAGCGTCAGTTCCGCCAGACGTAGCCATCAGCGCACAAGAACAGTGTAAATGCAGCGTACATCATGCCACACTTGCCTCAAAGTGCATGGAATTGTTCAGTTATCTCTAATAGACACTGACACAATAGCCACGTTTACATGCAGCCTGATAATCAGTTAATAATCCGACTAATAGATCAATCGGAATAGAAAACGTCCATGTAAACACTTCAATCGGAATAGTCTAGTCTAATTGAGTCCATTCGGAATACAGTTTCTATCTGATTGATCGAGGTGGGTAATCCTGTAAATAATCTGTTGAATAGTAGAATAATATCCGTGTAAACGCCTGTATCTGATTACATTCCCTATCAGAAAGTTTAAGTCCGTTCTGATCATGTTTGTGAAAGTTTATACCGTTCAACATGGCGGAGCAGAAACTGGTCTGCAGAGGAGACGAAGTTTATGCTCTGATCTTTAAAAGACGGCGGTGAGACGGACGTCCAGCTTATGCGTCTCAGAACACGACGTCTTCCTCTCGGCCTTCTTTAATAAGGACATGTGAAGGACGTTTTCCTGAGTCTGACGTCATTTTAAAGTAATTAAAAACACAAGCGCTGCTCACTGCTGCTCATCTCACTCTGACTGGACTCACGCGATGCTGGTTGTCATGGTAACTTCTACACAAAGCGCTTCTCTAGGCATGCATGTAATTTTGGATCGGATTACTTGTAGTGAGCATGTAAACTGAGATTTTCATCAGACTGTTGAGTACAGCGAGAATAAAAACACCTCAGTCTGAATCTATAATCGGAATGTGTTCAATCAGGTTGGCAAAAATCATGGCATGTAAACACAAACACTGTTACCTATAAACATGGACTAAAGCTCCAGTGCAACAACAAAGAACTACCGGATTCCCATAATATTAACTGATGTTTATCATATCATTACACATACAACACGTGATGTTACAAAAACATTTACATATTTCAGCCTACAGCAGTTTAGCCCCGCACGTTCCTGCTGGGGTTACAGCCCTGATTTTTAAATGAGGTGCAATACAGGGCAACCAATCAGAACAGAGCTCATTTACATATATTAGTCTTAAAAGCACAGAAACAAAACAGCCTATTTAACTCTAAGGGATAAAGAGAGGTTGGAAATAACAGTGGAGAAGATATGACTGGGCCTCATTCACCAACATCTTCCTGAGTTTTTCTTAACCCTCTGGGGTTGACTAACGCACTGGCGCATCAAATTAGATGTTTCGCGATGTTCCTATTAATATCTTTGTGATGATCCAGCACAGAAATCCAGTTCAAACACTTCCTGAATCTGTAGAGTCGCCCTTTCCATTCCATCTCATCCCGAGATCATACGAGACTCACATCCGGAGTTATGAGCCTATGAAGAGGGGCTGAGATACACGCCATCTGCCTCTCACCGTGTGGAACAGGTGGATTCGCGTGTCCATCTACATTCTGTGTGAAACTGACCAATGGACACTCACTAAGGACTGACCATCACGCTGGAAACCCTTCATTCTTCATTCAGTCCACATCGGAGACTCATGTGAAACGGCGTGCAGAGAGTTTACAGCTGCTGAAGCTGCTGCGGCGGTTTTGAAAAGTAGCGACAAAGATGTCATCTATCTACAGCCAATTAGAACAGAGCTTATTTACATACATCAGTCTTAACAAAAAGAGCCTGTTTGATCGAAAGGAATATGGAAAAAAATTTTATTCATACACTTTCATTTCAAACGCCCAAACAATTTGTCCACTTGAGTAAAAACGTTTTCACAAGTGATATTAAGAATTTCTAATATCAGATTTCGAATTATCAGAGTCGAATGATCTCTTTGCCCAGTGCTCAAGGTCAAATGGGGCTTCATTACAGAGAGAGAGCTGAGATTATTCTGAGCATTTTGATATATAACATGATATATATCATGTTGTAAACAAGTGCCATTAAAGGTGAATTGAAAAACATATGCAAAAATCAGACTGAGTGTAGATTCAGTTCTTACCCGAGAACAAATCCCTAATAAGAAAACACTGGTGAATGTCAGAGTCTTTAAGAAAACTGCGTAAGTGGGTTTAAGAAGAAATTACTATTTAAGAACGGTTGGGGAATGAGACCCAATGTTTTAAGTACATAAAACCACACAAATGTTACAAGTGGACCTCAGACGAAAATAGAAACTACTTGAAACGTGTGGGATATGGGCCCTTTAACAAGCACAAAGCGTCCTATAAGGAAACTGATAGAGACTGCTCACATTTCACATGCTGCACATTCCAGCCGTCACGGGTTCCTCTTAAACTGACAAACATCTATCAGTGTTCAACACTCACATGCAGGCTGCAGAGATCTCAACTATTCATTAATGCTTTTAAGTCATTGGGTCTGGGGGTTAAACGATCTGCAATCTGCCCTTTCAGAGGAACCTGCACTTACAGAGGAAGACTGAACCATTATTTTGAATATCTACCATATAACAGTCCGAATTATATACACCTCTATTGGTGAACTCCACCAATTTTTTCAAAAAGTTCCTAATAATTAAATGGTTAAGACGTAAACAAAGCAATTCAGAGTGGTTTGGTGTGAAACGCTCCGTTCTAGAGAAACTTACAGGGTCAGAATTGTTCACAGTGGTGGTGACAGGAACCAGACGTCCACCTCTAAAAGCTCCCTCACAGAAAGTTATTAAACAAAATGTTTATGAATTCACTGCTGGATGTCAGACTTCGTTTTATGATAGTTTTGTGATAACGTTTTGGCCTAAAACATCAGGTTGAGCAATTTATTTTGATCCATTTGTGGTGGAGGGATACATGCAGGACGTAGTGAGGAAAAATAGTTCCCAAAGGAAACTTAGTTTTTCAGATTTGCCTCTATTTTCCATCGTCATCATTCCATATATAAACTCAGAAGACTCGTGTAGGTTCACTGGTGGTTTTGGATAGTAAATAAAATGTCTATATTTGTGTTGTAGTCATGGTGACCCCTGGTTCCTATCACCACCACTGTAAAGACATCTGAACCATTTCACACCAAACCACTCTGAATCACTCTGTTTACATCTCACACACTGAATTAAGCAAAATTGGTGGAACTCCCCTTTAACAAGCTTGTATATCATTTAAAATCAACATTTCCTTGCTTTTTTTGAAATAAGAGAGTCTGACAAAGTTTCAAAACATTCTACAGTCCATATACGGAAACTAAATATATATAATTATATAGATATTATCTCTTTTAGTAAGTGTTCAAATGCACTTGACGAAAGCAGGCTATACATTTCCCCTTATTGAGAGCATGACCTCATCCTGACTTCTGAAAGGTCAATCACAAAGCGCCAGCCTGTCTCTGAAAGAGAAAGACCAATACATCCTATTTCTCTAATCTATCTGTCAAAGCTGGCGCTAATCAGACATTACCTGTGTTTTTTTACCTGATTTTTAAAAGCACCAGCTTTAAAAGAAAATCAGAAATGCCACTGTGCATCTGTTCATCAGAGGCGGACTGCAGCGCTGGCTTGGAAAGGATGAAAATGATTCACCCAAAACACAAGAAAGCGGTTCGTTCTGGATTGTTTTCCCACACTGTTCATAGAAACTGAAGGCTTAGGCTTCAACAGGGAATTCCTGCAAAACCAGCCTGTTTTGAATTCACCGTTTTCCTGATGACAGCAGATTAGCTCCGCCCATTCACGCCCGAGTTATAAAGAGTGTTTCAGCCCAGACTGCTTTCTGAATGAAGCGAAACAAAGGGGACAAACCAGAACAGAGATCATTTGTGTGTCTTTAAAGGACTCATATTAGGGAAAACAGAACTTACCTGACTAATTTTTAAATAATTAAGTATATAAAGATTGTTAAAGCTTCAAAACATACTGATCACTTTCCAGTCCAAAGAGTCCAAACACGAAAACTAGCCTGCATAGACGGCCTGTGTTTAATTCACTGTTTTTGTGTTGTTATGCAAACAATTACATTTGCAGATAACCGCCTATTCAGCCTACAGCACTTCAGCTCCGCCCACTCAAGTTATATGCTACGTTCACATTACAAGTCTCATTGCTCAAATCCGATCTCTCTGACAGGTTGGTTCACACTCGTTTAAGTAAGTGACTCAAATCCGTCATTTAATGTGACGAACCGGCGTCCTGAAATGACCCTCATGAGCTCATCCTACTCAGTAACGTCACGTGAATGAATCACGAGCATCATCAGCACAAACTAACGAGCAGAACGAGCTTCGCTGAGAAGATAATTAACTCTGATCAGCTCTCAGCTTCATTATAAGAGCGAGACGAAGGAGAAAAAGGTGAGATGAGCTGCTTTTCCACCGTTTACAGGCTTTAACTTCTGTTCGGCGCTGTTGCCATGGTAACGCTGAATGACGGAGCACGCACAGAGGAGAAAAAGCACATGAATTCCGATCTGAGCGTCACATTAAGGTCACATGGCAACGAATCGGATACGTATCCGATCTAGGACCACATATGAAAGTGGCTCAGGTCGGATTTGGAAAGATCAGATTTGTGTCCACACAGCCCTGAAAACATCAGATCTGAGTCACATTAGGGCAAAAAATCAGATTTGTGCCACTTCAGCCTGGTAATGTGAACATAGCCATAAAGAGTGTTTCAACTTGGGCTGCTTTTTTAACGCAGGGCAGCCAATCAGAACAGAGCTTGCTAACATATCAGTCTTAAATGCACGGCCTGTTTAAAGGGCCCATATCACGGAAAACTGAACTTCCTTACCTTTTCGAAAAAGGAGTTTAATGCAGTACGTAAACATTACTAAAGTTTGAAGACACACTGTTCACTCCACACAGTCCGTATATAACACTAAGCTTTAAAACAGCCTGTTCTGAATGCATTGTTCCTGCGATGCCACGAAATCCAACACATCTCATAGATACGCTAATTCAGCTTACAGCAGTTCAGCCCTGCCAATTCATGTTAAAGTTATGAGGAGAGTTTCAGTCCAGACTGGGCAGCCAATCAGAATAGAGCTCATTTACATATCAGTATCAATTCTAGCTCAGGGGTGGCAACCCAAACATTTGCCCTTTTAACAAAAAGCAAACCACTTCGGGAGCCAAAACATTTTATGACCATTTAACTGCAGTAACGTTTGACCATTTAGCTCAGCTATAGCTGCTTTTCTCACATCTCCAGCAGGAAACTCTTCCACAAAAATAGAACAGTTTCTTGTAAAATGTCTCTCAACATTCGACTTTTTACAAGTCGCTTTTCATTCACCAGCTTCTTGTTCGAATTTTCCGGTTCTACCTTAAATGGTGCCTGAGGTGCCAGAACGTAACTGCTGCACCACTTAAGGTGGAACGGGAAAATTCGAATAAGAAGGTGGCGATTGAGAATCTGACTTCAGCCTCATGACTTTTTAGTGTTTGTCAGTTTCTCGTTGCAGATTAAACGTATCAGGAAACCAGCTGGAGTGATTATAAATGCAAATAAGTCCATTCGTCTCCAAATTATCGATGTTGGTCTTCTATTTCTCTCTATCTAGGCGAGACTGTTGTCTGCATTGCTATGGTGACCAGCAGTCTGTGCTGATCTTCAGGGTTAAAGGGTGAATTAGCAGTTCTACATTAACTCCAGAGTTTAAGACCATTTATTGTTAAACTGTGTTGAACGATCAGCAGAGCTTTATTTTACTGTAAAGCAGGATTATTTTATTTTTACCTACAAATCTGATTCAGCTGTGGAGCCAAAACAAAGCGGGAAAAGAGCCGCATGTTGCCGACCCCTGGACTAGGTGATACAGATAGGTTGGAAAATGACCATGTAAAAAATGAAGTAGAACAATTTTTGGCAAATAAAAACCACACAAACTTAAGTCATGTACTTTATTGGTCCAACAAAGGGAAATTCATCATTTTGCTGCATAACTACTACCACTACAGCAGCACCACCTGGGGCACTGGTGGGGTTAGGTGTCAGGTATACCTAGTCGATCATGGGATTTGAACCCACAACCTCACAGCTGATGGATCACCTCTCCTACCACTAGGCTACCATTCATGCCAATTCATAAGTGGACCTCAATGGGGAAAGATAAGATACAAGAAAAACGTAGAATGGGCCCTTTAACGAATCCTGTGCTTCTTTTTAAAGCACCTCCACTTTTGTTTACAGTGACTAAACCCAACCTAACTGCCTTCTGAGCATCACTGAAACCAGGATCCACCCTTTTGTTTTGTTTTTAGAGTAAACGAAAAAGTCATGCATCATAATTGCAGGACATGAGGAAGAGCATTTGCTCCAAAACATTTTGATTTACTTACCTTACGGCGACTCTTCCCAGAGAACCGTGACCCGGCTCTGCCCTCCGGCCTGCTGGACACATCAGGGGCCGGAGACGGGAAGAAACCCTGCAGGACAGAGAACCAACAGAAATATGGATTAGGCATCACTGATGGCTAGATAGTCTGTTTCACAGGGTTAAAATGAGCCAAACTTCTTAATTAACTGTACAAATTAGAGGTGGGAGATATAGCAAAAACATGACATCACAATTCTGCAAGAATTTTTCACAACACATATATTTCACAACTAATATGACACACTATTTATTTTCACAGTTGGAACAGATAAAAAAAAAAACAGTAGTGCCACGTTCAAAAAATACTATCAAGTTTTTTACTAAGTTTTTTTTAAAGGGGAACTCTACAAAATTAAATGGTTGAGACGTAAACAAAGTCAGAGTGGTTTGATGCGAAACTCTCCGTTCACAGTGGTGGCGATAGGAACCAGACGTCCACCTCGAAAAGCTCCTTCACAGAAAGCTATTACATGAAATGCCTGATGACTGACACACTGTGTTATGATAGTTTCAGCTTGTAATGTACTTTAATCAATTTACTGTGTGGCTAAATAGTCTTATTATTTTCAAACTTATCACTATTTTCCATCATCAACATTCCATATAAAAGCTCAGAAGACTCGTGTAGGTTCACTGGTGGTTCTGGATAGTAAATAAAATGTCTATATTTGTGTTGTAGTCATGGCGACCCCTGGTTCCTATCACCACCACTGTAAAGACATCTGAACCGTTTCACACCAAACCACTCTGTTTACATCTCGAACACTGAATTATGCAGAAATTTTCGGCGGAATTCCCCTTTAAGCAGTACTGATGTTCACTATATGATCAGGAAAGCATATTGTGACATACTTAATTTATCCCGACAGCGATGCACAGTCATATTGCCCAGCCCTGGTCCCAACATTAATCACAACACCGACAAACGGCCAGCTTAGCGTGGCTTTCTAGCGACCGAATCAAATACCAAAACAAGAGAAACAAAAATTATCTTGAATTATCTGAGAACCTTAGAGTAAATCACACTAACCACAGTGTTCACCACAACTACCAGCTGACAGTCTTACTTTCGGATTAATGATTTTACTGCTCGACAACCAAGTTTACAAAGCAGGACGAGCAGCCTTCATCAGAATAAAGACTTCAGACACAGTTACTTTAGAAATAAACCCAAATAAACTCTGTGTTTATACTCAACCGATAAGTACAGGAAGCACAATTAACCTGAAGTTGGCTTCCTGTTCGAATTTCCCCGTTCCACCTTAAATGGTGCAGCAGTAACAGCGGGGCTGCCTCGGGCGCCCTAATACAACTGCTGCACCATTTAAGGTGGAACGGGGAAATTCGAAAACAAGAAGCTGGCGAATAGGAAGCTTAGTGTTAACCTGAACATCTACCACAGATTTCCCGGACAACTTGCACTTCACATCGCAAACAAACTAATATAAACAAACAAACGGTTTAATTTCTCATCCGCGGAGTGAAAACTAGAAACTAGAAACCAAACGACCAAACTTCACTGCTAACGGCTATCGGGCTAACCGAGGTAGCGCCGGGTCTGCCTTTCAGTCACTTAACAAACAAATAAACCGGGTTTAACGAGACTGACCACATCTTCAACCACAGAAAACGAATGATTTTGTTCTCCTTACCTAGAACGCGCTGTGTGAGAGCCTGTGAAAGTGTTTGTTAGCGTTAGCTTCTCTCTCTGTAATGGAGCCGTTAGCCGCTTCACCATTACACAACAAACACACGGGGGATCTCGCGAGACTTCGCAGCAACAAGTTTGTTAAGCTAGTGAGACCATCTAGCGACCCGCGTCGGTATATGCAGCAATACTCAGCCTTAAAGGGGAACAACACCGAATTTCCAAAATTTCTCCATAATTCTTCATTTATATCCGGCTGTTCGGCCTGCAGCAGTTCATTCACACTGAAGTTATAAAGAGTGTTTCAGCTCGGACCGCTGGAACTCTCTATGCTTGAACATTTAAACTGTATACTCTGTATACTTGAACACGTATGCTGTAAGCTGTGTGCTCATTTACCTGCACCGCACACTTTGTGAATGTAACATCTGTAATGCTGTTTATGAACACTTATTATAACTTAATTGCTTAACTCACTTAACTTACTATGCACACCTGACCTGGTTAACAGTACACTTCCAATTAAAGCAGTTAATTCACACTGAAGCTATAAAGAGTGTTTCAGCTCGAACTGCTGGAACTCTCCATGCTTGAACATTTCAATCAATCAATTAGTCAACCTTTATTTAATCTCGGAGAACATTGAGGGCGACCCTCATTGACAATGTTGCTAGGGGTGATACAGAACAAGGGACTGATAATGTGTAAGAACATATCAAATAATAAAAGAAAATTTAATAAATAAAAATCAAATGACCCAAATCAGGTAGGTATAAAAATATGTAACATTAATAATAAAAATACATAAAAATACAATAAAAAATATAAAACAATAATTAAAACGTAGCTAGATAAAATAAAAGGAGAATAGATCAAAAAGTAAAAATGTATTAAAATGACTAAAATGATAATAAAATAATCATAATTAAAATAAGAATTAGAATATTAACAATAATAAATAAACAAACAAGTAAATAATAAAATAATGAAAATAAGATATAAGTAATGGTAAAAAATCAGGTTAAACAATGTCAGGCAGAGTGGAGGTGGTTAGAGAGTAAGAGTTTAAAATGACTGAGTGACCCAGTGAGCTGAGCTTTAGTGTGTCCTGTAGTGAGGGTCCAGCTCGCTGGTGCTCTGTAACTAAAAGCAGATTTTCCCAGTTCAGTAAAAACCCTCAGTACTTGGCTTGTGATCCAACCACTGGAGCGAGTCTGATAAATACCAATATTTACAGACATCATTGAAGTAATATATTCTGCCATTTAAGCTGTATACTCTCTACACATGAACATGTATGCTGTAAGCTGTGTGCTCATTTACCTGCACTGTATACTTTGTGAATATAGTATCTGTGATGCTGTTTATAAACACTTACTATAACTTAATTGCTTAACTCACTTAACTTACTATGCACACCTGACCTGGTCAACAGTACGCTTCCAATTAAATACACACTATAAAGCACCTAAGCTGTAAATCATACAAAGACAACTTATTTAATGCTTAACTATATGTTTGCACTTTAAATTCTACCTTTACCTTCTGACCTACAGTTACTGTTTATGCATGTATTCTGTATTTACTGTCTGTGCACCTATTGTCTTTGTGTTTTTGTCTATTGTCTTTGCACTACTTTTTTAAATCTATTTTTTTTCACTGCACTGGTGAAGTAGTGTAACAGTGTTTTGTTATACTGTGCAACACTGTATTGGTATAATGACAATAAAGCTAAATTGAATTGAATTGTGAGGCAAAGCCACGCAGAACAGAGCTCGTTGGCATATATCTGTCTTAAAGGCACATAAATAACAACAGTTTGTTCAATGAGGTCATGTAAAAACAGGTTTTTGGCCAAATAAAACCACATACGTGCCATAAGTGGACCCTCCCCCCAAGGAAAAAGTGAAAATGGAAGAAAAATGTAGATTAAAGACTAAATGCACAAGTAGTGTCCCAAAATCAATTAATCATTCTTTTGTATTCTTGCATACAAAGTAATTAAACCGGGGTGGGTGGGGGAGCCCTAAGGACATCCTACTTACGGCACATCACTTGAATTATTTTGTATGCAAGAATGAAAAAGGAGTAATACAAGAGTGGTTTGGTGTGAAATGGTTCAGATGTCTTTACAGTGGTGGTGATAGGAACCAGGGGTCGCCATGACTACAACACAGATATAGACATTTTATTTACTATCAAAACCATCAGTGAACCTAGACGAGTCTTCTGAGTTTATATGGAATGTTGATGATGGAAAATAGTGATAAATCTGATAAAGTTTCCTTTGGGCACTATTTTGCCTCACAACGTCCTGCATGTATCCCTCCACCATGAATGGATTAAAATAAATAGCTAAGCAAGATGAAAATGAAAGTCTGACATCATAAAATGAAGTCTGACATCCAGCAGTGTATTCATAACCATTTCATTTTTTATCCTCATTTTTAATATCCTCATTTTTTTGGAGGATATTTAGCCTATAACATTCTGCCTGTACCTCTCTGCCATAAATGGCTTTGAAAACACACTTTATACCAAAAGCCTCTCAAAAGTATCATAAACAATGTCTCAGGCTCCGGGCAGCATATTCATAACCATTTCATTTAATATCTCGTAATATTATGTAATGATTTTTTGGGACATTAAACTCTTAAAAGTTGGTGGAATTCCCCCTTAAGTTCTACAGATCAGTGCCAAAATATTGGAAACAGTTGAGAATACTAATCTTATCTGAACAAATGCATAAAAACAGGTGCATTTCAACTCTTTCTGTCTCACACAGGTGGATATTAATTGATTAAAGCGCCCTTCTGCTTTATTTTTCTAGGGTGTCATTTTCCCCCAGGTTATAATGTTTTGTGTTTTTTGTGCCAGAAACAGTGATATTCCTTTTTAGAGGACCTGTCTTTATCTTTTAATTAAACAGGCGGTTTTTGTTCTACTGAATATGTATACACGTATATGTGTAAATATGTAAATGCGCTGTCACAATTCAGGGTGGTTCAGTTTCCATGGACTCTATGTACTGAGGAGTGAACTGCATCTTTTGAAAGTGTAAAACTCGTGAGGAAAATTCAGTTTTTCATGATATGGCCCCTTTAAAGTCACCATTTTAGCTGGAACAGGGAGATGATGAACTCAACAAAAATTTGTCATGTCAGATAACAGCCAAAACAGTGGAAACCAGAACGACTCCCCTCCCCCGTCCTCGGGTGGGCAATTAGTTAATTTGCTGAAAGTGAAAATGGTGCATACCATATGCTATTTCAGAACTGCTGAGTGGAAATAACTTACAATGAGGAACAAATTGATGAAATGACTGCATTGAGCCAAACACCCAATCTCAACCCACCTGAAAACAATATGAAACACACAGCCGTGTTTTACACCACTGAAAACATATACGCACACACACACACACACACACACACGCACACGCACGCACACACACACACACACACACACATATATATATATAAGTGTACACCGATCAGGCCTAACTTTATGACCACCTCCTTGTTTCTACACTCATTGTCCATTTTATCAGCTCCACTTACTATATAGGTGCACTTTGTAGTTCTACAGTTACAGACTGTAGTCCATCTGTTTCTCTGACACTTTGTTAGCCCCCTTTTACCCTGTTCTTCAGTGGTCAGGACCCTCATGGACCCTCACAGAGCAGGTACTATTTGGGTGGTGGATCATTCTCAGCACTGCAGTAACACTGACGTGGTGGTGGTGTGTTAGTGTGTGTTGTGCTGGTACGAGTGGATCAGACACAGCAGTGCTGCTGGAGTTTTTAAACACTGTGTCCACTCACTGTCCACTCTATTAGACACTCCTACCTTGTCGGTCCACCTTGTAGATGTAAAGTCAGAGACGATAGCTCATCTGCTGCTGCACAGTTTGTGTTGGTCATCCTCTAGTCCTTCATCAGTGGTCACAGGACGCTGCCCACAGGACGCTGTTGGCTGGACATTTTTGGTTGGTGGACTATTCTCAGTCCAGCAGTGACACTGAGGTGCACTGCTGTGTCTGATCCACTCAGACCAGCACAACACACACTAACACACCACCACCACGTCAGTGTTACTGCAGTGCTGAGAATGATCCACCACCCAAATAGTACCTGCCCTGTGAGGGTCCATGGGGGTCCTGACCACTGAAGAGCAGGGTAAAAGGGGGCTAACAAAAGGCTCTACAGAGGGGTCAGCATTGAGAATGTAGCTCAGTTTAATGGTGAACAGTTACTATTACTTTTACGCTAATTTCTATAGAAGCCCATTCCTGCCAGGAAGAAGAGAAAAAAGAATTCCCCTTCTCTCTATTAGGCAGAAGTATGACAATATTTTGAGTTAATATCTCAAAATAATGACTTATTTTCTCAGAACATCGACTTGCTATGTCAAAATGATGACTTACTATCTGATAACAACGATTTACCATGTCAAAATAATGATTAACATCTCATAATAAAGACCTCTTATCCTGAAATAAATACTTATTTTAGAAATGCAATTAAAAAGCTCAAGAAAAAAAGTCATTATTTTGAGATTTTAACCCCTTGTGTGATGTTGATGTGTTACTCAGTGGTCTGATGGACCCACCGCATTATTGGTTTATTAAATCAATACAGCCAAAATAATTTATGTAAAAATACCAGATGTTTAAAATATCACAAGTGTCCAGCATAGAGTTCTTCTTTAGCAGCTGTAGCCAGTCAGCAGCCTGTCCATGTTGTCCACCCTCTCACACACACACACACACACACACACACACACACATATACACACACACACATACACTAACAGCAGGCCATGTAGGAGGAGAACAGAGTGAAGGACACAGCACCTCCACACTTTTACTCCCCGCGGGTTCAGCCAACACCTCATGTGTAGTATAAATGTGTGGGGGGTGAACAGAGTGAAGACACTGAAAATGGGTTATTTTATATGTTCTTCACAGAAAATGAGCAAAGACCAAAAATCTGAGGTTGAAATAATAATAAATCACATCATTTTTTATTTTGGCAAACATTAAAAAAGGGCGGGTGGCACGGTGGCGTGCTGTCTGGACATGCTAAATTGCCCCTAGGTGTGAATGTGT